TACTTAGGGGTGTGAATCGTGGGCCAAGGTCTGGTTGGTGTCGCAATGGGGGTGTTTGACCATGTTCTGCCTTCCCCATCCAGTCCCCACCGCAGAAGAGATGTCCAGTTTGACGCCAGAGTCCTCCCCGGAGTGAGTCCAAGATGGGAATGGAAGAGGGGGTCTAGGGGATTCCTTCCCTCTTCCCCTCCTTCAGCTGCTCCCCTTCCTTCCCACTCAGGCTGGCAAAACGCTCCTGGTTTGGAAATTTCATCTCCTTGGACAAAGAAGAACAAATATTCCTCGTGCTCAAGGACAAACCTCTCAGCAGCATCAAAGCGGACATTGTCCATGCCTTTCTGTCGGTGAGGGTCCTAACGGCCCCTGGGGTGCCCACCCTTAGCCCTGGGGTGTTGGCCTCCGGGGAACTTCCTTCTCCACGCAGGGATAGATTTAGGGGCCAAGAGATCATACATCATGGAGGATGCTTGCTTTGTTCATGTCCCACTAAAGTTCAGTCCCTGGCGCTATATTTGTCTTATGCCAGGAGTGATCCCTGAGCACAGATCCAGGAGTAAGCCCTGAGCACAGACAAAAACCAAAACCAAAACAGAAGTCACAGGGTGAGCGTATAAAAGGGTAATATGTCAGGGCCCTGGAAAGGTGAACGGGAGTCTGGGTTCCAGTTCCCCAGATAGTAGTGTCTCCTGAGGATTGATGAATTGCCATTTCCTCACGTCAGGTCTGAGAGAGATGGGGGAAACCACCTGCACGGTGACTATAGCTCACTGCCTGACCCATCACTCTTTGCTCCAAGGCTGAGGAGATGCAGCCCAAGCCCAGATATACTAATGGGCTGTATTTGCAGGCAAGAAATTCCTTCCTTGTGCTTCTAGATAGCACAGCGGGTAGGGCATTTGCCTTGCACATGTCCAACCCGGCTGACCCAAGTTTGATTCCTCCACCCCTCTCCAAGAGCCCGGCAAGCTACCGAGAGTATCTCGCCTGCATGGCCAAAACCTGGCAAGCTCCCCGTGACGTATTCAATATGCCAAACACATTAACAACAAGTCTCACAAGGGAGACATTACTGGGCCCGCTCGAGCAAATCGATGAACAATGGGAGGACAATACTACAGTGCTACAGTGCTTTTGGAGGCTGGGCCTGAGTCCTGCTGTAGGACTCTTGTTTTGTTGTGATTAGGACAGTTAAACTACAGATCCCAGGAGGCAGTGGAACCTAGGCAGGGTGGGCTAGGGTCCTAGCATCTGTTCCACAGTAGCCAATGAGACTCGTAGTCTTTGGGTAGAGACGAGTGTACCCTTGCTGCCCACTCCTGGAAATCCTCCCAACTGTGTGTCTCACGCCTCCCTGCCCCTCCAGATCCCCAGCCTGAGTCACAGTGTGCTGTCACAGACCAGCTTCAGGGCCGAGTACAAGGCCAGTGGTGGCCCCTCCGTCTTCCAGAAGCCTGTCCGCTTCCAGGTGGACATCAGCTCCTCTGAAGGCCCAGAACCATCCCCACGACGGGATGGGGGCAGCGGCAGTGGCATCTACTCTGTCACCTTCACACTCATCTCCGGTGAGTCTCTCAGCCAGGCTCTCCCTGCCTGGTGCCAAGATGGGAAGGCAGCTAGGAAGGCAGTAATTGAGAGAGTGCTGTAGCCCCTCCTCACTCAGACCCCCACATTATCTCCTGCCTCTTGCCAACTCCTCCTGATGCTCCATGCAGCAGCTGAGTGTCTCCTAACAGTGGGGCCTGTTCTGAGAAACGCATCATCAGGCAGTTTTGTGACCCTGTGTCCATCATTCAGCAGGACAAGTTAAAGAGCATCCTGCAGACCCACCTGTATATCAGAGCCTGATAGGGCTCCCTTGTCAGTGGGCCTCCTTCTGTGCTGGATGTTGTTGAACCACACCTGGTAGTGCTCAGGGAATACTTAGTGCTCGGAGTCCCAGATGCGGTCCCAGGGATCAGATCAGGATCGGCTATATGCAAGGCAAGCGCCCTATACTATCCTTCCCACCTATTAGTGAACCAAAAATTATTTATTTTGTTAGTATTCCAGCACGACAGAACAAAAAGTTTTCCCCAGTAACTTTGAGATGTAAAAATCTCCCATTTTATGTTGCTGGAGAGACAGTACAGTGGGTGAGGCAGCTGCTTGGCACTCAGCCAACCCGGGTTGAATCCATGGCACCCCATATTGTACCCTGAGTCCTGTCAGAAGTGATCCTTGACCACAGAGCCAAGAGTAACCCCTGAGCGCTGCCAAGTGTAGCCCAAAAAACATTGCAAAACAAGTCTCCCGTTTTGCAGGAGAGGCAGCTGGTTCCTAGAGCCACAACTTACAGCAAACTGTGATGAACCCAGCCTTAGCTGGGCCCCCTGATCTCACTGTGCTGAGTACTTCCATCCACGTTTTTGTTTTTATTTGGGGTGCTTGGGATTTAACCGTGGTTGGCTGTGTGTAAGGCAGTATTGTACCTGCTGTACTTCCTCTCCAGTTTGCCGCCATCATTCTACTTTCACCTGGTGCTATACTCAGCCTCATGGCTGCCCCAGAGCAGACATCACTAGTCAATCACAGCACTTCTGCTGAGCTCAGCTGCCTCAAAATCTTTAATTCTAGACAGCTACAACCAATTGAGAGTCATCTATGAGATGAAGACCTCAGAAATGCCTCAGTTTTCCCTCATCTCCCAAGTTCTGAGAAAGAAAGTTTGGCTAAAAGGGATATTTCTGGGGTTGGAGCAATAGCACAGCATGTAGGGCATTTGCCTTGCACACGGCCGACCCAGGTTCGATTCCCAGCATCCCATATGGTCCCCCGAGCACAGCCAGGAGTAATTCCTCAGTGCAGAGCCAGGAGTAACCCCTGTGCATCCTGGGTGTGACCCAAAAAGCAAAAAAAAAAAGGGGGGGAGGGATATTTCTGTTTTCTGTCCCTGCAACCATCTTTAAGCAGTGAGCACTGAGCTTTCTGAGATGTTCTAAACCCAATGCCCATGAAAAACCAATGCCCTCTTTGTCTCCTCACTTCCAAATGTCGTTAGAGGAAGCATTCACAAATTCTAGGACCCCCCCCACCATCATTTATTTTTCTTAATTTTTTCTGTTTGTGGGCTCACATAGAAACTAACCAGCCACAGAATCTGTTTCAGCAGATTATTTATAACCATTTATATGAAACTGTTGTTACCTTAAGTAGAACCTGTCCCACTGGGAACCATGGATATAGATATATGCCGGGTCACAGCGGGGATCCCGGCCCCTGTGGGCCAAGGGACCCCCACCAGCTGGCCACCTCCCTGCTCCTTCCAGGCCCCAGCCGGCGGTTCAAGCGCGTGGTGGAGACAATCCAGGCCCAACTGCTGAGCACACACGACCAGCCCTCTGTGCAGGCCCTGGCAGGTGGGAGACATGGACTGGGTGGAGGGGGCATTAGGTCCCCTCATTGTCACACTGAGACCCTCAGTAGTATGAACAAAGTGGGGCCTGGGAACCTCCAGAGGCCTAACAGGACAGAAGTCCCTGCCCACAGAAGTTGTGGGACTGTGTCTGGTCTGACCAAGCAGGCCAGGCCAGGGTGGTGAGGGGCACATGATTGAACCCCCATAGACCCCCAGGTGACATCTGTAGTGTCTGTGGCAAGTGGGGTGGCCTCAAAGGTGGCGCCTGCTGGTCAAGTTTCCCAGCCCTGAGCACCAGGAAGTGAGGAGCCCCCAGAGGGTGCACCCTCAGAGATGCTGGGCTACCAATTGCCCCCAGGCTTCTGCCGCTCCGCTGATGAAGGGTTCTGGCACTAGGGGACACATCTATTGCCAGGAAGGGGACAACCTGACTGATGGCCTCCAGAATCAGGGACTCTTGGGGCTGGACCCACTGACCACTGGAGAGCCCCTGTGGGAACAGCATCACGTGTGGCCCTCTTCCTGGGAAGGCCCTGCCTCTGGCCCTGGGGAGGGAGAGGTGGGGCTCCAGTGTGTGGCTCAGCCCAGGAGGGGAGTCCCTGACAGTCACTCGGGCACTGGCCCCCACCAGAATGTTCTCCAAGCCAGGGTGGGTGGAGGGGGACTGAATCCACACTGCTTCCTCCCTGCCAGACGAGAAGAATGGGGTGCAGACCCGGCCTACGGGTACCCCACCCCGAAGCCTGCAGCCCCCACCTGGCCGTCCAGACCCAGAGCTGACCAGCTCTCCTCGCCGAGGCCCCCCCAAGGACAAGAAGCTCCTGGCCACCAATGGGACCCCTTTGCCCTGACCCCAGGGGGCCAGGGAAGGAGGGGAGCCCCCACCCCCCTTCCCTGCCCCCCAACTGTGAATCTGTAAATAGGGCCCAAGGAATAGGTGGGGTGGGGGGTAGACACAAAATCCCAGCCTTGCCTTGCAGGGTTGGGTCTCTGGGGGTGCCCATGGGGTGGTTCTAGGGTGACTGGGGGCGGGGAACTGTTTCTATTTTATTTATTGATTAATTTATTATTTTATTTATTGATCAGTCTCTGCGGGGTAGGGTGGGGGAGGGACGGGGCTGGTCGGGGTGGCTTAGCAGATCCGACGGACAGGGCCATGTGGCCCTGTGTCATCCCAAACCCCTTCTTGGACCATCCTGGTCCTTCCTGACCCCACCCTACGCCCTTCTGTACGGATTTGCTCTCCGGAAGGAATTCTGGTTTCGCGTGATTCTGCCTGCGTCCGTGTCTCTGATTCCGTCGGCGGCAAAAAAAAAAAAAAACACAAAAAACGGATAATAATAAATAGCCTTGATCAGGGACAGCTGGCTGGCCTGAGCCTCGCTTCCTGGGTGCTCTGGCTGGAGGGGCCACAGCCGCCGCCCCACGGCTTGGGGTTCCAGGCGGGGAGCAGACCCGTGGCGCGTCCTTGATGCTCCTCCTGAGGAGCCGCTCCCAGAGGAGTCGCTTCCTCCCGCCGGTCCCTTGGGACGCTGTTTCCTTCTGGAATGCCGCTCCCTCACTCCTCGGGCACTGGTCCTTCCGGGATGGAGAAGCCAAGGCCTGCTCAGAGCGCCTGGGACTGCTGCAGCTGCAGGGAGCCAGCGGGGACGGGCGGGGAGCTGCTGAGGGGAGCAGACTTCAGCTGCAGGGTGCAGTTGGACAGGCAAGAGAAGTCCACAGCCAGAAGGCCGAAGAGCAGGAAGAGGATCATGGCCACGGTCCACTCGCAGTAAGCGGCCACCGAGCGCAGACCCTGGATGTGCAGGACCACCACTGGTGCTGCGTCAAGGACCGCAGCGGCTCACTCCAGTCTCCTAGCTCCGCCCCGCCCCTCCCGGATCAGCCCCGCCCATATTGTTTCCGCCCCGCCCCCGGCTCAGCCCCTCCCATATCGTTCCTGCCTGAGTCCTGTCCATCTCCTTTCCGACCCACTCCTTGTCTCCGCTCCTTCCCTCCCGGCTCAGCCCCGCCCCCTCCTCTGCATTCATCCACGTGTCCCCGGAGGTTATCTACCCAGACAGGCACTCCCTGACTCCCACAGACACCCCCCCCATACTTCTTCTAGCTAGATCACCGCCACTACCACTTTGACTTTCAAATATGCCCCCAACCCCAACCCCCAGTAGACAGCTACAGACTCTGCAGCTTTCATGGAACCCCGTGGACCCGCCTCTCGCTGGACACACTCTCCCAACAATCCCCAAGGGCATCTTATCTTGCCCCTAAAAAAGATTCCTCCTCCTAGTCACCCAATACCATCAATCCCATCATGTCCCAGCAGAGCCTGGGGCAGTTCTGCCTCCTGCCTTGTCCCCATGAGAGCTGGTCACCTCATACCTGTCCAGGGAGCCCAGTCTCTGGCATCCTAACACCTTTCTTTGACCATCAGTCCCCAAGTTCCCACCTTATACAGGATCCACCCATTCCCCATCCTAGGCTTTCTCCCTCCCACCTCCCCACCCCACCCCTGCCCATGCTTCTAACCCAGTCTAACTCTCCCCTCCAGTCTCCATTCCCAGTAGATGGGATGTGGTTTAGAGGGCTTACAGGGTTTTCAGGAGACTCAATCCCTGTCCACCAGAAACAGGGGTGAGGCCCAGAATAGGCCCTACCCCTTTTCCCCAGGTGAAAGCAGAGCCTGGCGCTGTCCATAAATGCTGAACCAGCCCTTCCAGTCCTGTCCCAAATCTCCTCCTCCCCAGGCTCCAGGCCCTCAGCAGGCCCCAGCCCTTATCCACTCAGGCTTGGGGCTATACAGGAATGAGGTCCTGACCTGAGGGTCAGACCGGATGCTTCCATAGCTGGTCTTGCAGGAGGCTGGGCTGAGATACCCTCCCTCCGTGCCTGGAGGTTGCTTCCCAGCTCCCTTCTCTCTAGCCTGGCCCAGCCCCAAGGGCTTCCCACAGCAACCTCCCCCTACACAAGGAAATACAGCTCAGGGTGGTATGAATTACCCCAAGACGTGTCCATGGGACTGCTGACTGGACAGACCCACCACCTAGGTCCAGCAGGAGACCAGCCTGTCTCCCCATCTGCTGCCCCATGGCTGTGTCCCTCAGATCATTCTCCCAAGAGTGGTCACTGGCCTCCTGAGCTGCTTCCCCTTGTCACTTGACAGCTTTATCACACTTAAACCCTCACACCTTGGGGGAACCAGGACCCAAGTTTAAAAGGGGAGGAAATGAAGGGAAACCCTCTAAGTGGCTCTCCTGGACTACAAGGCGCTAACTTGGGGAAAACTGAGGCCCAACCAAAGAAGGATACTGGCCACTGAGAGCACAGAGCAGATGCTGCAGAGGCCCAGACGCAGGGGACCAAGCCAGGGTGCGCCCGGCTGGGCTGCCATCTTCAGTCCCCGGAGAAAACCAAGCTGGAGCCAGAAGTAGAAGGCACCCACAAAGAATGCCAGGAAGGCCCCCGTCAGGTGTGTTGCCAGTTGGTGCTGATGCTGTGGGCAGAGGGACACTAAGAACACAGATGGGAGCACCACCCATAACCCAACCATCCACTATGCCCCCCTCAGGACCCATTTCTCCAAGCTCTTGCCAGCATCACAGTTGGGGGAGGGGGGCACAGGCATTGAAATCTGCAGTGCCTCCAGCAGCAAAAATTATATGGGGTGAAGTTGCTGACCTTGGAGCTGGAATGATAGTACAGCCAGTAGGGCATTTGCCTTGCACATGGTCTACCCAGGCTCAATCCCCGGCATCCCATATAGTCCCCCGTGCACTCCCAGGAGTAACCCCTGAGCATTGCCAGGTGTAACCGAAAAAGCCAAAAAAAAAAAAATGAAGGTGCTGGCCTTGCCTGCAGCCAATCCATTTGATCCCTGACACACCGCATAGTGACCCCTGAGCACAGAGCAGAGCCAAGAGCAGAGAAGCCCTCTGTGGAGTACCACCAGGTGTAGGGAACACCCCAAACAGTGCCAGGCACAGGGCAAATGCCATCTGCTTGAGTGGGCTCCCAACAGGCTTCCGCACAGCCCAAGTGTCCATGAGAGGGAAACCAGTGAGGGCAGTGACCAGAGATGCAAACTCATAGGACAGCTATGTATGATCTCACCTAAGGAGTCTCAGTACATCTCCCTGTGACAGAGGAGATGGTCTACTGTCTCTCAATAGATTAAGAGCCTCCCAAGATTATTGTCACCCTTGGTAGAAATCAGTTCTTGGGGGGTAGGGGCTGGGGAGGCCACACCCAGCAGGACTCAGGGGCTATTACAGTCTCTGTGCTCAGGAGTGACCCCCAGATGTGCTCAGGGGACCCTGTGTGGTGCTGGGGACTCAAACTGGGCTAAGTGGGATGCAGGCAAATGCCTTAACCCTCAAACTATCCCTCTGGCCCTGAAATTAGTTCTTAGAAAGAAAAACTTGACTTTTAAGGGGAGAGTTTTGGAACCATCGCTGTCAGTGTTCAGAATTCTACTCCTGGCTTTGTGCTCAGGAATCACTTGGGGTTGACCATGTACAGAGCAAGTGCCTTCACCTCTGTACTTTCTCCCCAGCCCCCAGAGAGGAAATTCTTTTGTGTGTGTTAGCGGTTGGGCCGCTCCTGGTGGAGCTCCAGGCCATGTGGTGCCAGGGATTCGACTCAGGCCTCACACATGGAAGGGTGGTGCTCTGCCACCTAAGCCACACCCCGGTCCCCAGGAGGGAAACAGTTTAGACTTACGATAACTCATGGCTTAAAGATCCATAGTACACAGTATGTAGAAATATTAAAAGATTCAAATTCCCACTAGAGGGAGGGCTGATTATAGGAAGTATCTGGAAAGTTTCCAGGAGAAGCAAAATAACAATTTCTGAAGGAAAGTTGAAGATCAGAGGAAAATGACTGAATGACCAAAGGTGGTGAGAAATTTTCACTGGCAAGCTGGAAACACTTCCTTGTCTACCTGAACACCCTTCCCAGCCTCCACTCCACCAACAGCACAAGATTAGAATTGGACATCACAGAAAATAAAATAACTTTAAAAATCAATCAGTAGGATTTCTACCTTTGGTTCATTCATTTCTCCTATAAATATCTACTGATCTTCCTGGTTAAGAATCTATATTGTGGGGGCTGGAGCAATAGCACAGCAGGTAGGGCATTTGCCTTGCATGGGACCAACTCTGGTTCAATTCCCAGCATCCCATATAGTCCCCCGAGCACCGCCAGGAATGATTCCTGAATGCATGAGCCAGGAATAACCCCTCTGCATCACTGGTGTGACCCAAAAAAGAAAAAAAAGAATCTGTACTGTGGGTTGGACATGGCACTTGCCTTGGTTCTATCCCTGGCCACACACAAACAATGTGATTATAGGATTGGGAATTCGACTCAGGGGTTCCCCAAGACTCAGGGGGTGTTGCTCACACCTCCATAAACAACTATACCACACACACACACACACAAAAGGTGGAATGTAGGGGCCTGAAGTGATACTAAAGGAGGTATCACTTGCCTTGTGCATGACCAACCTGGATTAGATCCGTGGCATCCTATGTGGTTCCCCAAGCACTGCCAGGAGTGATCCCTAAGTACAGAGCCAGGAGTAACCCCTGAACACTACCAGATGCCCCCCCCCAAAAATATATATATATGGAGAAGTGTTGTCTTTGTATCTGGTTTATTTCTGACCACCACAAAACAGACGATTTTTTTTTAAAGGGCCAGAGTGGAGAGACAATCCAGCGGCCAGGGCACTCACGCAGCCAGCCCAGGTTTAATCCCCAGCACCCCATATGGCTCCATCATCCTAAACCCACCAGGAGTGATTCCTGAGCACAGTGTCCAGTAATAAGTCCTAGCACTCAGGGTGTGCTCCTTACCCGAATTTAGAAGGAAAAAAAAAACTTGCTAAAAAAAGGTCCAAAGAAATAGTACAGCAGGCACTTGTTTTCCACAGAGTCAACCTGGCTTTGCTATACACGGCAGAAGGATATTCCAAGGCCCTCCAGGAGGACCAACATAATGTCCTCCAAGGCCTGCCTGAAGTGATTCCTGAGCTAGAGCCAGGAGTAAGCCCTGAGCATGGCCTGGTGTGACCAAAAGCCAAGAAAGAAAAAAGACCAGAGAGATAGTGCTGTGGGTAAGATATTTCATATGGCCCCCAAGCCTGGCCATGACTGACCTCTGAGAGTAGAGCCAGGAGTAAGCCCTGACCACTGCCAGGTGTGGCCCCCAAACAAGCAAAAATTGAATTTGGCTTATTAGGATGGATCTGTGCAAAATCTGATCTTTGCCCACAGAACCGAGGTGGAAGCAAATATTAAATGAGTAACTCAGCAGTTGCATCATGAAAAGGGCTTCGGAAGGGGTGGCAGTACATTTCCCCCACCTCCTAAAGATTCCAAAGAGCCCTCCCTCAGCCGAGCGAGCCTCCAGTGAAATTCACGTCCCCGGAAGGTTGTGCGGGACGAGCCTGCCAAGCTAGGAGCTTCGGGCCCCGAGGGTTGCTGGGAGTTGTAGTTCCAGCCTCCCTGGGCCGGCCCCACCCGGTCTCACCTGGAAATTGCCGACGATGGAAGTGCCCAGGGCGCAGAGAAGCCCGCTGCACAGGATCACCTGGTTAGACCGCTTCTTGAGCCCCCAGTCCTGAAGCTGGTAGTAACGGAGAATGCAGATACTGGCGCCTGCAAGACAGGGCAGTGGGACTGGAGACCCCAGGCTGGGTGGGGTTCCAGGTGAGGAGAGTGGTGGGGAAGAAAGGACTGGGATCCGTGGTGAGGGTCAGTCCGGGGAGGGTAGGAGTGGCGGGGGTCTGATCTCTGGGTCTGACGCGGGAGCAGCCTCACGGAGGCAGGTACGTACCCATGGCAGCTCCTATGTTGAGCACCTGGCTAAAGACACAGCTCTGCGGCGGATCGGCTCCACAGACGCTGGGACAGAGACAGGCTTCAGGGGCGTTCCCAGCCAGGACCCTTCCTGCCTCCCACCGCACCACTGCTACCTGATATAGGGGAATGTCTGGGAGATGTTCACAGCCTTGTTGGCCACAGCCATGCCGAAGCTGCAGAGGACAGAGTTGTGAGTGAGGCTTTGTCACCCAGGACCTGAACTTCCATCCCTCCACCAGACTCCTCACAGCAATCCTGGAGACCAGTCACCTAGCCTCCTTCATCAGATCCTGGAGTCCCCCAACTTCCTCCCTCACACCCAGGGGTCCAGAACCCCAGCCTTCTCTTTCAGATCATGAGGTCCAGACTCCCGACCTACTCCTTCAGATCCTAGAGTCCAGAGCCCTCAGTCCCCTCCATCAGACAGGCATCCAGACCCCCACAGCATCCATCCTGCCTCTGACACTCACACAATCCATACGCCCACTGTAGACCAGACAGCCAGGAGAACAGGCAGCAGGAACAGGTAGCCGTTCATAACCGACTGTGCCAGCGAAGGCAAGGCTCCAGCCCACCGTCTCTGTCCCTTCGCACAGGTGAGAACAGCCTGCAGGCCCCAGGTGTGGCAGGTGTGTGGCCACCTGGAGCAATGGGTGGGGGGGTCCAGTGGGCGGGCCTGTTTGCCTGAGGCCCCTTCCACCACCTTCCAGTCCCAGCTCCACCTTCCACAAGCTGGCTCTGGCCCAGCCCAACAGTGCTCACCAGGCTAGCAGTGGGGCGCGACAATAAGTGGGGCGAGGCTGTGACCAAAGTCCCATCTGCGTTTGGCGCCTGCACATGATGTCGGCTATGGGCCTGACACTCTCACTTCAGGGTTCAACCAAACAGAGGATTCCGGAGTCTTCTTAGGCTTGGTGGCACCACCTTTCCTTTGTCCCCAGGGTGCCCTGAGCTTTATGGGCTCCCTTTCCTTGTCCCAAAGGGGTTCTGAGCTATGGAGACCCTGTTTTCTTGTTCAGTGTTAGAGGTTCAAATGCATAACTCAGTCTCCTTCACAGAGTTCAGATCCCTGGACCTCCAGTCCCTCCAGGCTCCTTCCTAGGGCTACCTGGGGTTGCAGGCCCCCAGCTTCCTCCCTCAGACTTGGACTCCAGCATCCAGCTTCCTCCCTCAAACCCATGATTCTAGATTTGTGTTCCATTCCTGCATGGGCTCCCCAAGTACTACCAGAGTAGTACTCCCAGAATAGTACTGTGGTAGTACTACCTGCTGGACCCTGACATTCACTGCTGGGCCTGCGTAGCCACATATCATTGGCCCAAGCACTGAACTATTAGCTGAGCCAAGCATTAGCGGGAGTGGCCCCCAGCCCCCCTAAACATTGCTGGTGAGACCCCTGGATTATAAATAAATAAAATGAACCAGGGGCATGTCTCAGCACTAAAGCACACTCCTCACATGCATGAGAACTGCCTTTGACCCTCAGCACACACTCCACACACATATAGTGGGGTTGCGGTTTGCACTCTGAGCCCGGGTTTGAACTCAGGACAAAGTAAATAAACCAAACACACATTTGCTCAGTGGCAATGAACAAGTAAACAAACATGACCAGGGAGAACAGGCTCTGCATGAGGGGCGGCAGCGTGGACCTCAGGCATTGCATGGGCCCCTGAGCATCCCAGATATGGCCCAAGCAAAACCAAAATCAAATAAAAAAGAAATGCCAGGGAGGAGGGATTGGGGGTCTGAACCCCTGGGTCTGAGGGAGCAGAGGCTGGGGACTATGTGACCTGGCCTGCTGGAGTGACATTCTAGCAAGTTCTCATCTCTCTCACTCCCCAACCCCAGTTTTTCTAGGTCCTCAAACCTGGTGGGCTTCTTTCAATTAGGTTCCATTGATTGCCCTCTTAAGTTCTGAGAGCCCAGATTCTTCCTGATCTTTCCATAAAGAGCAAGCTGGTCTGGATTGGCCCAGGGGATGAGGCCAAGTGTTCCTCTGAGCAAGATGATGTTGCACTTTCATGTTTGGGTAACCACTTCTGGTTGGTGGTGGGGACCCTGTCTCAGGGTGGGGAGTCTGGAAGACAGAGGTGTGGACATTTCAGAACCTGTTTTCTCCTCTGTAAAAGCCAGGATCTTAAAGGTTGTCCCCCACACACACCTTGTGCTTGGGGGCCGCTAGTGAGGGCTGGTGAGAACCTCAACCAGTGCCTGATAGGAAAAATACTGTGTAAAATCCCTTGTGGATCTGGCTGGGCTGTTTGGGGTCAAGACACCTCCTTCAGCCTGAGAAGGATCCTCTGTGTCCCAAGATCCCCAGGAAGCAGAAATGACAGGGAAGGGAGGTGACCCATGGAAAATAAAGGGGAGTGAACAGGGAGATGAATTAAAGTGTGCTAAGTCTATGGGACCCCAAGTTTGATCCCCAGCACCACCTGGTCCCCTGAGCACCAACAGAATTACCAAGTATAGAGCCTGGAGTAGCCTCCACCACTGCTGGTGTGGCCCCAAAGCCAAAATGTTTTATAGAACCAAAAAGAGGGAGCAGGAACAAGGGAACAAGATGGGTCAGGGCTGTGGGTCTCAACTGGGAAAAAAGGAGAAGTGTGGGGGAAAGAGGGAGCAGTGTCGATAGCCCCTTGGGGAGCCTTCCCAAGAGTGAGGTGGTGACCATCATGGGCTGGAAGAAGAGTACATGGCCACCAATCACTAAATCGTTTCATTGAGGGAGAGATAGAGACGTTTAGAAATAGAGGTGAAGATTGCACAAGAGCTTTAAAATAGTGCTCCCAAGATGTGCTTCTTAAATTGACTGTATTGGGGATGGAGTGATAGTACATCAGGTAGGGCATTTGCCTTGCACACAGCCAACCCTGGTTCAATCTAGATCATCCCATATGGCCCCCCAAGCACAGCCTGGAGTAATTTTTTTTTCTTTTTGGGTCACACCCGGCAAGACACAGGGGTTACTCTTGGCTCTGCACTCAGGAATCACTCCTGGCAGTGCTCAGGGGACCATATGGGATACTGGGAATCGAACCTGGGTCAGCCATGTGCAAGGCAAACGCCCTACTCGCTGTGCTATTGCTTCAGCTCCTGGACTAATTCTTAAGTACAGAGCCAGGAGAAACTCCTGAGCATTGCTGGGTGTGACCCCAAGAGCCAAAAAAAAAAAAAAAATTTGGGTTGGTGTGGGTGGGGCACACCGGCTGTGCTCAGGGCTTAGTCCAGAATCTAAGCTCAGGGGTCACTCCTGGCAGGCTCAGGGAGTCATAGGGGATGCCAGGGACTGCACCAGGATTAGCCAGGTGCAAGGAAAGTGCCTTACCTGCTATACAATGGGCTCTAGCCCCAATATTTCTTTCTTCTTTTTTTTTTAATCTCTTAAGAGCTAGAATATCTCTCCAGTCCTGAAATACTGTTTTGTGTTGTGTGAATTTTACCTCAATTGCAAAAATAAATAAATAATTTGCAGAAATGGCCAGCCCTGGGTCAGAGCTATAGTACAGCAACTAGGGCGTTTATCTTGCAAGTGGCCAGCCAGGTTCGATCCCCAGCATTCCATATGCTCCCCTGAGCACTGCCAGGAGTGACTCCTGAGTACAGAACCAGGTGTAACCTCTGAGCATTGCTGGGTGTGACCCAAAATGAAAAAAAAAAGGGAAAGAAAGAAAAAGAAAGAAAGGAAGGAAGGAAGAAAGAAAGAAAGAAAGAAAGAAAGAAAGAAAGACAGTTCTTCCAATCCTAACTGACACAACCCAGGCTTAGTGTCTGGGTCCTGGGTTCGATTCCTCCGCCCCTCTTGGAGAGCCCGTCATGCTACTGAGAGTATTCCGCCTGCATGGCAAAACCTGGCAAGCTACCTATGACTATGACTATTGGATATGCCAAAAACAGTAACAACAAGTCTCACAGTTCTGAGTTGCCTGCTCTAGCATATGCAAATCGATGAACAATGAGAGGACAGTGCCACAGTGCTACAGTGTCTGGGTGGGGCTGGAAGCGGTAATTGAGCTGTGGCAGAGTCCTGGGTTGTGGCAGGATTGCTCCCAGGAGCTAAGAGCTATTGTAAAGAAGCCCTGAGCAGTGGAGCCCTGGGGAGGTGTCCATGCACAAGGAGTACAACTCAGCTCTGAAGAGTAAAATCCTGCCCTTGGTAGCACTCCAGTGTCACCATTGTTCATCAGCTTGGAAACATAAATGGGATGATCTCACTCCCATGTGGAAAGTAAACAAAGCAAAACAAACTCCTGGACAACAGAAACAATGATTGCCAGCAGGGCACAGAGCAAGAACTTGGTGGGTCCACTTGGTGCTGGATGAAAGCTGTAAAAACAATCACTGTGGAGGCCTGAGTGATAGGACAGTAGAGAGGGCATTTGTCTTGCATGCGGTTAACCTGAGTTTAATCCCAGAATCCCATATAGTCCCCTGAGGACCACCAAGAGTGATCCCTGAGCACAGAGGCATAAGTAAGCCCTGAGCACTGCTGGATGTGACTCATCTCATCCCCTCCCCTCCAAAATGCAGGTAATGTAGGTGCTCAGTTGCGATTTTGGGAATTTTTTTGGAGTGTGTTTTTTTCCATTCAGATTTTGCTCCACACACAGCAATATTTAGGACTATTCCCAAGTTGGTCTTGGGAATAACACCCCACCCCTGAAACGTTTGGACAGCAAATGGCTCACTTTGCAGATATGAGCTGGTTGTCCCAGCTGCACGACTGGCTGTTGATTGGCCCTGGTTGTTTTTCTTGTTTATTTTGGCATAACACCCATCAGTGCTCAGGAAAGCATTCTGCGCTGTGGATCAAACCCGGCACTCTCACATGCTAAGCACGAAGATAGCCCTTGAACCCTCCCTCTCTTGGTCTCCTGGCTGCTTCTGACTCACTGGATGACTGATAATTGTGTCTGGTTTCATGCCGAATGCCTGTTTTCTTTCTGAGAACTAGAATTGGAGTTCATCCAAGGTGGGTCAGAGTGCCTATATGACCAGCCACAAGTGAGGGTCCTGTGCCCCTTTGGCAGAAATAGCAAATGCCTGGGATCGAAGCAACAGTACAGCAGATCTAGTGTTTGCCTTGCACAAAGTCTACCTGGGTCATTTCCGGCATCCTATATGCTCCCCTGGGTACCATTAGGAATAGTTCCTGTGTACAAAGGCAGGAGTATGTCTTGGGTGTCAATGGGTGTAACCCTACCTCCAAACAAAAATAACAAGAACAAAAAGAAGTAGCAATCACAGGTTGCTATACTTTCATTTCTTGGTGGGGGCAGTGGTGATCGAGTTTTATGTGGTCTTTGTGAAGGAGGGAGCCTAGGAAATTGGGGTGCAGACCCCTCCAAGCTTCGGGAGTGGCTTCTTCCTTGACACCTGTTGAGCACAGCTCTTCACTGAGTCCTAGCCACCCTCCTAGGGAATTCCTAAATATTGTGTGTCTGGGGATCCCCAACAAACAGCTCAGAAGAAATAGAATTGATCTTCATGGATTGATTTTGGAGTCAACCTTTTAAATTTTGCCAGGGGGTGACCTGAGCACAGAGCCGGAGTAATGTCCCATGAACAGTTGAATCTGCCCCCCCAAAAAGAAAAAGAACTTGTGTTTTGGGGGTTGGGCCACACCTGGTGGTTCTCAGGAGCTACTCCTGACTCTGTGCTCAAGAGTCATTTTGAGCAGCGCTTGAGAGACCCTATGCCATGCCAGGAATTGAATAGGGTCAGTCATGTGTAAGGCAAGCTTCTTTTTTTTAATTTATTTTTTAATTTTTTTAATGTAGGAGAGTACTGCTATTTATTCAGCCACTTATTAGCTGATTGAATTGTGCATGAACTCCACCTTACTTATTTTTTTTTCATCTTTTATAATTTTATTTATTGAATCACCGTGAGAGCAGTTACAAAGCTTTTGGGTCTAAGTCTTGGTCATACAATGAAACATCCGTACCTTCACCGTGCCTATTCTCCACCACCAAAAACCCCAGTATACCCCCATCCCACACCTTCCCCCTACCTGTGGGGCAGATGATTTCCACATTACTCTCTCTCTACTTTGATCACATTCAATATTTTGACACCAGACCCACCATTATTATTTGAGATTTTACCCCAACACTCAGATCTCCTGAAAAGGCAACAGTAGACAATTTGTGTTCTATTGTTGGTTATGAATAACATATGATGTTATGTGGCTACAGTAGCACCATGTGACTTTGAAATTCCGAAATTTTAGCACTTAAATCTGGAGGGATTTCTGCCAAAAGCCACTGGGTTTCGAGATTTGCTCCTGAGTCTCTGGGATCATGGCCATTGAGCAGCTTGATCAGGAGCCAGAGAGGCTATTTGTGGGCGATGACTTGGGGTCTCGTTGCAGTGAGGCGGTCAGGCCCGGCTCTCCCCATCCCGCAAGGCCGAACAAGTTTCGTCACTGCAGGCCCAAGCCTGACTGTCCAATGGCCTCTGGAGGATGATGGTCACCAAAGGCAAGCTTCTTAATTCCTGCGCTAGCTCTCTGGCCCTTTTTTATTTTTTATTGTATTTATTTTTGGGTTTGGGGTCACATTCTGCAGTGCTCAGGGCATACTCCTGGCTCTGTGCTCAGAGATCATTTCTGGTGGGCTCAGGGGATTCTGGGGTGCTGGGGACTGAATGCAGGTTGGCTGTGTGCAGGGCAAGTGCACACTACAGTGTACTCTGCTGTAGTATCACCTTTTTAAATTTTTTATATGAAGTCTGGTGTGACTGGAGAGTTTGAACAGGCCTGACTCTTGCCTTGCACCCTCCTGTTCACCAGCCAGATACAATTCTGTAAGGAGATGCCTGGAGGCTGACTCTGGGGATCATCTGGCAGGTTTGGAACTGGGATCCTGTGAGGACAGTGATGAGCCGGGACAGACATGTGTGCCTTAGAGATATCTACAAACAGTTGTGGGTGAATGCACATGGGCTGGGGGCTGACTCAAAGCATGGGTGCCCATGCCTGGCACTTGGAGCCTGAGTTCCATCCCAATACTAAATGGGCTCCCCAAGCAACACCAGGCTTGAGTGGTGTAGCCTGGGACCCTCAGCACCTTCAGGCTTGAGCACCAAACCTTCAGGCTCCCAGAGACAGACTTCAGTCTCGCCAGGAGAGATCTCTGCTGGGGAGCCCTCCCAAAATACAAAAGAAATGACTCTGGAGTAGGAAATATTTTCATTTTATTATTAACTGCTATCAATTATACCAATCATTTTGTTATAATTAGCTTTTGCTACATTCTTACCTAGATTTTGTTATTACCCATGTAGCACTGTAGCACTGTCCTGTTGTTCATCAATATGCTTGAGCGGGCCCAGTAACATCTCCATTGTGAGACTTGTTACTGTGTTTGGCATATCGAATACTTCACGGGAAGGTTGCCAGGCTTTGCCGTGCGGGCGAGATACTCTTGGTAGCCTGCCAGGTTCTCTGAGAGGGGCAGAGGAATCGAACTCTGGTTGGCCATGTTGGCCGCGTGCAAGGCAAATGCCTTACCCGCTGTGCTATCGCTCTAGACCATTACCTATGTAATACATTAAAAAATGGAGCCACAATGGGACTGAAGAGTGGGGAAGGTGTTTATCTTGCACGTGGCCAACTAGGGCTTAATCCATGGCACCCCATTTGAGCCACTCCCCAAACTCTCTCATCTGGGAACTGAAAGTTGGTATCCTTTGCCCATTATCTCCCTGACACCCCTCACACACCAGTTGTTTTACCCACACAGTGTGGGAATAAAAGAAAACTTCATATGCTGCCTACCCAGTTGGATCTCCAGCACCACAGATGTTCCCAGAGCCCATCAGGAGAGCCATAAATGACCCTTAAGAATAGCTGGGTGTAGCCCCCCTGACCCCCCACAAAAAAACAATTACACCTTGGACTCCTCTCTCATTTCCTTTCTCCTTCAAGATGCCACTTGGGTCCTTGCCCCTTGCTCTATCCTTTGTCATATTAAGACAGGTTGCAACCTTTACAACTGTGATCACATACAACCTTTGTGCATGCGTAGGTGGGGAGTCATACTCAGCAGTGCTCAGGGCTTACTCCTGATTCAGTACTTGTGGATCACAGACAGCCTGGTAGGGCTTTGGGGCTACTGGGAATTAAACACCAGTGCAAGGAAAGCTCCCAGCCTGCTGTACCAATGCTGTCATCCTTAATGACTAGGACACGTTTTGAGAAATGGGTCATTAGGTGCTGATGTCAGAGTACAAACGTCATGGATGATGAACACAGAAACTAGGTGTACTCCCAGGGTTTACGCATGCACCTGGGCTGAGGCGCACACCTGCTTAGATAACTGGGTGTTGGTGAGTGGTGTATCTTGTGCTACACTCACACACGCATTCGTGCATTCATTCACTCATGCACTCAGTCACCCACCCATCCATTCGTTGATTACTGCAGGCATTCACTTCTTCCAGCATTCAGTGCGTGCATTCATTTACCCATCCACCCACTCACTCCCTTGTGCACTCATTCCTTCACCTGTCCGTGTAAGAACGCATTTGGCCGCACATCGTTCCCGCACGCAGGCATTCACTCTGTCCACACTGCCTGCACCTGCCCTGAACCGCGCTCGCTTCCATACGGAGTACCCAGCCTCCAGCGAGACAAAGGCCGCGCGCTGCAAGCGTGGAGCTTATTATTCGGGGTGTAATTATGATGAGTAGCTAATTATGTTTGTCTCAAAGATTGGCTCGGGGCAGGGGATCCTAATGGGGGAGTGTCCCCGGGGAGCGCCTCAGGACTCAGGCCGTTTACGCGCAGATTTGTTTTGTGGGTACTTTCTAAATTACACGGGGTACCTGAGGGAGAGAAGAACGCGGAGCCCTTTGTAGCCCGGCAAGGTTGTCAATAAAGTTGGTCGCCGTGGCAACGTCAGGCCCCGCCGGGCGAGGAGCGCGCGCGCATCCCCACCCCCACCCGCCGCGGGTTTCCGGAGGCTGAAGAATCCACCCCAGAAGGGGAGGCGGGAGGTAGAGACTGGGGACGAGCCTGAGCCAATGGAAGCAGAAGTCGCTCCAGCTCCAGCCAATCGTCTGTAGCTTCTGGAGTCCGCAGAGCCCGCTCTTTTTCCACTTGGACTCCGAATAACCTGACCCAAACCCTAGTTTCGCCGGGAGCGACGGCGCTTCAGGCCAATGAGAGCGCCGACTACGGGCCGTGGGCGGGAATAGTCTCCGAGGCAGACAGCCGCGTGAGCCTATTGCTGCCGCGGAAGGCGCCGGACGGCGGCGCAGGCGTGGCGGGGTTCGTGGGGCTCCGGCGGGGAGGAGCGGAGTGAGGCCCCACCAATGAGAGCGGCCCTGGCGCCATGGCAACCGATGATTGGCGGCGGCCGGAGCCAATGGAGGGCCGCAGGAGCCGTGGCGGGGCGGGCCCGGCGGAGCGGACAGGAGCTCGGTGGCCCGGCGGCCGGGAGCCGGAGGAGGCTGTGGGAGGTGGTGGCGGCGGCGGCGCGGAGGAGGAGGCGGAGGAGAAGCGGGTGAGGGGCGGCGCGGGGTCCCACCTCTGAGCCCCCTCTGGTCCCCGCCCCGCGCCGCCTTGCTCCCAGTCGCCCTCAGTCCCGACTGGCCCCCGCCCCGGTCCCTCCTCATGTGCAGGCTCCCAAGTCCCCCGGCCCTTCCTCAGGCCTCGGGCTCCTGTGGGCGCCGCAGCCCCTTCTCTGTGCTTCTTCAGGCACCCGCCGGCCCCTCCTTGCGCCCCAGGCGTCCCGCGACTCTCCTTGTCTCAGACCTTCCCCCGAGCCCCGCTGCCGCCTCAGATCCTCCCCTGGAAAGCCTGAGCTTCCCCCTGGCCCAGTCCTCCTGACCCTTGCCTTCCCGTCAGGCTCTCTCCCGCACCCCAAGGCCGCCTCCTCGCCCCTTTCCCGTCCCAGACCTTCGCTGACACCCTCGCTATCTCCCCAGGTCCCCCTGGCGCCCCAGTTTCCCGTCTCGCGGCTTCCTCGCGCTGCTTTCTGCACCCTCGGGATCCCCTCGGCTCCTCCAGTCCCCCTGGACCCCCTCGACATTCTGGGGATCCCTCGTGGGTTCCAGGTCCCAGCACACCCCGGCCCCTCCTCAGCGCCCAGCTAAACCGCTCTGAAACTGGCCTCTCCCCACTGGCCCTGGCCGCTTCCGGCCCGCGCCCCCCTTCCGTCCCCTCCCGCTTTTCTAGACCCAGGCTCCCAGGGCCCTCCCGGCCCCCCTTCCTGGTGTCCTCATGGACTCCCCCAGAACTGTTGAGATGTGGGTGTCCCTGTGAGCAGTCTGAGGTGTGGGTGTCCCCGTGAGCAGTCTGAGGTGTGGGTGTCCCTGTGAGCAGTCGCAGCTTGCCCCTTTCGTTTTCCCCTCCCCCCCTTTGTCCTCTGCACCCCCTCCCGCAGAGCCCTGGAGGGGAGCAGGTGCGGCTGCTCTCCCTCCCTCTCCCGCCCCCCCCCCCCCCCCCCCCCCCGCAGACTGCCTGGGGCCTCCCTAGCTTGCAGTCCTGAGGGCTGTGGGGTACAGGGCGGGGAGCAGTGCAGCGTGTCCCTTTCCTCTGCTTGAGCCTCGGGCAGCGCGGAGCCCTCCTACTTCAGACCACCCATTAGCTGGTCCCCACGCCAGCGGGGACACGCATGGTGTGTGTGTGGCCGTGGAGGGTCCGCCTGCTCGTGGACCTCTGTCCCATCAGGCATCAGGAGCTAGATTCTGATAGTGCTTCCCGGCGTACTGGGGGGCTTTCTGCACTCTGCCTGGAGAACTTGTTGATCTCATCTCGCCCTGCACTGCTTCCCCCCTCCCCAGTAGAGTGGAGGACACAAGGGCAGGCCAGTCGCATGCGCCCCCTTTAAGTGGCACCTGCTGCACCAGCACCCCCAGCGCAGCCTGCCAGTGCCCCCTACCCACTGTGGGAGGCAGCATGGTCTGGGGTCACCATGGGACCCGACAGAGTGACTGCGCGGGAGCTGTGTGAGAACGACGACCTGGCCACCAGCCTGGTCCTGGACCCCTACCTGGGCTTCCGCACCCATAAGATGAATGTCAGGTGAGGGGCTGGGGTGGGGGGCCGGGGTCCAGGCTGGGGACCCTTCCCTGCTGCCACCAGCCACACTGAGGGCCACTGTGAGGTCTGTGCGGAGGGCAGCGGGGGGCCGGGCCCAAGGGGTGTAGGCCCAGGCCCCGGGACCCAGGTGTGCGCTCTCCCCCAGCCCTGTGCCGCCTTTGCGGCGACAGCAGCATCTGCGCTCAGCGCTGGAGGCCTTCCTGAGGCAGCGGGACCTGGAGGCCGCGTTCCGGGCCCTGACACGGGGAGGCTGGATGACCCACTACTTCCAGAGCCGGGGCCCACGGCAGGAGGCCGCCCTCAAGACCCACGTGAGGGCGCCCACCCCTCCCCACCCACCCTCCCCACTCACCCCGGACCCCCCCCCCCCAGCTATCAGCCCCGAGCCCCTTGGTGCCTTGCCCCCCCACGGCTGGACTTACCCACTTCCTTAGCCGTGAGGACCCTCTGAGGAGAGGTGCAGAGATGCCTAGGAGACTTGGGGGCCCTCCCAGATGGAGCCCCACCTCCTCATTTGACAGATGAGGACACTGAACGCCCCCACAGCGGGAAGTGAGTCCCCCAAGAGCTCTCAGCGAGTCAGTGCAGAGCAGTAGAGCCCCGAGAGCCTGGCCACCCCCTCACCACTGCTCCTCACTCCCCAGATCTACCGCTACCTCCGCGCCTTCCTACCTGAGAGTGGCTTCACCATCCTGCCCTGTACCCGCTATTCCATGGAGACCAACGGTGCCAAGATAGTGTCCACGCGGGCTTGGTAAGTGGTGCCCCCCACCCCCTTCTGGCTGGAGGCCTGTGGGCCTAGGGGGGGGCCCCAGAAGACCCTCCTCAGCCAGGCAGGGTGAGGCCCCCTGCCAGCCATCTCCAGCAAGCACCAAGCACCTGATATTTAAAGGGAGGCGGTGAAGGGGGGCTGGAAGACAAGGGTCAACATGGTGCGGTGACCTCCCCAGTCAGCACAAGAATGGTGCTGCAGAAGGAGGGCGAGGCGGATCACTCGGGCCTGCCAGGGGAGCACAAGGTGGGCAGTGGCGCCTGGGTTCATGCCCCATGGCCATCCACCTCAGGAAGAAGAATGAGAAGCTGGAACTGCTGGTGGGTTGCGTCGCTGAGCTGCGTGAGGCGGATGAGGGGCTGCTGCGGGCCGGTGAGAACGACTTCAGCATCATGTACTCCACCCGAAAGCGCAGTGCACAGCTGTGGCTCGGTCCGGCAGCCTTCATCAACCATGGTGGGCACAGGGTGGTGGGTGGTGGTATGGGTGCAGGTGCGGGCAGCCTGACCCCACTCACTGCCCGCTCTTCTCTCCCCACTCCCTCCGCGCCGTCACTCCGGCTCCAGACTGCAAGCCCAACTGCAAGGTGAGGGAGCCTGCGGGAGGTGAGGGCCCCGGCCCCAGGCTTCCGTCTTGCTTCCTGGGCCCTAGGGTGCAGGCCATGGGGAGCCTGAACTGCGGGGAAATGGTGCCTCAGTGCCGAAGTCTGACCACGGCCCAGGCGCCTGGATTGCAGATGGAAGAAGGCTTGTGTCCTGGTCCCCTGCTGGCGCACCATACAGGCTCCAGGTGGACAGAGCCAGCAATACCCACCCCCCACCACCTTAAATCTTACCTGGCTAGTGCCAATGCCTGACCTCCTGGGGGTGTGCTGGCTGTGCTGGCTGTGCCTGGCCGGACGGGGGCATCAGAGGCACTGACTGGGGTGGAGAGTGCATGCTAATGAGCTGGCGGTTTAGGGGGTGGGGGAGGGGCTCTGGGCTGTGGAGATGGGGCACTGAGGCATGGCCCTGCAGTTTGTACCCACAGATGGAAATGCTGCCTGTGTGAAGGTGCTGCGAGACATCGAGCCGGGCGATGAGGTGACCTGCTTCTATGGCGATGGCTTCTTCGGGGAAAAGAACGAACACTGTGAATGTTACACCTGTGAGAGGTGCTGCCAGGCAGGGCGGGAGGGTGCAGTGGGAGCCCCGGAGGGCAGCGTCCCTGACTCCCTCTGCCCTCTCCCCCGTTAGGAAAGGCGAGGGTGCTTTCAGGTTGCATCCGCGGGAGCCCCAGCCGTCTCGGCCCCCAGACAAATACGAGCTGCGGGAGACCAAGCGTCGGCTGCAAGGCCTCCTGGGCCCCCGAGCCTGCACCCACCTGTCCTCACGGCATGGGCACCGCGATTCCTGCAGTGAGTGCCACTGTGCTGACCCTTCTCTCCAAACCTCTCGGCCCCTTTCTACTGCCCCGCTGACACCTCCCCTTTCTCTGCAGTGGTCTGCCAGCCTTTGCGGTCCTTGTCCTGCAGCTGCCGCCCTGACACCTCCCCACTCTGGCTCCAGTGGCTGCCACAGCCCCAGCTTCTGGTGCAGCCCCGGAATTACCGGCGTCCCCGAAAGTGCCGGCGCTCCCAGCCCCAGCGGGCCACCACGGCACTCCCTGTTCTCCCAGCCACCCGCGTCTCCCTGCATCCATGGGGAGGTTGTGGGCCCCATTGCCGCCTGCAGGGTGAGGCCCGGGTAGCCCTGACCCGAGCGGCCATTCCCAGCTGGACCCCACAGCACGACTGGCACTGGGCACGGCGCTATGGACTGCCTTATGTGCTGCGCGTGAACCTGAGCCGGGCTGGGCCCACATCCACCATCCCTACACCTGCCAGCTACCCGGTCCCTGTTCCTGTCCCTAAGCAGGCCCTGGCCTTTGCCCCCTTCTCCCCACCCAAGCGCCTGCGACTGGTGGTCAGCCACGGCTCCATTGACCTGGATGTCCACGGTGAGGGTCCTTGACAGCTATGCCAGGAGGCCCTTGCTCTGGGTCTTGGTGGAGCAAAAGCCACTGGAGGGAGCCTACCCTGACCCCAGCACAGCTCTGAGCCACTGGTGGCAGTTGCTGGAGAGACCCCAGCTCTGCCCCTGTCCTCCTGTGACTGCTGACCCCAGCAGCGGGGACCTCTGGCTAGGCTGCCCTCCCCAGGGAGCAAAGCCATAGGGGCAGGGCTGGCAAGAACTCCCTAGAGACTGTCTTAGGGGGGCAGGGCTGGGGTGTCAGGGTGCATCTGCAGCACCCCTGGCAGGTCTCAGGGAGGCTGGTGCTGACCTCATCTTTCTTATGGTGCTGTCCCTGGTGCTACTGGGGTGTGGGGGCTTGGAAGCATTTGAACTTTTTATTAAAACCTTGTTATAAACAGCCTCCTCAGAAGGTGCAGTCATTAAGAGGGACATGTGGGTGGGTGTCCACTGTGGGGAGACCTTCGGTCAGTCCTCACCAGCTCCAGCTTGCCTCACAGAAGTGCGCCCATTAGTGATGGTTCAACAAAAGCTTCCCCCCCCCACACACACACACCTAGCTGGGTGGGTGAAGTGGGGGTCAGAAAGGCATCGGAGGGGCTGAGACAGACCTGTTCTCGCCCTGGAGAGCCCTGCTTCCCTGTTTTGCAGATGGCTGGCATTTGTGGCTGCATATTCCTGGGTGTACTGTGGAATCCGCTTTGGCCCCTCTGTGCAGGCCAGCCACAGCAGGAAAGGGTGTGTGGAAGGAAAGTCAGAGGGTGCTGGGGCAGGACCCCTTTTACTGCACGCTGTTCAGCTAAGGTAGCTGGAGACAGGGAAGGGGAAATCCCCTCCTGAAGCACAGGGCTAACTTGTTCTGAGATCACTGGCTTCTGATAGGTGTCAGGTGTCAGCAGGGTGGCAGCAGAGTTGGGGGTGGCAGCAGAGATGGGGTGAGTTCTAGCTGGAACTGGCTTGGCCCTGCCCCCAGGGCTCCCATACCCGTAGGAGGGGCAACCGTCAACTCTCTCCCATCAGGGTAACAGGTCAGACACTGCCCACTAACCATGCCAGAGTCCCACTATCCCTATGCATGAAGGCCTGTTGGTGCTCTCTGACCCCTTTACAGTGTTAACACCCTGGTATGACTGCCCTGAGGCTGTGAGGCCAACTGGGCCCCCTGCAGGTTCACAGAGTCCTGCTGCTTTGTATGCAGAGGCCTATGATCCCACCAAGGGGTACCCTGAGGCCCTCTGGCATGCAACCTGTTTCTAGATCTTCAGATCTTCAGTCTCAACTTATCTGGGCTCTGAGAACTGGGAGCAGGGAGAGGGTAGTGACAGCTTCCCTGGGGGGGGCTGGGGGGTGGGGGAGCACAAGTGGTCAGGGGGGGTGACTGAGGGGGGATAGCAGGATATTTCTGGGTTACAAGGGATGGGAGCAGTACTAGGGGTCAGTGACCTGGGTCTCTAAGAATTCTGTGACTCAGGTGCTCTGCACTCCAATGCCACCCACACTCCAGTATCCCCCAACAGTGAATCTGTGACCCACCCCCGAACGCACATACATGGCTGCCTCTCAAGGCCAGGCTTCACTGTGCTTCCCAGTAAAGGCATCTCAGGTGGGGGTGGGAATGATGAGAGCAGTGTAGAGGACAGGGCATGGAAGGCTGTGGGGGAGGCCTGGGAGGTCCCCACCCCCCAAGCTCCCCTGGTCCTTTCTGGCATCTGCTTCATCTAGTAATAGAACACAGTTCTCGCCTCAGCGGGGAAAGCTGAGGCTCAGCAGGTGGAGATCTCAAGTGTCTTAGTAAAGCTGCTTTGATCCGCTTGACTTGGGGGCATCCCCAGCAGTGCCCAGAGCTTACTCCTGACCCTGCACTCTGGGGTCACTCCTTGTGGGGCTTGAGGCAACCTATATGGTGCAGAGGATTGAATTCAGATTGGCCTCATGCAAGCCAAGTGTCAGCTGTCCTATCATTCTAGCCCAAGGCTGCCTTTGAACTGAGCAGGGCTTGAGAGTTGATAGGGTGTCAGGGGGCACATCTGGTCCTGGGACTATCCCAAGAGAGCTCTGAGTCCACAGAATCTCATGGTGAGAGTGTGGGGCAGACACATGTGGCCAGAGCCTGCCGGTAGGAGGAGAAAGGGTAAGGCTACCCTGGCACTGTCAAGGGAGATGGGTATAGAACCTTGTCAGAGCAATCACAGGATAGGGACAAGGACATCCCGAGAGGGAAATGCAGAGGTTGGAGAGTCACAACTGGTGGTACAAAAAGACCCAAAACTCCTTGAAACTTAAGATGGTACAGGGCCAGGGGGCCAGACACAAGCAATCAAAAAGGCTGGAGGGGAGAGGTAGGGGAACTTGGGGGGGAGTGGGGGTGGCACGGGGGGGGGGGCGCGGCCTGACCCCACCCATCATGCTGCAGACTACTATCGTTGCCAGATCCATGTAAGTTTAAGAGCAGTTGGCCTCGAGAATCAAAGGACTGGTGATGGAGACAGCAGGGGGAGGCTGCAGCCTGAGGGGCATGGGAGCCGCTGGGGCTGGGTTCTATCCGGAGAGCAGTGTTCACAGCCCTCTCTGACCCTCTCCAAGGATCAGAACCCCAGTGTTCCCTTGGGGCAGACAATTAGAAGCAATGTCAGGCGCCACAAAGTTGTATTTGCAGCTTAAGGACTAGGGTAAGTATCCGGGCAGCGTGAAAGATGGCATCCGGGCTGAACCCTCAAAGGACCACGCGTGCTGCCTCAGATTTTGCCAGCGAAGGTCCCGTCCTGAATCTGCTCGGTCCAGCGTTGCACCTGGGAAAGAAGGGAAGCAGGGAGAGAGAAGGGTAGGAGGCAGGGGACGTCCTGCTCAGCTCGATTGGCCCTCCACCCGGACTCGAGTTCACGAGACTCTTCTCACCCAGCTCTTGGGGCACAACGAGCGGAACACATGTTGGTAATACAGGCAGGGCTCAGGGCTCTTGCCACGCCGATCCATGGCCTTCAGGCACCGATAGTAGTCTGCGGCGTGATGGGCGGGGTCAGGCCGCGCCCCCCGACGCCCTGCTCTGGTTCCCGCCCCGATCAATGTCTCCACCTTGACCAAGTCTGGCCTCCACGATTTGGCCCAGCTCGCTCCAGGCCAGTTCCACGCTCCCTCGGCTCAGACCAAGCCCCTCCCAAGAACACGCCTCCAAAACAGGCCACGCCTCTCCAAGATGCGATCTGCCGGGCCAGGGAACCAGCTCTGCGCGCCCGCACCCCGCCCCCTGTGGTTCAGTCACGCCCCCCTCGGGCGGGCCCAACCCTTCCGAGCCTGGCACGCTAGCCCCGCCTACCGACCCTTGGTCCCGGCATTCAAACCCTCCAGGCCCCGCCCACCTCCCTGGCCCCGCCCAAACGGGAGGCCCCGCCCACTAGTTGGTCCCGTCCCGGGTCCGTGAGGCCCCACCCGCCCTCGGCCCATCCTTCCAGGTGGGGCCCACGCGCCCGCCGCGGCCAGTCCCAACTCTCGCCTCAACGGTCTCCGCCCTCCCCGGAGTTCCGGAAACCGCTCCGCCTCTTCAGGTGGGGCGTGCTCTTCCTGCTCACCCCCTAAACTGGGGTGCGGGGTCTCACCCAGAAAGTTCTGGTAGCAGTTGCGGGTCTGATTCTGGTTAGGGAAACGGGGGTCGAAGGGCGGCGTTGTCCATTTCCTCCCGGAGGACTTCTGGGACTCACACATCTACAAAGTCTGTGGGGACCGGGCGTCTGTGGGCACTGGGGAGCCCCGCCCTCCCGGCGCCCGATCCACCACCCTGCCCTCACCTGTGGGAGTCCAGGAGTCGCCGGGGCGGTCAGCTGAGCTCGCGGCTCGGTCCGTAGTGAGGGGGTTCGCTTCTCCGAACAGGGAAGGAACGAGCCCCCGCCCCGATTGGCCGGGACCCCTCCCGGCGTGCGCGCGCACACAGGCACCCAGGCTACTGCACTCAGGCGTTTGGTTTAATCTTCGCGAAGCTGCGCCCCCGCGCGCCCCCCGGTCCCTGCCCCCAACATTTACACGTATAAACAGCTCTGATCTACCGCAGAGGGAGGGTTTTCCCGCCCGGCCTTTCAGCACCCTGCTTCTTACAGTGGGGCCTGCGGGTCGAGAGGAGAGAACGGGGCTGGGATGCGCTCCCACAACTCCAGCGCCAGACAGAGGCGGGTTCGGGGCACCGAGAGCGAGCTACCTGGCCGTGTTGCGCTGATCTGAACACTTGAGCCACTGAAGTCGGATTCTGGCATCCTGCTATTGCAGGTTCTGGAAACTCCGCGCTCTAGAGAGAGGTCCGGAGAGGGCTTTGCAGGGTGGGCAGCGAGGCGGGCTAAGTGCTCCTTATGTACGCCTGGGGAGGGTCTGGTTTTGCAGCAAGTGCATCATGAATGCAGTCCCTTCTCAGCAGCAGTCCAAGTGTACACACCAGCCTGAAAACCCTGATGATGCTGAGACGACCACCTCCCTCCTGTGGCATCAGGAGCCAAAAGAAGCCCCATACTTTATGCAGCACCTCCAGCCCCTGCCAACAAAGCTCTGGACATGCTGCATAGGCAACAGCCTCTGGCCATCATGGTCTGTTGACTTAGCATCACAATATCAAAGGGTACAGCACAGTGAACCCCCCACAAGCCTGTCCCATTGAGACCCAAGTAGCCTTTCGTCTCTTGCACAATCTACAGCTTTTACCCTGGTCCCTGGTCCCTGGCCCCTGGCCCTGGCCCTGGCCCCATTTTGTGCCCTCCTCACGCAATTGGCTGCAAACAGTGCTTGTCCACTGACATGCTGGAAGCAAGATGCCCAAAAGGGAAGCCAGGGGGCGGAAAAAGAAATACTGCAGGGCAATGACATTCTCACACATCCTCCTATGCCCAGTTTGAACCCCAGGCATTACATACAGCTCCCAGAGCACCACCAGAGGTCTATTCGTGAGCACAGAACGATGAAAGTCCTGAATGGGGCCAGAGTGACAGTACAGTTGGGAAGGCGCTTGTCTTGTGCACTTGGCTGATACAGATTCGATGCCCAGCACCCCATATGGTCCCCAGAGTCACCCAGGAGTGAAGAGCCAAGAGCACTGATGAGTGTACCCCTCAAAGAAACTCCCAAGCACTGCCAATTGTGCCCCCCATATAAATGAGGGGAAATGACCTGCCGGCTCCCGAGTTGCATCCTTTCACACACTCCTTACTCCCCAATTCCTCTGACTGCATGTCCTCCTCTGGGGTCATGGCAGCTCCTTCTTGGTCCAGACAGAGCACTCACCCTTGCCACAGACCTGTGACAGGCTTTTCCGTTGTCTCTCTTCCCTCTCCTTTAGGTCTTTGCACAAATGACACCACCTCCCTGAGTCTCTCAGGGCCACCCCATCAAAGTCCACTCTCCCCCACCTTGTCTCTCTAATGCACAACCCAGTGCTTTGTCTGTTCTTGTCCAAGACCCTCTCTTTAAGGTCACCTCTAGGGACACTTTATATGGGACTTTCCTTGCCAGAGAGAGGCCCCTGTGCACTGCAGCTCCACCCAGGTGCACTCAAGGAGCACATCTGCCCTCCTGCTAGATGCTGTATCCCGAGAGCCCTCCCCCCCACTCTGGCTACACAGGCACTCTGTGCTGTTGGCCCCTCTGAATCCCACTGGAAACAGAACTGATGGCATCAACTCAGCCACCAACCCTCAAATACCTGTGGAGCAAAGGCGCAGAAGCTCCTAAATTCTGTCCAGGTGACTCGTCTTTCTGTGGCTCCATCTCCTCCTTCGCCGTGGCCAATTCCTTCTTGCTTTCAGGTGCCTCGTTTTTCTGTGCCTCTGTCTCCTTCACAGTGGTCAATTCCGTCTTGCTATGCATCTCCGTGAGTGACCGGAGGAAGAAAGTCTGGGAGCTGGAGCCCACCGTGGCCACAACGGACTGCGGGGACTCAGGCTTCGGCCCCTGGGAGCCTTTCTTGAAATGGGACACCCTCTCCTTCAACTGGCTGATGGGGGTCTGTGAGGTGGGAGTGGGGGGAACCTCCTCCCATGTGGACTGGGGCAGAGGAATGGGTGCCTTGGAGATGGGCATCTTTGGGCCAGGGGCGACCCCCCGAGCATGAGAGGGCGGGGCGGGAGCCTCTCCCTGGTCTCTGGGCAGGTCCTCCCCTGTCCCTATGGAAACCGTGTTGCCCTCCTGGGCTTTAGAGGCCAGCAGCACCGTCTTCGTGAGCAACCTGGGCGACCTGTCCTTCAGGGAGTTCTGGCCCTTCATGGACACAGCTCGCAGGTGGGCAACAGACAGCCAGTACGGCGCTGTGGACTCACTTGGAGCTGCCGTCTGCTGGTCCACTGACTGGGCCATGATGATGAGTTTGGCCATGGCCAGGCCCTCAGCAGAGAAGGGTCTGCCCTGCTCTAGTGGGGCCACGGCCAGCACTGGACGCTTGTCCCACTTCTGGTGCTGTGCGCATGGCCAGAAGCCAGTCCTATCCATGTAGGTCTTTCTTGGGGCGCCAAGCGCCTCATCTCCCATCCTCCCCTCAACATTCTGGCCCTCCAGGTTTTGCCCCTGCCCACGGTGGGGTGGCAGTGCCTCCAATTCCACCACCGACCTGGGCGAGGGCCTGAGGGCAGGGGGCGCCCACTTGCTCCTTGCCTCTGGGGGCCCTTTCTTCTTGCCCCTCTGCTCCTTATCCTCCTTGTTGCTACTCAGAACCTGTTGATTCACACAGGCCTTGCTGGGGGGGGAGGCCTCAGGGTGCCGGCTCCTTGCCCACAGCCTTGAGGTGGCCTGGAAGGCTGATTTCTGCTTGTTGGAGAGGTAGCACGCCCCCTTGTGGTGAGCATCCACCCTGTGCGGCTCAGAGGGTTCAGGGCCCTTCAGGAGCACAGGCCTCATGGACAGCGCCTTGTGTGATGGGCAGGGTAGGTCCCGCTCTTTCCGGAGGGCCGATACAGGCAGGGCCTTCTGGGCTGGGGCTTTCTGGGACTGGTCGAGGAGCACAGGTGCGTTGTAGAAGGTGGTGGGCACAGAAGGGGTCTTTCTCATGGGTGGTGCTCCCGTTTTCTTCAGGGGCCTAGACAGCCAGCCCTTGTCTAGGTGCTTATGGGAGTGGGGGATGGGCTTGGTCTCCTGGAAGGCAGGAGAGTCTGCAAACTGGTCCAAGGAGGAAGAGGTCACGCTGCTGGATTCGGGGTCCATGAGCTCCTCCAGACCTTGCTGCCACAGGTGTCGATTGAGGTGGTCATAGGAGCCCAGCATGGACAAGTCGTGCTTGTTGGGTGGAATGCAGTGCTCTGAGGGTTCCACTAAACCCCCCATGGAGCTGATGTTCTTGTCATCAGGGGGGCCGACCTGTAGAAGAGGAGAGGAGAGAGGCAGATGCGGAGAGGAAATGTGAATCCAGAGGAATCCCACATCCCCAGCCTTCCACCCTCACTCCAGGAATGCCGGCCCTCTGCCCTCAGACCGGGAGACCCCCCTGGGGTCTAGGTGCCTTGGTCGAGGACTGTTTGTTGATGGTGTCGGAGACAATGCTAAAGATGGTCTGGATGGTGACGCTGTGTTTTTCTGGGGATAGGGTTCAGAACACAGTCTGAGTGCGCCCAAAAGGCACAGAGCTTTGGGGCTTGTCTTGGAGATGGAGGGAGAGGTGCTCTCACCGGAAACTTGGACATGGCGCTGAGATGTAGGCAGGTAGACACCTGGAGACCTGGAGATACAACAGAGCGGGAAGCTGGCAGTTCCATGCCAGGTCCCCATTCTTTACCCCAATCCTCAGGCCAGCACCCCGCCTACGCCTTCTCTTCGCCTTTCTTCTTGGTGGTCTTGGGCTCCTCCAGCTTTTGTGACCAAACGAGAGGCACCGAGTCGCCCACTGCCTGGGACCTGAACCTGCGCTGGAGTGTCTGCAGCTCGAAAGAGGAGGTAGGTGGCGTCAGCAGAACTGGCCCTCCCGTGACCCCGCCCACCACCCTAGGCCCCGCCCACACCTGCCTGTAGGCCCTCCCGAGGCCCCGCCCATAGTCCCTCCTAGACCCCGCCCACATCTCTCAGAGTTGTTCTGAGACCCCCCCACAGACTCTCCCAGGACCCTCACGCGGCCCCTCCCACAGCCCCTCCAGGGGCCTCCCGTGGTCCTGCCATGAACCTGCCCACAACCCCTCATGGCCACGCCCACGTGTCATCCCACTGACCTTTATGGCTCCGCCCTTGGCCCCTCCCATGGTCCCTCTTGGCCCTCCCACTGACTGGACCTGTCCATGGACGCTCCCTCTGACCCTTGTGGCCTCTCACCTTGACCTTCCTCTGTCTGTGTGGTGATGCCAGCGCCGAGAACGGAAAGGTGGGCTCCAGGACCACCGCTGCAAGGAGAGGGGGTGCTGAGTCGGGGATGCGGGAAGACTATGGCAGAGGATACTGCAGTGGTCTAAGCTGGAGGAGGAGGGCATGCAGAGACAGAGACCCTCAACAGCGCCGATGTTCACAGCCAGCTCACCTGAATGTTTGCAGGGGTCCTCCTGATCCTGCCACAAGGAAAGGGTGTCAGGGGCTACCAACCCCTGCACCTACTGCTATTCCCTCTCACATCAGAGGGACCCCACCTGCTTTAGAGCAAGGAGTCCAGACCCATGCCCTCCTCCCTCAGACCCAAGGTCCAGAACCCCAACCCTCCTCCCTCAGATCAAGAAATGCAGGCCCCAACCTCCCTTAGACCCAGGCCTTCAAACTACATTGCCAGGGACCCTGGCTTCAGACCCCCCTGCTGACTGCCTGTGGAATCTAGAACCATACACTGCCCGTCCCTGCACAGGGCAGCTTTGATGATGAGGGCGGTGGGGGGACAGGAACCGCACCTGGAGGCGCCAAGTAGAAGGGGGAGCGGTGGTGAGGTTGAGGTCCACTTGGGGGGCCCAGGCAGGGGCTGGCTCCTGCAGCTGGTGGATGAGGCGGATCCAGCGGTTGAACAGGAAACTTGCCTCACGGCTAGGAGCGTCCAGCTCGAGGTAGTAGTAACGGCCAGTGACCAGGCGCAGCTTCAGGCGCCAGGTGGCCAGTTCGTGCACGTACAGGTGTGCCAGGCCCAGCGGTATCATCCTGGGGGGGCCGGAGAGAGGTGGGCGGGGCAGGTTGGGCTGGGCCCGGGCGGGAGAGGGGACAGGGGTGGGGCCGGAGGCGGGGCCGGGAGAGAGGAGAAGGGGGCTGGGGCGTGCCGAGGGCGGGCGGACGGCACCTGGTGAGGACCAAGCTGGGGTGTTCGCGGTCCGGGGGCTGGCCGATGAGAAGCAGGTCGGGCAACAGGAGTCCAGGCAGGGAGGCGGCCACGCCTATGGTCACCCTGTTGGGCCGGTGGTGCACGTAAACGGGGCACCCTCTGTTGGTCACCTGCAGGCCAGGGAGAGGGGCTGGGACGACCCTCGTATTTCAGGCTTTCCCCACCCCCGCGGCACCAACCCCTGCACTCCACTGCCGCAGGCCCTGCCCTCCCCCCCAGCCGGGATGCCGGGAACCTGGACAAAGTTACTCTCGAACATGGGCAGCGGGCCGAGGGGCAGGTACTCGCCCTTCTGCAGGGTCTTCTGCAGCTCGCCGAGGATGGGGACCCACTTCGGGGTTCGAGGGAGTGATTCCAGGAACCGTGATTTCCAGAAGCGGTTCATGGTGGCGGCGGAGAGTTGGGGGGGGGGGTCTCCGAGGGGCAGGGAGTTAGGGACTCCGCGCCGGGCGGGACCTGCCCGCCCTCCCGCGCCCCCCAGCCCTCTCGGCCCCTTGGGCTTCACCGGGCGCCTGCCTGGGAGTCAGAGGAAGGACTCGCAGGGCTCGGCCCCTGCGGGGAGTCGCGGGGGCAGGGGAGAAGCCGTCCCGGGGGCTTTGTGACCTCACCGCACACCCGCGGAACTCTTTGGGCGGAGCGGGAAGGGCGCCCTCCTCTGGCTACATGCGAAGTGTAGGGGTGGCGAGGGGATTGAATCAGAACCATGGCCCAGCCAGTGTGGGTGTGTGGGGGGTTCTGCTTGGCTATTGGAAGTGGGTCATGCAGGGCTTTCTGTCTTCCCTCCGGAAGGCCCTGAATAGAACCTCATGGCCAGTGTCCTCTCCTGACCCTCCAAAAGAACTGCAATTCACCACTGTGGGTGCTGGAGCAGGCACATCCCTTCTTCCAACGGTTGCCATTGCTTTGGATTTTGGCTTTAGGGCCACACAATGGCCACACACTCCTTTGGGGCAGTGTTAAGGGATCACCCCTGGTCCTGTGCTCTGGGATCACCGCTCAGGATCACTGCTCAGGATCACTACTTGGGATCACTGCAGGGGGAACCAAGGATTGAACGGATCAGCTCATGCCAAACAAGCACCTGACTGCTGTACAGTCTCTGGCTCAGAGTTATCTTAATCTCTTGAATTTTAATTACAAAGGGGCACCAGGATTAGGGAGGAGATAAATCATGGTTTCTCATGCCCTCTCCCACAGACAGTTTTTTACTCTGTCACCTGTAACGTGGTGGGTGGCAGGTTAGAGGATTTAGGGTCTCATTAGCAAAACCCCACTCAGGGCCCAATGTGGGGAGTTGGGCTTGCTAGACCATCATTCTAAAAATAGTGTTTATTATTATTATCTTTTAAAAATGGTGTCATGCAAAATACATGGTCGTGGCCAGGATTCTGGAAATACAAACACCCAGAACAGAAGTCCCCACCATCCCATCCCCGCTGGAACCCATGCCTTCAGCAGCCACATCTGTGTCCTTGCAAGACTTTTGTTTCTCAGCCCCGTCCCGCCGAGGGATGTGGGGTTTCAGGTTGCTCTCGGGGTCACAGTGCCTGCAGGATGGATGTGGATGGCCGGAACAATGGCTCGCCTGCTTGGGATCTGCAGGCTCTCCGATCTGTTGTAGCAAACTAGACTGCAACAAACCACCTTTTCCTCGGAGTATACCTTCTGAAGACTTTCTGGAACCTTTCATCAGATGTTTGCTGGGTGCCTACTACGTGCTGGGCATCACAGGAGGCTCCAAGCCTGCCTCCTGGAGCTCCTGGTCTCAGAGCGGGGTGGGGGCTCATGGCCCTGAGTGCCCCACCTCCCCACCCCTGTGGACAAAAGGGCTCTGCAACTGGCGGTCTCACATCATCACCCCAGTCTCATGCGCTTGTCCGAAGGCCCAGGCCTCCTTTCCCATCCCCGCCCTTCCAGCCGAGCAGAAATTGAATTAAATAAATAATATACCAGTTCCTTCCCAGGGGAAGGGCCACGGGGACAGTGTATCAGGCTTCCAACAGATCCAAGAGCCTGTGACCCAGATCCCTCCGCAGGGGACCCCTGAGTACACCTGTCTCCTCCCCCCAATTAAATAAATAAGTATAAATAAGACACAGATGACCTGCCAGGGTCTCCTGGAGGGTCTGCTGATAACAAGGCGAAATAGTGCAGGGGTCCTAACTGCCACACCCCGAATAAATAAATAAATAAAGATCTGGCTCCAGTGGCTGGTGGCTCAGGCCGGTCACAGCCGCATCCTCAGGAGCAGCAGGCCCCTCACGGCCCAGTCCAGGGTGAGGTGCAGGCCCCCCAGGATGGCGTGTGCTGCACGGACACCTCCCCAGGCAGAGGCTGGGGGTGCCAGGGGGGGCACCAGCGGGTCTGGGGGCACCTGCGCCAGTGCCAGGCTGGATATCTGCGGGAGAAGACAGTGGTCAGCAAGAGGTTAGGAGTACATGAAGAGGGTCTTGGGGAAGTGGTGCTGGGGGTCCTGGTTATAGACTTGAGAACCTCCCATCCCCCATATGATGGTGAAGGGTCTGTCCAGGGTCATCTTCAGAAGCTGGATTGAGAAAATTAGAAAATTGAGACTGGTGTGGTTGAAAGACCCAGGATGGGCCTTGGGGTGGGCATGACTGGCAGTGGGGGACTCCAGGGCCAGTTCTCACTGCCCAGTTCTCTTGGGGCAAATTCAAGGACCAAGGTGAGGGCTGGGCCCCGTTTGTGGCTGGCCCAGTTGGGAGCTGGACTCTGAGGCCCATCTGGGTGAGGCTGGGACTGGGGTTCTGGTCTATAAGTTAGGGTTTTGGGTTTGAAGGCACCTTCTTGGGGAATCTTAGGGAGGTTGACACCTGTCTAGTTGCTGTCTATTGATCTTGCCACCCCCGTTCCAGTAAAAACAACATGATTCAATGACCCTCTGGAAATCTGCTTCCAGCAAAGAAAAGGAAGCGCCAACAAGTGAACCAAAACTTTAGCTCACCCTGCCATTCAGGCGCAGCCTTGGGGACATCATCACTCCCTGAGGAAGTCCTGGTCTAGAGGCTTCTGGTCTGAGATTTTAGGGCACCAGAGCTATGGTCTTGGAATCCTGGGCTGCTCAACTCAGGTGTCAGGCTGACACTGATGCCCAGCTATGGTCAGCACTGCCCAGATGCCCCATGGACTGTGGCATTACTCTGATTCCCACCAGTTGTGTGTGTTGAGTTCTAGGAAATAAATTTCTAGGACTTGGATTTGTAACTGCCAAGTGTCCCAGTAGGGTTTGGATCTGCCATGTTGGAGCTGAGGGGGCATGTTGGGGTCTTGGTCTTGAGTGCAGGCTTACAGGTCCCAGACAGGAATGTGGGGCTGGAGCTTTGGTGTCCTAGGGAGACCCTAACGGGGTCTCCAAGCAGCCTGGAGGGTCCCAGGTATCAAGCCTCAGGGATGTGGATCTCCGTTAGGGGCCTACCAGGAGCTGCAGCCGGCGCAGCAGCCGCTCCAGTCGCATCTGTAGGGCACCCAGCTCTGGCTCCAGGCTCCGCAGGGAGGTGCCTCCCACTCGGCGCAGCCACTGCACGTGGCGCAGGTAGGAGAGTAGGTCTGCGCGCAGCCGGGACAGCACACCCGGGACCTGCAGGGGTGACAGCGAGGGACTCCAGCCGCCTCTACCCTGAGCCCCTTCCTTCCTCTCCCCTGCCAAGCTCCACGAGCCTCTCCTCCTCTTCCAGCCTTTTCTCTGCCTCCCTCCCCTTCTTTCTTCTCCTCCTCTCTCCTGCAAAGCTCCAACAACCTGCCCTCCTCCCCTTTACTCTCCCTCCTCTCCCCTCCCTACCAAGCTCTGAGCCCCTCTTTTCCTCTCCCCTGCCCACCCTGCAGGGCTCCAAGTCCCTCCCCTTCTCTCCTCTCCTCTCCCTGGCAGAGTTCAGAGTCCTTTTCTTCCTTTCCCCTCCTCTCCTCTCCTCTGCAGAGTTCCTCTCCCCCATCTCCCCCCCCTCCCATCTCTGTCCCATAGGAGTCCGAGCCCCTCCCCCTCTCCCCTCTCTCACCTGCAGAGCTCCTAGTGCACCTGCACTCATGGCCAAGGTGGGCAGTGAGTCTAGATTGTGATCTCCATCGGCTGGGAATTTGTCTCTCTGGGGAGAAAGCAGCTGTGAGGGGGAAGCTGACCCATTTCTGGGGGTCCCCCATGTCCCCAGGCCTCTGTAGAAAGCTCAGAAGGTCCACGGGCACCCCTACAGGTCACTGTGGCTCCTACCAGCTGGGAGGCCAGCTGCCGCGTGTCAGCCAGGAGGGCTCGGGTCAGGAGGACGATGCTGTCCAGCTCCACTCGAGGGTCGGAGGAGGCCCGGGGCAGGCCTGGAGGCGGCCCTGGGGCAGCAGCTTCATCTGGCTTCAGGCTCAGCATAACCAGGACCAGGCAGCAAACACCTGAGTGAGAAAAACCAGAAAGGCTGATGATGAGGCTGGAGGCTCTGGACTGGGGTCTGAGGGAAGAGGAGCTTAAGGGTCTCAACTATTGGGTCTGAGGGAGGAGGCGCTAGAGGACTCTTGGGTCTGAGGGACAAGACAAGGCTGAAGGTCTGGACTCCTGGATCTGCCGGAGGAGAGGGATGTCTCAATTCCTGGATCTGAAAGAGGAGGCTGGAGACTTGAACTCTTGGGTCTGAGGGAGAAGGTTGAGTGGTTGGGGGCGGGGCCCGGACTCCCGGATCTGAGGGAGGAGGCTGGGGGCGTGGAGTGCCCGGGTGGCCGCCCAGGGCAGGTCGCAGGGCCTGGCGGGCTCTGCTCCACTCCGCCTGCCCCACCCGTCGGAGCAGACGCGGCCCGGGGCGGGTAGACGGGCCGGGCGTCTCCCGTCCGCCCCCGGACGCCGGAATCTGGGCCCCGGGGCGGGGCATGAGGGGCGAGGCACAGGCCAGAACCTGCCCCCTCCCCGGGCCGGGAGCCCCAGCCGGACTGAGGCGGCCAGGGCCCTCGGGACGCAGAGGGAGGGCCGGACCCCTCGGCGGCAGACGGCCCGGGGCTCCGCGACGCGCCACGTGGGCCTCGTGGGCCGCGTGCCGTGCGGGGCGAGCCGGGCCGCAGCAGGGCGCGGGCTAGGGCCGGGCACCCCCGAGAGTGGGCACCGCCGCCGCGCCCCCTCCCCTCCCCGGCCCCGCCCACCCCGACAGCCAATCAGCGCCCCCCGGGCCGCCGCGCTCCGCCGCACACCCCCAGCCCGCCCCCTGGTCCCCTCCCGCAGCCGCCAGTGCGCACCCCCGTGTCTCTCCGCGGCGTCTCCCCCTGGCCGCCCACTCCTTCACCCCCGGGGGCTCTCTGCCTCAGTTTCCCTCCCGGAGCCTCTCTGGCGGCGTCCCTGGGTGCGAGAGTCCCGGGGACTACCCGGAGGTCCGCTCCTGAGGATGCCCACATCTGCCTTGTTGGGGGACCCGTCGAGGGACACTATCGCTTCTGCCGGTCTCTTGTCCAGGCCCTCGCACTGCCCCTCGTCCCCTCAGGCGGTGCCTAGCTACCCGCTCCGTCTGTCCCGTCAGGGGGTCCATCTCTGACTTCCCCTCCTCGCGGTGGGGGTCCCCCGCACCCTCCCTGCCCGCCCCCCATTAACTTGAAGCCACTTACTGTTCATGGCCCCGCAGGGCAGGGGTCCCCTGGGCAGGAGGCGGGGAACCCTTTAACCCTCCCCTGTCCACTGCAGGGTGCCCCGGGGGTCAGCTGGGCCTCGGCCTGGGGAGGGGAGGCATGTGCGCGGGGAGCAGGCGCCCGGCAGTGCGGGAGTGTGCCGCCTGGGGGTTATATAGGGGGCCGGGGCGGGCGGGCGGGGGGCAGGCGGCAGGGAGGGCGCCTGACACATTCTGACTCACCCTCCCCCCGCCTGCCTTTTCCATTCACACGGAGCCGGCAGCCGCGCAGCGCTCACGCCTGCTCAGCGGACGGCGCGGAAGGAAAAGTTGGAAAAGTTGAAAGGGAAAGGGGGGGGGGGTCGGAGAGGGGCTGGTGAGGTCATTGGCGTCCCCTCCCTCCACCTCCTCCGCCGGCTGCCCCGCTGGATCGCTGGGGCCCTGTTGTGAGTGGGGTGGGGGGACCCCCGTCGGGCAAGGGACGGAGAGAGCCAGAGAGAGAGCTGACCTGGGTCGGGGGGACAGGCATGGGACGGTGAAGGCTTCAGGGGGCCACCTGGGAGACACTCACAGCAACTCTGGCAGCAAGACAGAAAGTCAGGGCACTGAGCTAGGGGGACACGGACGCTCAGGGCAGCTTTGCCAGTTTGCGGTCCCGCCCGGGGCAGGGAGCAGAGATGCCAGGAGGCTCCAAGCACGTGGCAAGGTGGGCAGAGCTAGACAGATTTGTAGAACGCCAAAGAATGGGGATTCTTGAAGGGAGCCATGGCAGGGGCAGAGGAAACGGAGAAACTGAGGCAGGGTCCTGAAGACCAAGAGCTCAGGGAAGCAGAGATGGGGATGCTGAGATGTTGGGGAGTCCTGGGCCAGACACAGGGATGAAAAGGGGAAGAAACAGGAAACCTTCAGTCACTCAGCGACTCACCCCTGCCTCAGTTTCCTCAACTGTGAAATGGTGCCACTTGGGGTGGGGTGTAGGAGTCTTGGGGCCGGGCATAGCTCCTCAGTAAACAGGACTCAGCCCCCTTTAGTCACAGTCTCCCCTCCACACAGGGGCAGCAGCTGGTGGGGAGTCCAGCGGGGCTCAGCCTGGAGCTCTGGGGCTGACAGGGATTGGGGAGAAGGAGGGGGCAGCAGCTTCAGGGGACCCAGAACACTGTGACAGAAGCTTGAAACCCAGCAGCAAGATGCCAACGGGAGCCAGAGATCCCAGGTTTGCCCAGGTTGCAGGGGACAGGAGGGAGGCAGACAAAAGGTGACAGGGCTGCCACGGCCCCTGCTGGCAGCTGGCACATCCCTCTCCCCCACACCGCGGTGTGGGGGCACAGACTCAGGGGCCTCTGGGAGGTGAGGTCACAGCCCCCTGTGCGGGACATGACTTCATCGCCGCAGGTAAGTTCCTTCCCCCGGCCAGCAGAGCCCTTCCAGACCCCCCGGGGCCTCTGCAGCTCAGTGCCCTTGGGGCCCCAGACCTCGGACCACTAGGTCTCCACCCTTTGGGGGGTCTGTTTCCGGCTGAGTCAGTGAGGGGGGCCCCAAGGTTGCGTCAGTAAGGGGAGAACTGACGTAGCCCCCCCCCACCAGTGTGACCAGCCAAGGTGACTCAGGCCACCAGCCTGGGGGATGGACTGACCCGAGGGGATGGGGGACAGGGCAGCCAGCCAGGAATCATGGGGGCTTCCCTAGCTTCAGGCAGGGGCCAGTTTCCAGTCTCCTCCCTCAGACCCGGGGTCCAGATCTCCCAGCCTCTCCTCCCTCAGATCCAAGAGTTCAGACCCCCGGCCCCTCCTCCCTCATACCCAGGAGTCCAGAGTCCCAATCCCCTCCCTCAGATCCAGGGTCCAGTCTGCAGCCTCCTCCCTCAGACGTAGGGTCCAAACCCCCAGCCCCTCCTCCTTCAGACAGGCATCCAGAATCCCAGCCCCTCCTCCCTTAGACCAGGAATCCAGCTCGCCAGCCTCCTTCCTCAAACTAGAGGTCCAAGCCCCTAGTCCTTCCTCCCTCACACTCAGTAGTCCAGACCCCCAAACCCTCCTCCCTCAGATCTGGTTTCCAGTCCCCAGACCGTCTGCCTTGAGGCCTGCTGGTCTAGACCTGCAGCCCCTCCTCCCTTAGTCTTGGAGGCTCAGGCTCCCAGCCTTCTCCCTCACACCCAGGTCCCTGTTCCTAAAAGTGCAGAATCCCGTGGGATGTGCTGGGGGGGTCAGTGTCCTGGGACCACAGTCCTGGCTTCAGAAACAGGGAGAGGCGGCAGGAGTCGGGGTATTGGGACTCCTGGGTCTTTCCTGGTGGGGACACCAGGGTACTTGTGTGGAAAAACATGGTGTGACGGAGGCAGGTGAGGAGCAGCAGGCAGTGGCCACGCATAGAGAGAGCTGCAGTCATGGGTGAGTAGGGGTGCAGGGCAGGGCGGGGCTCCCAGGTGGGCAGGGAACTGTGGGGGAACCTGCAAGGCGGGGCGGCTGTGGTGAGGTCAGCAGGTTCAGGGCTGTGTGTGTCCGTCTGTCTGTCCCTGGGGGGTCCTGTCTGGCCTCTGGGGGGTGACGGGTGGGGGCAGGCGGGCTGCAGAAGCTGCCCAAACCTGTCATTAGCGGTGAGAGCCATGACGGCTGGGGGGGGCCCATCCCACCCCGCGGTCCCTGGCGCCCCGCCCCCACCCCTTCCTTGATCCCTGAGGAATCCAGGGAATTGCGAAGTGGGTCCAGATGATGTTGACACAGGAAATGGTCAGCAGCTGTGTGGCCTCAGCTCCGCAGCCCACTGATCCCCCGACCCCCTGCCAGGTCCCTCTGACAGGGTGAGGCGCTCAGCCACGTGTATGTGAGATAGAGATGCGTCAGCAGCTTGCCCCCACACTGACGGGGTCGTGGATTCCCCACCCCGCCACTGCTTTCAGATCCCCAACTCCCTTACCCCTCAGACTTAGACCCCAGGGCACAGTTCTCCTCCTTTCTCAGACCCAGAAGTCTAGGTCCCCAGCCTCCTCCCTCAGACTTAGGGGTCCAGGCCTCCCAGTTCTTGCTCTCTAACTCAGGTGTTTACTCCCATCTCCCTGTACCCCAAAATTCACTCCCTAGGATTGCTGAGGCCCTTCTCACTGTGTAGGGGTAAAGCTGCGCATGGCCACACCGACCCCTACTCAGGCTGTTCCTTCTGGACTATGGGGAGTCACTCAAGCTTGAGGGGGTCTCCATTTGCACCCCCTCTTGCCTGTAAGGTCTCTGAAGAGTTCTGGCAGGGGATACAGGGAAGTCTGGGGTTTGGGGAAACTAGGGCAAGTCCACTGACTGGGGGCTTAGTACCAGGTTCTCATGGCCTGTGGATTGCTGGGGGCTTCCCGAACAATGGGGCTCAGTGAGGCCCCTCAATCAGTTGCTAGAAGAATCGTGGCAGCCAGTTCTCGAACTGAGGTGTGAAGCCATGTATTCTCAGCAACTCAGCTCTCGGTTTGTGAGTTTGGGGCTACACCTGACCATGCTCAGTGGGCACTCCTGGCTCTGTGCTCAGAGAGCATTCCTGGTGGGGCTGTGCAAGGTCTCCTCACTGTGCTCTCTCCAGCCTCCTCAGCATTCTTTTTTTGGGGGGAGGAGGAGCACATCCGTCAGTGCCCTGGGATTACTCCTGGCTTTGTGCTCAGCGATCACTTCTGGCAGGCTCATGGGACTGTATGGGGTGCCCGGGATTGAACCTGGGTTGGCTGCATGCAAGGCAAACACCCTCCCCCCGTCCCATCACTCTGGCCCAGCATTCAATTTCTAAGCCCATCTCTTGAGGCTCCCCCAGTTATGAGGAACCCCCACCTCCACCCCGAGGCTCTCTCCTCCTTGCTGCTAAGAAGGCAACTCCATAGCAACCAGGTGGCCAGTCCAGTATGACCTCCCTTCCTTTCCCCCATTGCTGAGGGAGCTCCCTGGCAACAGAACTCAGACTATTGGGGGGCAGGCGGGTGGGGCCAGGCTGGTTGCTGGGGTGATGGCACTCAAGGTCTTTTCCCACAGAGGCCCCAGGGTGCTGGGGAGGCGACATGGTGGGCTCTGGGATCCCCGCTTTGGGCCTCTTCCTGCTGATGCAGAGCTCCGCAGGTGAGGGCAGTGGGTGCAGAGTGACGAGTGGGTTGTCTCCTTCTCTGTACCCCCCAGCAATACCCCCTTTCTTTCCCAGAGGCGAATGGAATCCAGGGATTCTTCTATCCGTGGAGTGAGCAGTGGACAAAACCGGGTCATTCAGGGACAGGGACCTCAGATTAAAATCCTGAGTCTAAGGGCATTGGGGCTAGGGGTCTGGACTCCTGAGTCTGAGGGAGGAAGCTGGAGGTTTGGACTCCTGGGTCTGAGGGAGGAGGCTGGGGGTTTTGGACTTCTGGGTGTGAGGGCAGAGGGGCTGGACTGTGGGTCTGAGGGAGAAAGCTAAGGGTCTGGACATCTGGGTCTGAAGGAGGAGGCTGGCGCTTGGAGCCCTGGATCTGAGGGAAGAGGCCCTGGGTCCTGTGGTTACCACTAGGCAGGCATGGGACATTGCCCTCTGAGCCCCGAGGCTAGGTCCACAGTGTCGAGGTTCTGCTGGTGCTGGTCCCCAGGCTGTGAGGGAGATGTTTGGGACCGAGAGAACTGTGGGGGTCAGGCTGCCATTGAGAACCCCAACCTGTGCCTGCGTCTCCGATGCTGCTACCGAGACGGAGTCTGCTACCACCAGCGACCAGATGGTGAGTGGGTCTGGGGAGGCTCCCGCCAGGGTGATAGGTGCTCTGGCTGGGTCTCACCACCCTGTTCGTGCAGAGAACATGAGACGGAAGCACATGTGGGCGCTGGGCTGGACGTGTGGAGGCCTCCTCTTCCTCATCTGCGCCATCTGCGTAATCTGGTGAGTGGGGTGGCAGTGGGGAGTGGGGTGGCAGGGTATGGGGCATGAGCAGTCAGGCTGAAGGTGTCCCTCCCTGTCAGGTGGGCCAAGCGCCGGAACCTCCTGCACCTCCCTAAGTTCCTGCAGGGCAGATACGACATTTCCAAGACGGTCTCTCTGCTGTCCAAGGACCGAGTTTCCAGCGACAAAAAGATGTCAGAGTCACCCACAGACGCTGAAGGGGAAGGGACGGAAGGGGCTGATGAAGGGGACGATGATTAGGAGGACCCCTCAATACACACAGAGCGCATAGCCTTGTAGTGTCCTTCCCGACAGTCCTGGGAGATTGTGCAGCAGGGGGCGCATGTTCCTGGCCCCGTGTGCAGGTGTGCACGTGTGCGCATTTGTGCATGTGTGTGTGTTGCAAAGGGCCTGGGCGAGCATGGGTATCAGGTTTGTAATTATGGGAGGGGGACTGTGTAAACGGTAAAGTTTCTGGAATAAGAGATGAGAGAGGGCTCTGCAGTGGGGACGAAACCAAGCTGATGGTGGGGGGCGGGTCCTCAAATTGCCAGGAGGGGCCCAGCTGAGTGAGGGTTCTCAGCTGTAGTCATGAGGAGTGTACGTGGAGAGGAGCAGGTGAGAGAGTTGGGAGACAAGTGGCAGGTGGCCAGGCAGAAGACCCGAGAGAGTGGTTGGGTTAGGGGGCTTGAACTGAGCTGTGAGGTGGGGGATGAAGGCGGGGGGGGGGGGGCGGGGAGCAGGCTCTGCCCTGGAAAACACACCCTCTAGCTGCAGTGGACTCACAGCCTCTGACACACCCCACCTTGGGGCCCTGCTCCAGCCATCGGTGGCGCTTCCCAGACAGCCTCCAGACAGAACCTGAGTGGAATAGGGTGTAGGGGACACCTCAATGCCAAAGGCCTCTGGACTGACTCCTCCATGGGGTGGTTTTACAGGCACATCTGCACCCTGTCCAGTCCCTCTCTCTCCACCTCTCCTTTCAGTGGGTTTGCAGCACCCTCCTGGGTATTCCCCCAAGTAAATAACCTCATGTCTAATTTGGCCCCTGGGACAGAGCGGTAGCACAGCGGGGCAGGGTGTCCGCCTTGCACGTGGCCAACCCAGGTTCGATTCCTCCATCCCCTCTTGGAGATCTCGACAAGCTACCGAGAGTATTCCGCCCTCACGGCAAAGCCTGGTAAGCTACCCGAGATGTATTCAGTATGCCAAAATCAGTAACAACAAGCCTCACAATGGAGACGTTACTGGCGCCCGCTTGAGCAAGTCGATGCACAACGGGAAGACAGCGCAGACAGTGCAGTGCTTTGTGGAGGAACCCAAGTATGGGGAGCCTGGGCTAACAGGGTAGGTCTGGGCTCAAGGTAGGGAGTGCCATGCTGTTTCTGCCCGCTGGGGCATGACCAGCTGAGCCCCCACTGGAAGGCAGCTCGAGAGTCCAGTTGCAGCTAGCCACTGCACACCCCCAGACAGATACGCAGGAGGCGCTGTGACAGGAATTGTTTATCGGGGAGCAGGGGCTGGGGTGTATGGGTCGCTGGATGGTGCACAGCTCGATCTGGTCCCGCCAGGTGGGGCGTGAGGTCACCTGCAGGAGGGGAACGAGGTTAGTAGTGCCCGGTCTGGAGGTCGGGGAGGGAGCACTTTCTGTTACCCCCTCCTGCTCTGACACATGTCCATCCTCCATCTTTCGCCCATTTACCCCCCACTTTCAGAGATGGTGGTAGGGTCATGTGGGCCTTTCCAGAAGTGGGGACCGAGACAGGGAGAGATAGGAAACAGGTGATGGGCAACAGGGACTCTGGGACAAAGGAGCCGAGAGACAGAGAAGGGCAGGTGTGGCGACATAGACAAGTGAGGAGGGAGGTTCTGCCTGGTGACAGTCCTTAGCGTCCCTGAGGGAGTGGGGAGGCTGGGCTGGGTGCCTAGTTCCCTGTGAGAATCCAGCTCTCCTGTCCTTCATGGGCGCCCCCTCAGCAATGAGGAGTCTGTCCACTATTTTTGTAGATTTACATTAGGCTCCCCCTGGCTCCCGGAAGCAGACCCTCCTGGAAGTGAGGGGCAGTGGCTGGATCAGGCTTTAAGCTAATAGATGAGTTTTCAGGGTCCCTAGAGCCATAGGTGCTTATTTCTGTTTCATTTTATTTTGGGGCCACACTGGGCAGCAGCAGTGCTCAGAGACTATTCCTAGCTGTGTTCAGGAATTCTGGTGTTGATGGTAGACTAGATGCAGTGCCATAGGGGGATTTGAACCCTGGTAGGTGGAATGCCAGGCACATGCCTTAACTCGTTTCTTTTGTTTCTTTTTTTCTGGGGGGGGGGGGCAGAAAGGGCTGAGTCTCTTACCTCTATTTGTGACTTTTTGTTTTGTTTTGGATCACACCCTGTGGTGCTCAGTGCTCACTCCTGGAGGGCTCAGGAGAATCTTAGTGGTATCAGGGCTAGAATCAGGATGGCTGAGCTGTGTGCAAGGCAAGTATCCTTCCCATGTGCTATCGCTCTGGTCTCTTTTTGTGTTATTAAAAAATTTGGAGCCAGCCAGAGCAATAGTACAATGGGTAGGGCATTTGTCTTGCACGAGGATTACCCAGGGTCAATCCTCAGCATCTCAAATGGTCCCCTGCAGGAATTCCTGAGTGCCAAGGCAGAAGTAAGCCCTGAGCATTGCTGGGTATGATCCCCCCCCAAAAAAAAATGGGAGGGGAGGCCTGCTCAGCAGTAATAGTGTGTGTGTGTCCACTGATACTTATCCCCTTGGTAAGGATATACGCTTGTAAGCAGACCTGACAGTGCCACTTGCTCTGGACCACAATTGTGGGCAGGGCAGGGTGGGTGGCTGGGCGAACTCAGGTACTGGAGCAAATGCACATGCACACACAGACATACCTAGCCCTGGGAGCTCTCTCCCCAGCTCTCTCGCTGCGTTTTCTGCCCAGTGTGTTACTCCACCCTTCTCTTCAGCATGGGGCTATTCACCCTTTCTCAGGGTGCCCCTTTGGAACCACAGAACATGTGGCAACTGGTGGGATTATTTTCTGAGAACAGAATGGAACTAGGATTGCTCTGGATACAGTCAAGAGAGATTAATTCATTATTTGTAGAATCTCAGCACATTGGGGCTTATTTGTTTTTTTTTTTTGGCCACATCCAGTGAACTCAGCGCTCCCCTCCCCAACACTTGGTGGTGCTCAGGGCTTCTTCCTGGTTCTGCATTCAGAGTCACTCCTGGCAGGGCTTGGGAACCTATATGGGTGGCAGGAATTGAATCTGGGTCAGCCTCGTGCAAGGCAAGAGCCCTTCTCAGTGTGCTATAGCTCTGGTCCCTACGGGGCTACTCTCGACACTGCTCAAGGATCACTCAGCGGTGCACAGGGGTCCATGTTCTGGGGCTGCCACCCACGTCTCCCCTTTGCAATGCCTGCACTGCAGCTCTGTGCCTGGGCCAGGATTTAATATCTTTAAGTTATTTTTTGTTTGAGGGCTGCCCCTGTGGTGCGCGGGGATTAGTACTAACTCATTGCCCCCTCCTGGTGGTGCTCACCGTGCCTTGCCAGGTTGATTGAACCTGGCTTCTCCAGCTCTCTGAACTATCTCCCCAGTTCAAGGTTTAATTGCTTTATAGATTTCCCCCATCTGAGGGCTGGGCTCTGTCACTCAAATGTTGCTTCTTCTGCCTGTTCCTGCAGCCACCAGTGAACCCATCCACCCACCTCTCTTTCTGTATCTTCCTAGCCCACACCACCCATTCACGCTGAGACACACACGCCAACCCAGACCCCACCCCCCCCACCCCCCCATCCACCCATCTGTTTTCTGGCTGTCTAGGCGTTTCCCTGAACATCAATCTCAGACTTCCTCAATTCACTCTGCTAGGAAACACTAAGAACAAAGGCGCCAGAAACTTTCGGGAGACAAGGGGCGCCTGCTTCCTGGGAGACACAATAGCGGAGATCCTTTAGACCCCGCTGGCCTGGAAGAGTGAAGAGGAGGAGCAGGACGAGGGGAGAGGGAAGCCGGCTGTCGCTGCATTAGAGAGGCAGAGAGCCGGAGGCCAGGCGGCAAGGGGCTGAGCCAAAGGGTACCCGGGGATCCCCACAGCCTCTGCGCCCGGGAAGATGCTTAGAAAAGAGGATCGGGAGGACCCCTCCGTCCCGCTGGCTCCCTCCACGCCCCTCAGACAACTTTTCAGGAGGGGCGCTCGGGGAGCGCTGGCGCCCGGAGCTGCCATCGTCCCATGCCTCCGCTCTGTCCCTACCCCGTCGCCCCTCGTTCTCCACCCCCAGGCCCCTCCTCACCTGGGGCTCACTCAGGCCCGGCTCCTGCCGGCCCCGGCCCGGCCTCGAGCGCGGCGAGCTGCAGGCGCACGCGACGGGAGTTGGCGGCGGGCAGCGGGGACGCGCGGGCGGCGCGGCGCGGCCCGTGGGCTCCGGGCAGGGGGCGCGGGCCAGAGGCCGGGGCGGGCGCCGACCAGCGGCGGGAGAGCTTGCGCGCCAGGCGGGCGAGGGCGGAGGGCCGCAGGCCGTAGTCGCGCTCCAGCTCCTGGCGGGAGATCTCGATGTTGCCGGTGTACCAGAGGATCCAGCCCAGCAGGCTGAGGAAGACCAGCAGCGCGCCCGAGTAGATGAACAGGTCCCCGAAGTCGCGGCCGCGCACCTGCAGCTGCGCGAACACGCCGGTCAGCAGCGCCGCCATGCCCGCCACGTCCAGCGCCACCGCTAGTAGTAGCGCCGCGCGGCAGCGCCCCAGCCCTAGCGCGGGCCCCGACGCGCCAACCGGGGCCGCCGGGGGTCCCGCCGCCGAGCCCTGCACCGCACCCACCGCCGGCGCTGCCGCCATGGCCCTACTGTGCCGCCGCCTCCGAGAGGGCGGCCCGGGGTGCGGGCCCAGCCCGGGGCGGGGTCAGGGGCCGGCGCCAGGTGCGCCCGAAGGCCGGCCGGTCACCTGAGCCCGGCGGGGTGAGTGAGGCCCGGCCTGCGGGGGGTCAGGATGGCGAGGCCTGGTCAGTGCAGGCGATGGCGCTGCGGGCCCGGGGCCGGGGGACCATGCCTTCTGCCAGGACAGGCCCCCGGCGCCGCGCCCGCCACCAGCAGGCCACCAGCGGTCGGGGTGCGACCAGGGGCAGCCCAGGGAGCGAGACTGCGCGCTGCTATTCACTGGGGACTCCTGTGCGTCTCGTCGCGAACTAACCCCGGACGCTAGTGTGGATAGGCCGGATCCCTGGTCTCGGCCATCAGGTCTGTACACACGGGCGGCTTCTGGGGTGTCCAAACTTCCAAGGCCTTGTTGCCGCGGGTTCAGAGAATGCCCGACCGGCGCGACGCCCAGGGAATCCCAGACAGCGCAAGCCTATGGCAGCGTCCTTATTCTTGTTAAGCCTTGTTGGAAAGGTACCCTCCTTGGCGCTGGAACCATAGTACAGCGAGTAGGGCGCTTTCCTTGCGCACAGCCGACGAGAGTTTGGTCCCCAGCATCTCCAAGAGTGACCCCTGAGTACTAGAGCTAGGAGTAAACCCTGAGCACCCCTGGGAGTGGTCCCCCAAAACTGCTTTGTCCCCAAAACAAACGCCCAAGAAGTCTGGTACATTCTCTTTTCCTCCAAACTGCAGCTCGTCCTTAGAGCCAATCACGGACCTTAGCCAGTGCCGGACTTTGAGAAGTCTACGTCTAGTTTTTCCTCTTTAAGCAGTCTCCGAACTGTGTGAAGTAGGAAGGGGGCCGCGAAAAGTGCGGAAGCTTTCCGAACGCGACCGAATGGGGCCCGAGTGTTTCCGAACAGGCCCGAGTCCGGCCGTCTGCGCGGGGAACCGTGTTCCCGGAGGGTTCCGGAGATGCCCGAGCGTTCTTCCGGGCCTTCGTAGGTCGGCCGAGAACTTCCGAAGGGGCTCGGAGGCGCCCGAAGATACGGAACGGTTTCCCCAGTGCGCACACGCACGGGAATCAATCGTCGAACTTGTTTATTCGGGTGTCCAGCACGGGACGGACGATATTTGAGGAGCTGCTGGTGAGAATCCACCAAGCGTCACGGAAACCGCGGCATGGTCTGGGCACGAGAACCGATCATTCCGGAGATGGCCGAGCAGCGGCGACGGATTGACGGAAAGAGCCGAACGTCCCTGACTAGCTGCGAGCGGAGAGAACGTCTGCGCGTGCGTGCCCAGATAGGAAGCGGAAATGCGTGTAGTTATTAAAGGCGTCAGCCCGCCCTTTGCCTGTCTCTTTCCGTCTCCGGCAGCCGCGGCGAGAGGAGGTAGGTCGAGCCTCATGCTCCCGCGTGGCCGCTCCTGCTAAAGTTTTGCCCACTCCTCTATCCTGCTGGGCAGGCCCTTTCCACCCCGAATCACTCTCAATACGCTCCCCAGTTCATCGCCCTGTTTCCACCCCTTCGCCCACGGTCGGCTTGTCTGCCGGCCGCCCATCCTCCGGAACCCCACCTTCCGTCCATCTGGGCCGGGGCGCGCAGGCCGCGTCCCAGCCCTGCTTTCCCTGTCTCCGTAGCTGCCACCATGTCCGCACACCTGCAATGGATGGTCGTGCGCAACTGCTCCAGCTTCCTGATCAAGAGGAACAAGCAGACTTACAGCACTGTAAGTGGAGCGGCCCAAGGTTGCCCCGGAGCCCCTCCCTCCGCCTCCCCGCCCCCCCAGCCCCACTCCCAGACTCCACGCCTTCTTCCCAGGAGCCGAATAACCTCAAGGCCCGCAACTCCTTCCGCTACAACGGCCTCATACACCGCAAGACCGTGGGCGTGGAGCCGGCGGCTGACGGCAAAGGCATCGTGGTGGTGATGAAGCGCCGATCCGGTAAGCGCCGCCCCAGGGGGCCGGGGGAGGGTGTTCACTCTCCAGAGCGCCGCAGAGGATACCTGCACCGGGGAGGTGACATGCGGTGGTCTGCTTGTGGGTGCGAGTGCGGGCAAGGGGATCCTCGATGGGGCTGTTACGGTTTGGGAACTCCACCGGATAGGGGTCGCCCCTGAAGGCTCTCTCCTGCTGGTGTCGCTGTTTTTTCCCTCGGTGGCGGTAAGCTTTTTCCTGGGTTCTAAGCGGGTTGCCAGAGATGATATGGGCGGCCCTAGTGCACCGGCGGCGGCTACGTTTATGCTCCTGTAGCGATTGATGGGGTGCATGCGTGAGCCACTCAGGAGTTCCTCCACTCTAAGCCAGCCCCCAGCCAGCCTGTCCCAAGGCTCTGTTACAGCCCAGGAGGCTGTTCTTTTGGTGCTAGTATTGGAATCCAGGTGGAAAACTGCAGTTGAGGGCCAGACACGCCTTTCTCCTCCCACCTGTTGTCAACCCCAGCGTCCAAGTGGAGCTTGGACTATCTTTACCCAGTGCCTAGGACTGGGGGAAGCCTGGACCCCCTCCCCCCACCTTTAGACTCCTGCTGTGTGCCTTTGGTTGGGGACCAGAGGTTCTCAGTCGTGGTCATTGAGCACTGGAGGCAGTACTTAAGACGGAGGGGCACTAACATCCAGCCTGGGTTGCCTTTCTGCCAGGCCAACGGAAGCCCGCAACCTCCTATGTGCGGACCACCATCAACAAGAATGCAAGGGCCACCCTCAGCAGCGTCCGTCACATGATTCGCAAGAACAAGTACCGCCCGGACCTGCGCATGGTGAGGGGGTAACCTGGTATGGGCAGAGGGCGGTGGAGGTGTGCCCCCCCACTAGTTGGCTGACTGAGCCCCCTGCACCCCCAGGCTGCCATCCGCAGAGCCAGTGCCATCCTGCGCAGCCAGAAGCCCGTGGCTGTGAAGAGGAAGCGGGCACGCCCTGCTAAGAGTGCCTGAGTGCATCCCCAGATCAATAAAGGCATCTGCCGATTCCCCTCACTCTGCGTGAGCTGTCCAGCATGCTGCCCACCTGGGACTGGGCGCTGGTGCTATCCTCCTTGGGGACCTGGATTTAGTGGGCTTTAAGTCTCCCATATAGTGTACATGGGGCACGTCTTCTCAGTGATTGCAATCCCACCTCTAGAGTGTCTCAGCTGCAGCACGGGACACACAACTTGCTGGGGCCCTTGCCTGTCCCTGTCTGTCCCTATTCAGCAGGCAGAAGAGGCACCTGGGATTGTAGTGGAAGGCAGTTGGGTATCCATGCCTGGACTGCTGGCCTACCCTGGACAGCTTGTATGTGGCAGGGACTGACCTTGCCACCTGGTGCCCTGTGTCCTCTGATGTGATGAGAGGTGTTGTCTTGAGTTCTAGTGGGATCAGGAGCCTCTGCTCTCCACTCTGAGCCGGGCAGTCAGGATACCCTGATTGTGTAAGGTGGCCTAGGTGTGTGTGGGGCAGGGGCAGTCCCACTCGGTCCCCAGGCACATCTCCCATTGCCTAGGGGTCCCCCTTCTGTCTCTCCCATAGGGGCCTGACACATTGCTTGTGGGGTGTGGGCTGGCACCAAACTACCTAAGGTGCTGTCTGCTGCTGTGAGCTGCAGGTGCTCCTGGGAACAGAGCTGCAGGTGCCCTGTCCAGGTCTGTGTGGATAGCCTGATGGATGTAGCTGGTGTGGGGGCTTTTAGAAACTTGTTTACCAATGTCTGAGGAGGGGAGATGGAACACTGATTTGAGCTGCAGAACTCAGTGGTGCGGGCAGTATCAGGGATCAAATGGGCTGGCCTGTGCAAGTCTAGAGCCCTAACTCCTGTACCACCTGTCGTCCCCAGCAAGCAATTTAAAACAAGTATTAACCTGTTTCCTGTGAGGGTGATACCTGGGTGCATGTGTGCAGCACCAGTGCTGCCTGGGACAAGCAGTGACTTCGGTCAGCACCTGCTCAGGTGCCTTGGGCCTCCTGTACTTAGGTCCACAAAACTACAATGTACTGTTTTAGTGGGCTTGTTTTTGGAGGGTGGGGGTTGAGCTTCCTGTTTATGCTTAGGATTGACCCTTAGTGGTTCCTGAGGGCATCCAAGTGGTGCCAAGATCCATTCAGCCAGTTGGGCAGGTAAGTGATTTTTTTCTTTTGGCTTTTTGGGTCACACCTAGCGATGCACAGGGGTTACTCCTGGCTTCTGCACTCAGGAACTACCCCTGGTGGTGCTCAGGGGACCATATGGGATGCTGGGAATCGAACCCAGCTTGGCCGCGTGCAAGGCAAACGGCTTAGCCACTGTGCTATTGCTCCAGCCCTTGGATTAAGTTTTTTTGTGAAGTGTACATCTAGCATTGTTCCCTTAACTATTACAAGTTTGGATCCCCTTATTTCAATGTATTATGAGCTATTCAGTTCTTCACTTTTGGTTTTGCTGTGCTCAGGGATTTCTTCTGCCTCTGGGGACAATAGTGGTGCTGTTGGTCAAACCCTGGACAGATAAATGCTAGGCAAGTGCCCATCCCACTGTTATTCAACCCCACCTTTTTTTTTTAAATTTGGGGCATGTCCAGTTGTGCTTATTCCTGGCTTAGGTATCATGCCTAGTGGGGCTCTGAGCCATATAGGGTGCCAGGATTGAACTAGGGTTGGCTCTCTGCAAGCAAAGCCCCTGTGCTATGTCCCTGGGCTCCAAAATGCTTTTCAGGAACTGCAGACAGGACAGCAGGTAGAATCAGACAGGACCTTGCACGCAGCTGACCCAGGAACACTGGCACTTACATGGTCCCTAAACTTAACCAGGACTGATCCCTAAGGAACGGGGTAAGCCCTAAGCATGACTCACCCCCTCCACCAAAAAAATGAGGATTGGTGGTGTCTGGGCCTCACTGGACACTGCTCAGGTACCAGTGGGGGAACAAACCTGTGCTCTGTGACAGGCAAGGCTTAACCGCTGTGCTGTCAGGTGCCACAAGTGCTTTTAGATTATTTCAGTTACTTTTGCTTTTTGTGGTACTCCAGATTTACTCTTGGCTCTGCACTCAGGAATTGCTCATGGCAGTGCTTGGGGGACTTTTTAACTCAAGTCTTTATTTCTTTTTAAGGCTATCAGAGCTATCTTTGTTATTTTCTCTAAAGATTATTTTTTTTGGGGGGGGGGTCACACCTGGGAATGTTCAGGGGTTACTCCTGGCTCTGCACTCAGGAATCACTCCTGGTGGTGCTTGGGGTACCATATGGAATGCTGGGAATTGAACCCAGGTCGGCTGCATTCAAGGTAAACACTGTACCTGCTGTTATCACTCCGGCCCTTCTCTGAAGATGTTTTTTAACATGTCTGGAATGTTTTCCAGACCCCAAAGAGTGGCTGTTTCTGGTTTTGAAGTGTCCGTGGTCTTCTGGGCAGTGTCAGCTTAAGGCCCAGTTCTCTACATCTCCCACAGAGGGAAGGGGGATTGGGGCTCATAATGGAGTGATCCATTTATTTCTTTTCAGTGCCATACTCAGCACTGCTCAGGGACCCTATTCTGTGCTTGGAATCCGAATGAGATGGGGTGTGTTCAGCCCCTATAGGGGCTTGGGGCCCTAGAATCTTCAGAACGAGGATGACCCTGGTGTCATTTAGGGAGGCCTGGAGACCCTTTGAAATTCTCATTAAGTCAAAAACAAAGCTAGAAAAAGAGGAAAGCTGGAGATTGTTTAATTTGGGGCTTGGATACCAGGTTTAGTTGGTAAGCTCTACCTACAGTCATGTGAAGCCCAGCCTACGACCAAAGAACACCCAGCATCCCTCAGGAGGGGGGACTGCCTTAGCTGTGCTGTGGGCACGCATGCTCAGTGCAAGAGGTGGCTACACATGGCCCAGCCATTTATCCTTTGGTCACGCCCAAGCACCCTCACCCAGACCATTTTTTCTTTTTGGGTCACACCCAGCATTTGGTCACGGTCACGGTCCTCCCGTTGTTCATCTATTTGCTCGAGTGGGCCCAGTAACGTCTCCATTGGAGACTTTGTTGTTACTGTGTTTGGCATATCGAATAAGTCACGAGTAGCTTGCCAGGTTCTGCCATGCGGGTGAGATACTCTCGGTAGCTTGCCGGGCTCTCCGAGAGGGGCGGAGGAATCGAACTAGGGTCGGCCATGTTGGCTGCGTGCAAGGCATACGCCCGACCGCTGTGCTATCGCTCCAGCCCACACCCAGCATTACACAGAAGTTACTACTGGCTCTGCAATCAGGAATTCCTCCTGGTGGTGCTCTGGGGACCATATGGGATGCTGGGGATCAAAGGTATCAGCTGCCGCGTGCAAGGCATCACCCAAACCTTTAAACTGGCTAGACAAAACTGGCCTCCCTGGCTACTTCAGTCCCGAGGGACAAGGGCCACACCTGCTGTGGCTTAGTAGTGCAAGTGGGTGGAGGCGAAAGATGCCAGTGAGAGTCTATAGTGCCCCAGTACTGGCCAGGCCTAAAGGAAGGCTGAGGGAGAGGGGAGCCAGCCCTGGGCTATGGGAGCGGCCTCATTTAGGGACAAGTGCCCACAAAGAGCAGCACTAGCCCAGTGTTGAGTGAGACTACACAGGGACTGACCCTGGGGGCCAAGGTGAGGTACGGATGTGGGGCACCGTTCTGGGATCAGCAAGGTCCAGCAGCTGCTTTTCCAACTTTATTTAGAAAAACAAATCCAGGTCCCAGTGCCCAGCCCTCCCCATCCCCGTCATAACTTAAATAACTTAAGAGATAGAGTTGGGGGCGGTCGGGTCAGGAAAGGGGATTCCTACAGCCGCCGCAGCGCCCGCTTCTTGTCTTTGTCCGTCTTTTTCTTGGCCACCAGCTTCTTGTCCCGCTCACCTGCGTGCTTCTTGGCCATGGGCCCCTCAGCACCCCCCACACCTGCAGCGGTGGTTGGGTCCCCTGAGGGTGCCGCGGCTGTGCTTGGGGCACCGCCATGGATCTCCGTGAGCAGGCGGGCCCGCGCTGCGTACTCCTCGTAGTTCTCCAGCAGTAGCCGGCCTGCCTCCTCGTTGAGGGCTGACTCAGGGTTTGGGTGGATCAGCAGGCACTTGATGGTCTGTGTAAAGAGCAAGCAGTGCCCAGGACTCAGACTCCCACTGTCCTGTTCCACAGACCCAGGGACCCCCAAATTCTGGGCAGGGAGGTGCTTGTCGGAGGTCACTCAGGAGAAAGAAGCAACCTAGAAATCACATCCATTTCTTTTTGGCTTTTGGGGATCATACCAGGCAATGCTCAAGGGTTGCTCCTGGTTCTGCACTCAGTAATCTCTCCTGGTGGTGCTCAGGGGACCATATGGGATGCTGGGACTCTGAACCTGGGTCAGCTGTGTACATGGCAAATGCTCTACCCGCTGAATTATCGCTCTAGTCTCTGCACCCTTTTCTGATGGAAATCATGGCCAAAAAGGCTCATAGCTGACACAGGTAACCTAGCACCCCAGCAGGCCAGAGCTGAGGGGCACGACAAACATCCTCTTCATACTAGGACCACAGAGGGCTCGGCAGATGACTGCGTCTCATGGCTGCACACAGGGGCAGTCAGGATATGTGGCAAGGAGTACTTGGCGGGGCAGACGTCACTGGACAAAGCTGCAGGCACCACACCCTAACTCTTGCTGGTGTCCTCTCCACCAAGCTAACAGGTGTGGAAGGGAATGGTTTCTGATGTTTACCTCAGAGGCTACCACAGGCTGCAGGAACCCCATCACCACCTCCCCAGGGGCTTACAGCAATTTATCCTCAGGAAAATTTTTTTTGTAGAGGGGGTTTGTCATACCTGGTGGTGCTCAGGGATCATTCCTGGCAAAGCTTAGGGAACTCTGTAGTGCTGGGTATCAAACCTGAGTCAGTCGTGTGTGAGGCAACTGAGCACCTACCCTGTACTATGGCTCCAGCCCCCTCCTTCAGTACTGTTAAGAATCTGGGAGATGTTCTAGGGTTGCCACGCAGGCATCTGACTCAGGACCTCGGATCTGATCCCCAGTACAAGGTCCCAGAGTACTATACTACTGTGTCAGTACAAAAAAGCATTGGGAGCTACACATAGGCTTTGGAGCCCTGGAGAAGTGTGTATGTATTTTGCGGAGAGGGGCCTATCTATGAGGCTCTACCCAACCACTATCCCACCGGCTTTCTTGGCACTGTGGAACATGGGGCTACCCCTGGTCCCCTCCATGACTTGAAGACTGCTTTGCTAGTGACAACCCTGGATTCCATCTCTAGCACCACCATGTCCCAGGTCCCAGCACATGGGCAGTCCTCAAAGTGCCAGGTGTTCCTGGCAGAGTGAACCAAATCTGGTGGGAAACAGTGGCTCATGGAGAGATTTTGGGATCATAGAGGTTACACAAACAGTAAGTGTATTTAACAATATCCTAGAGGCCACATCTAATGATACACTGGGGAACGTGCCATGTCAGGTACTGACCCTGGCCACCACCTGTATAGCGTATACTCTGGTCCTTCCAGATGTCTTCTGGGCTCCCTCACAATTACCCAGTACTGACTTTTGTTGTGTTTGGAGGCCACATCTAGTGCTTGCAGGTTGCCCCAGCTCAGGGCAGGCCCTGACAGCACAGGCGCTGCTCTCAGGCCCACATACATGCAAAACAGACTCACTCTCCCCAAGCCCCGGCCAACTCCTGACTGTTCTAGAACCATGAGCCATTTGCTGAACAGTGAACCAGGGGATACCACCACTCTGTCCTAGCCAAGAAAAGAGCTCCTGATGGAGTCGTTGGTGTCCTCCGCTCCAGGCACTGCCAGTGTTTCTCCAGTTCCCAGAGGAGACCCAGAACTCACCAGCAGCACGTGCCGGATGCCCAGCTTGGCTGTCCAGTCCCTCTTGAGCACGTTGACGCAGATCTCCCCATTGGCACCCACATTGGGATGGAAGATCTTGGTGAGGAAGAAGCCCTTGGGCGGAGAGGCGGGAAAGTCCTTCCCCAGCAGGAGCTTCATGCGGAACAGGCCTCCGGCATAGGGGGTGCCCTCTGCAAGGAGGGGGCACTATGTTACCCGAGTGTGATTCACACCCATGGCCCTCACTTCGACTGCCCTGCACCCTGTCTGGAGTGAAGCCCCCAGCACTGGTCAACCCACCAAGGTTCGAGAAGGTCTCTAAGCTGCCTCACTCCTCATGCTCAAGGCTGGAGCACCCACAGCGTCCCTCTCCTCTCACCACTACTAGCCTTTCTTCCGGTTCTTACCAGGAACCCCAAATTGTTTGGGGGGCTCTAGGGAGCTCCCGCTGTGATCCCCACCCACCACCACTCAGACCAGACTCTTCACTGGCACAGCGCTGATGTATGTTGAGACACTCACCACCCCACCACCTCCCAGGTCCTCGTCCATCTCCTGTCATGGGTCTGCTACCCAAGTCTGTCCCATCCCTTCCAGGGGCATTCAGTGCATGAGCAGTGTGGCCACAGGAGGCCCACTCACCAGGCCCCTCGATGGTGACTTGCAGGTCGGTGAGGTCCTCCTCATTGGGGAAGACTTTGATGCCATCGGGAGGGTCAGCGGTCAGCGTGGCCACCTCCTTGTATACCAGGCGGATAATGTGCGGTGGCAGGTTCTCCACGTTGGAGTTCTGGGTAGAGGAAGAAGCGCTGTGAGTCCGGCGCTGGGCTGTCCCGGCGCAGTACCGGCTGTTAGCCGGGTACAGTTCCCAGGGCCGCCCCACTAGAACAGGCGAGAGCCGGGAACTGCTGACGACGTTCCAGATCAGCCCCGCTTCCCCAGGGCCTCCAACGCGGCTCTGCAGCCCAGCCAGGATGGCAGTGATGCGGGGTAGGCCTAAGGCCTGCCCGTAGCCTCTTCCCCACGTCTCCTCGGTAAAAACGGCCTGGAGGGAAGCTGGCGGCGCCAAGACCTTCAGCCTGGAGGGAAGCTGGCGGCGACAAGCCTCCGTACCCGAAACAGCCCCGCAGCGGGCCGCGAAAGCCCGGAGCCCTGCTCGGGGCTCCGCCCGGCCTACGCCACCGCGGGCCGGCCCGGGCGGCCTCCCGCCACCGGCGAAGCCCCGGAGCACACCTCCCGGCCCGGCCCGGCCCGGCAGGTGCGACCTCCACCCCCTCCAGCCGCACGCCGGAGGCTACTGGGCCCCGGACCCCTTCCTCGGGGCCCCGCCCGCCCGCCGCCCTCCTCCCCGCGCACGGCGGCCCGCGCTCACCATGACGGCGGTCGGCCGGGGGCGGGTCCCCCGGCCCCCGTTCCTGCGCTCCTCGGACCGCCGGCTGCGGCCGCTGCGGCCCTGGCGTGGCCCGAGTGGCCCCACTTCGCTGTCCACTGACGGTCCGTAGGTGCCGAAGCCCGCCTTGCCCCGGCGCCCGGCCGCACTGAGCCAGGAGCGCGCGCACCGCGCCCCTTTTATAGCGCTCTGCAGGCCCCGCCCCTCCGCGACCCTGAAGCGCCGCGGCCCGACTCGTGACGTCAGCGCGCACGTCCCGCGGCGTCCGACGCTCTCATCCTTTTCCCGTAGTCCTCGGGCTGCGGCGGGAGAAATTGAGGAGAGGGCGCGGGGTCGTCCGGTCAGTGGAACACGCGGGGCCCGGGGAAGGGTCCCCAAAGAACGGAGAGGGCTGAGCACGGGGAGTGGGAGCGCAGCCGCGCTCGCTGATTGGGCCGTTTGAACGAGACGCCGCCACAGGCCGGCGTACGCGCGCGCTCCTCGCCGCCCAGGAAATCGCGTACCTGACTAACGGTCGGCGGCGGTAGGGCGGGGCCAGGAGAGGCGGAGCTCGAGGGGATTTAAACGGATGATGGAAAGCCCGCTGACCAATAGGGAATTGCAGGCCTAGGATGCGTTCACGGGACCAGCGGGGGCCAATCCTTGCCGGCGTGGGTAGTGCCGGGAGGCGGCCGGAAATAACGGAGACGGGCCCGACGCAGCGGCAGGACAAACGCTTGCAGCCAATGAAATTCGTCGGGTCTGGCATATGCAAATCAGGCGTTCACTGTCCGCGCGCTCTCAGCCGACCGTGGGGGAGCGCGCGAGGGACTCCGGTTACGTTTCCGCCCCCCCAGTCGCCATTTTGTGCGGCAGATGACCTCTGACCCGTGCCTCAGAGGGTCTCACACCCGTCAGCCGCCCCTTGCGGTGGTCGCCAAGCGCCGCGGCGTGTGACTTCCGTTCCTGGCCCTGCGCAGTTTCTGCCTGTGGGACGCGGGCGAAGGCCTCAGGCCGCGTTTCGACCCGTCTGGCCCGGGCCTAGGCCTGGCTCACGTCAGCCCGCCCCGTAGACCTACACCTCCCGCCTCCCCCGACGTTAGGGTGCAGCTAGGCTGCAGGCTGGCCCTGTGCTCTGTCCTCAGCCCCCTGATTCCCCGGGTGTGGCCCCTGGAACTAAAGCCAAACCGATGTGTGGCAGCGTGCTCCATGGCACTGTGTGGTGTGACTCCCCCCGCCCCCACCCCCACCCCAGAGGAGAAACACGGGCGGGTGTGACAGTACAGCAGGCAGGGCACTTGCTTTGAGTGTGTCTGCCCAACAGTTTGCGGCACTTTGCCGCATTCCTGAGCACTGCAGGGAGCCATTCCTCGGCAGAGCCACTGAGCCTGAGAGCCTCCCCCCCAACTGATGTCGGTGGGCCCCACGGGTGACGTATGTGAAGTGGGGTGGAGAAAGACGGTCACTTTCTCCCCACCCGCCTCTGCCACCCGGAATCCAGGGTTACTGGGTTCTTGTCTCGCCCGGCAGAAAGGAATTTCAGGAGTAGACAAGCAGTGAAGTAAATAGATTTTATTTGGAGGATTCTTAAGGTGTGGAGGGGGAGAGAGAGAGAGTACTCAAGAACATGAGCTTCTCTAAGGACGGAGAGAGAGAGCCCCTACACACATCCTAGCTAAGACAGGAGAGGAGATGCGGGCGACACATATGCTCGGGCACCACATGTGCTCGGTCACTGGGCAGCATATGCGCGCCCTTCCTTTGTTCAGGGTGGCCTTTATAGGGTTTCTCCAGCCTGCCCCCACGTCAGGCTTCTTCCTAGGTAAAAGTCCATTGCTAAGGAGGTTACCAGGGAGATTGGGAGCAGTGATGGTCTTCTTTGGGCTGAATCACTAAATTAAAAGGGAGGTCCAAAAAGAGGAACTTCTTGGCGAGGAGGCCTATATCCTCAGGATCTGCGGATGGTCTTATCAGGTCTTTGTTTTCTGTATCCTCAAGGTGGGTCAGTCTTAGAATTCTTTCTTGAAATTTTGTTTATTGCAAAGGGCTTTTCCCTATCTACATCACAACAAAGCTTGTAGTGTCCAAAGATACTGCTTGATAATTGATGCTGGTAGAGTCCTCAGGTGACTTATGTGAAGTGGGAAGGAGAGAGTTGTTGGCAGCCTTGAGAGGTAATCGAGGGAATTTGCAGTTTTCTCCAGAGAGAAGGGGTAGGGAAATTCAGGACTGTGAGCCTTGCTCCTTGCTGGAAAGGAAAGTCAGTCCTAAATCATCCAGGCCTTTCCAGTTCTTCGTCTTTCTCTCAGAAAAGAATTTCAGGAGATGAGCAGTGTTGTATAAGAGATTTTGGAAATGTTGAGGAAGGGTGTGCATGTGGTGAGAGAGAGAACGAACAAGGATTTTTCTGGAGTGGAGAGTGAGCCCCAGTTCACCTCCGAGCATTAGATGTGGAAGTATGAAAGTACACAGGGGAGATGTGAACAACACGGTGCTCTGGCATCGCTTGCACATGGTGTGTTTCCCTTGTTCATGTTGTCTTTTACAGGCTCCCCACCCCCACCCCAAAGTTGCCCTGTGGGGTTCTCTACCCAGGTAAGAGTCTACTGCTAGGGTGGTTGCCAAGGGGGTAGAGTTGATGGTATTCTCTGATATTCCTTTCCAGGCCTTTGTTCCTGCAGGAACTTCTCTCTGAGAGGGTTCCAGCCTTTTCTGGGTCTGCACTGGTGCCAGTTTAAGATCTTTTCAGGCTTTACTTTCTTTCCACAAGACTGTTCTGACAACCTTAGGCCTAGTTGGTTTTATTACTTCCCAAGAACTCATTGCCATGGGGATCCCTTCCCTATCTTCCTGTACCCCTGCTCCAGTATGAGCAGGATGAGGAGGTTGGGGAACACACCGGGGAACTAATTATGGGAATGGTCAAGGTATATAAGAAGGCCACATTTGAAAACAAAAGCTGTGTTTCTCAACTGGAGGAGGCATGGCCTCTTGTAAGCCTCCAGGAGAATCCAGAGGAGCACAGCAACAGTGGACTACGGGCCAACCTGTACCATGCTGACACAAGAAGACAAAGTCAGAAGGAGGCCACGGCCACATAAAGGAATGTCTGGGAGCTAAGGCAGTGCTCAAGAGGACCTGGTTTTGGATCCCAAGTCATAGTCCCCTGCTTGCCCTAGTGTCACTGGGAGTGGTCTCCGGGCCCACTGCTGGGGAGCCCCGCAACACCACATTGAAATGGTAAATCACTGTGTGCCTAGGAGCCTGCTGCTGGGGAAAGATCATTTGCAAATCCCATCAAACCTTGATGCAGGTCTGAGGCAGTGGGGAATGTTCGAGAACAAGACATTGATGTGGCATCAGGCAGACAGCCGGGTCTTCCTGATGCAGACAGGTGGGTCAGTGTGGCACCCTAGGCTGTAGGGCTCAGCTTTGTGTTTCCTGAGGTGTGCAGCTGAGCCACAGGCACAGTCTGTGTGCAACACCAGATGTGCCAAGCTGATGGCTCAAGGTTGGAACAGCCAGAGGGACATAATGATTCGACACCACACTGGGTCCCACTGAGGCTGCTTGAGAATGTGCTGATAGCGGTGCAGGTATCAAACCGCTGAGCCACATCCCTGGCCCTAGATGCTTATAATTTCAGGTCACCCTTGCTGTCTCCTTACTGTTCTTGTGTCTAAATTTGTGACAGTGAGCTGGTCCGCACATGTTGTGTTGTGGGGCTCTCTGGTGTCACCCTCCTTGAGGTGCTCTTGCACATTCGGGTTGTCATGCTCATGGGGGAAAGGCGAGGGGCACTGTGGTGGTAACTGGAGATCACACACTTTAGTTGCTGTGCTGTGGATGCTGGGAGGTCAAGTTGCAGGGTCCATGCTTGGTGTTACTAGGGATCAAACCTGGGAATTTCTACTTGAAAATGTCTGTGGGCTGTCCCCCCAGCCACTGGCCTTATTCTTCTGAACTGTCCTCTGACAGAGGCAGAGAGAGAGAGAGAGAGAGAACAGTGTCTACTTGTCCTGTGCAAAGCTAACACAGGTTCAGCCTCAGGACCACACAGGGTCCCCTGAACACCACCAGTGGTTATTCCTGAGTTTAGAGTATGGGTTGAGCCCTTAGCAACATGGGGTGTGCCCCCTGAAAAAAGAAGTGTCCCTTTGGGAGCAAAGTGGGCACCACACCTGCAACTTCCTTGCAAATGCTCCCTGGTGGGGGATGTTTCTATGGAGAGAAGTCTGAGAGCCAGGCAAGGCGATACCTGGACAGGTACCTGTTGTAACTTTACTGAAGTTGTAACTATACGTATGTTAACTCAAAGGGCTAAGTTAAAGACAAGTAAACCAAAAAACATAAATGATGGGTGTGGGGGGTGGGAGGGATGGAATGGTAGCACAGCATGTGGGGTCTTGGCTTACATGTGACAGACCTGAGTTTGATTTTCAGCATCCCATATTGTCCTCTGAGCACCCCCAGGAGTGATCCCTGAGCAGCATCAGATGTGGCCCCCATGCGCCCCTTCCCAAAAATAAATGGGCTGTGACGATAGTCCAGCTTGCTTTGTATGCACAGCCTGGTGGCTCTCCTGGGTTCCATCCCTGGCATCCCATGTGGTTCCCCAAATCCTGCTAGGAGTAACTTCTGAGTACAGAGCCAAGAGGAAGACCTGAGCACAGCTGGGTGTGACTCCAAAACAAAAAGCATGCATATGCAACACTGGCCGGAGCTAGGGAAGCTCACAGAGTTTGTAGAGGGAGGTGTCTGGTGACAAAGGTGGATAGGGGGTCCCCAGCTCCACTCTCTGTGCTCCTTTTGGTAGCTCTCAGGGCTGAAATGCAGAAGTGCAGACATGGGAACAGGTCAAATCCTCAGGGCCCACAGGGAGGCGCCACTCACCTACCAGTGGTATCTGCAGGGGGCAGGAGAGAGAACACAGGAGGTACCATGGGTGGCTCCTTCCTCCCCCCGCCCCCCAGGACCTCCAGCATTTACACAGCTGAGCACCACAGGATGTGGCCCAACCCAGGTGACCCATAAGACTGGTGGCTGGGGTTACCCCTCACTCAGCAGTCCTTGTCCTAAGTGGGAAATTTGAACATAGAGGTGCCGATGGGGAGGGGTGTCTCTCATGGCCGCAGAGTCAGGGAGCCCAGCTCCGGGAATCCACGCACCCAGCACCCCTCTGCCTGGGACTTTCAGGCCCGAGAGGGGATGACTGGGCTCTAGTTCTGCATAAAAGGAGGTTTGGTGGGGGCGGATGCTGAGTCCTCACATGGCATCTGCTGCACCTTGAATCTAAGGCATTGGGATAGTAGGTACCTGTGGGTGTGCCCCTCACCTGAGTGCCATCTCCACCAAATGGAATAACCTTAGGGACCTGCTGCATAGATTGCTCCAACAGGGCCCCACAGCACCCCCTTTGACAACAGCCCTCTGCAGAGCCAGATGGAGTGGATAACACTGCCCAGGCTCACTAGGGCTCAGGTGCTCATAGGAAGTGGCAACCACAGGTGATGGCTGGGGCAAACAGTGTGCACATGCATACTTGCTCCATGCCTGGGGCCACCGCAGCTGTGTGTCTTTCCACCTCACCCTCCATCCAGGCCCACAAGTGCCCAGGTGAGCCTTCTCCCTCCCAACAAAGTAGAAACCGTATCAGGAAAACATGTTTATTCAAAAAAAAAAAAACACCAAAAAAAAACAAGTCGCAGCTTTGCCACTGCCCTCGCTAAGGAACTGGAGGGAAGTCTGGGGTGGGGTGGGGAGTAGGGGGCAGGAAAGAAGAGGCGGAGGGTCTTCTGGTCCAGAAATGTTTGTCTTCTCTCTGTTGGGCCCCCCCACAGCCCCTGCTTGTGTGCATTTGCCTGGGGGGTGGGACGAGGGAGTCTCAGATGGCGAATCCCAGCTCCAAAAGATTGCAGAGGTCTGACCTGCCTTGCTCCTTGACCTCTCCCACTATGGCTTTACTAGTGACCAGAGGTCAAGGCCCCAGGGTCAGGCAACCAGTGCCTGGGTGAATGGGGAAAAGGGCAAGGTGCCTTGAGTCCAGTCTAGAAGAGAGCAAGTAGAGGGGGTGCATACAAAAGCTGAGAGTCCTGACCCCCCCACTTGGTGGGCTGGAGGAAGCAGAGTGTGCCATGGAGCAAAGGGCAGGGCTGGGGGGTGGGCAGGCAGGCATCCCTGTTGCTCTCCAGGAAAGTCAGTCAGTCTGGGGTCCTATGAGGGCAAAGGGGGACCCTAGAGTCCCGTGGACAACTGTAAGCATGGAGCTGGAAAAGGGGCACTGGGACCCAGTCCTTGGGAAGGGGTGTGGCTCCCAGCAGAGGTGCCAGTATTGGAGAGGAGATAAAGAGGACGGCCTAAGGAGGAAGAAGAGCCCCCCCACCTCGCCTTGGGGGCTTGGATGGGGGAGCATGTAGCCCTTTAAGAGTGGGGGAGATGGCCGCCTCTATAACATGGCTATGTACAAGGGGGATGGGGTGTTGGGGCATCTGGAGCCCCTGGAGGAGGGGGGAAGAACAGATCAGGAAGAGCTGACACTGCTCCGCCCCCACGGTGGCACTCTCCTGTGGCTTTCCAGGGGGACACTGTGCTCCAAGCAGGGGGGCAGAAGACATCCACAAGCCCCAGGGAGTTGGTCAGCTCTCAGGGCCTCTGCTCCTATGGGGTAGTCCAAGTGACAGGCAGTGGGCTAGGGCAGTGACATCATTCATGGGCTGGAATGCCCTTCCAGTGACAAAGGAGGTCTCTGCATTGACCCTGTCACCCATCACATGGTGGGAGGAGGGCAGTGAGTTGTCAGGAGGAACTTGGATGCCCTCCCCAGGAGTGGGGTGGGGTGCTAGCCCAGTCCGAGTCTGTTGGAGCTACTGCAGGTGTCTGCCTAAGTCAAAATAGAGGCAGTGACATCAAGGATCAGAGCCGGGATGATGCTATTGTGGCGTCCCACCTGAGTCTGCTTTTGAGACCCCAGGAAAATGGAGCCTTGTGATGGCTGCCCTTCTGGGAATAGCTGTGGTGCAGTGTGAGCCCAGAAGACAGTGGACACACTGGAGGGCAGGATCTCCCCCTGTCCAGGATCCTGGTGAATGAGGACACAGTCTGCTGTGGACCATGGACGGTGATCAGCTATGGTTATGGGGATCCTGGCACGGTGGCTCTTAAATGATGAACCCTACAAGATGAGGCCACCATTGGGGTTCTGGATAATGCTGATCCCATGTTTGGAATGGAACATAGTGGCATGTATAGCTGAAATGAGTGGGCTGATCCAGGGAGGTTATGATGCCATGTTTGAAATGGATCCAGAGAGGTGATGACACTGTGAATAAAGTATACCCTGGGAGGCGATGGCACTGTGGTCAAAGTGCATCATGGGAAGTAATGACACTGTGGTCGAAGTTCACCCTGGAAGGTGATCATCCTGGAGGCATGATGCTGTGGTTAAAGTGGATCCAGGGAAGTGATGATGCCCTGGTTGAACTGGATTTAGGGAGGTGATGACAGACATGGTTGAGTGCATTCTGGGAGGTGATGGTGCTGTGGATGAAGTGGATCTAGGAAGGGGATGACAGACATCATTGTTGGAGTTAGGTCCCAGTAGACACCATGATTATGAACTGTGATGATGGTGGGACTGTGAGGAATGGGGCTAGCATCCATCCTTGAAGAACCTAGTAGAGAGTGTCCCATCAGCCACAGTGAATCCACCATGGTTGCAAGTCACCAAAGCATGTCACCTCTTGGCTCTGAGATCCCTCAGAAATGGTACCAAGATATGAGGTGGTAAAATATGAAGAAAGAGGAGACCACAGTTGTGCTGGGTTCTGGGAGATGAAACCCCGCCCCCCCACACACACACAGGTTAGAGGGAAATGCTGTCATCAGGCATGGCTTGCATTAACCCCAAACACCATGCCATCATGAGTGGCAAAAGTCTTGAGGTACTGATGATGTCATCAGCAAGTTCGATGTATTGTGTCCCTCCCCAGCAGGAGGCCAGGACTTCGTTGACAGGGGTGCCTCTCTCTCTAGTTTTGGCAGGAAGAAGTGAGGCCAGCCAGAGGGCCACCTAAAGTCCCAGGCTTGTGAAAATCTTGAGGCAGAAGCAAACAGGGCTGCTGGCCTTCCAGAGTTCCACAGGAAGTGACATCTCTGCAAAGAGTAGGACTTGAGGAACATCTGCCCTTTAAAGAGAGTATCCAGTGCAGTCAGTCATGGCAAGGAACTGCCAGTTTAGTCATGTGGGGAGCAGATGACTGCTCTGGTGAAGCCATCACAGGGGATGGCCCTGAAGCAGAGGCAGTATTTTGGGATGACATCACAGTATGGGAGCTGTGTAATCTCTGGGGAGACCCTTCCAGAAGGAATGAGGGACACCCTTCAGTGCCCTGTTGGGGTAGGCACTGCCTCCAGGCACCCCTGCCTTCTCAGGAGCTGTTTCCCAGCACCCTCCAGAGGTGTCCCAGACGTAACCCAAGGGATGACTGTGTCATCCCTACAATGACACAGTCCTTCTGGTGACGGTGCAGGGCACCTTCTCAGGTGATGGCATCAAAGAAGGAAGTTGGGAGGGAGAAGGCCTGCTGTCTAGGAAGATGGCTTTGTCCACGGAGTGATGACATTGTCGAAGGAATTACTTTCCTGGTGACTCCCATGCTAGTGAGGGGTGTCTCTGCACTGATGTCAACAGGGAGGAGTCTTTGTACTGGGGTGATGTCGTAGTTCAAGCCGTGGTCTCTGCTAGGACATTGTGTGTGAGGGGGGTGTCTTGACCAGGACTGAAAGGCGGCTTCCGGCAGGGCTTCCTCTGCGATGACGCCATGGGTAGGGAAAGTATCAGAGCCGAGGCAGGAGGATCTAAGGAACACCACGCCCCGACAGGTGGAGCCCAGGATCCCCAACCCTCAGTCCTCAAAGGCAGCTGTGCCCTGCCAGTGGCGTCCCAGGACCCCCGGAGGCGGAACGGCTGAGCTGGGCTCAGACCGTCACCTCGTTCTTGCTGGCAGTGCGCAGGTGCTGTGGCAGGTGGTGGCCGGGGATGAACTGCAGCTGCTCCAGCGTGCCCTGGCGCTGGAAGGGTGGCCTGCGCGCCAGCGTGCCCCCGCCCGCATCCGCCACCCAGGCGGGCTGCGGGGAGCCGTGCAGCGCGTGGTGGTGGTGCGCGTGCAGCCCATGCAGCGGCGTGGGGGGGGCCCCGGGCCCCAGCAGCAGGTTGGAGTGTGAGGCGGCCAAGCCGGCGCGCGTCGCGGGCTCGGGGGGCAGCGCGGGGCTGCGCGGCGGCGACAGCAGATGCTCGCGGCTCTGGCGCAGCGCGTCGGGTGATGACAGCAGCAGGTGCTCCTGGGATACGAGGCGTGCGCGCGGAAGCGTGAACTCGCAGCGCGCCCGGGCCGAGTCGCCCAGCAGGTGCTCTTGCGACATGACCCGGCGCGGGTGATGAGCGGGCGCCAGGCCCAGATCCTCGGGGCCGCCCCAGCCGTCCAGCTGGTAGCCGCCCCCGGTGCCCGGCCGCCGCAGGGCGTGCAGGGGCAGCGTCCCGCGGGCCATCTCCAGGGGCCTCCGCTTGAGGTAGGCCTCGTCCAGATCCTTCTCGGCTGTGGGAAAAAAGCCCTAGTGGGTGCCCCGCCCACCGAGCGCTCCGCCTACAAGGACACCAACTCTACCGAGTGCCCCGCCCACAAAGGATGCCCGTCTACCCTGGCCCTTGCTCACACGTCTCATATCCCAGAAGGTCCCCCCTTCCCCTCTGCACTTCCCCCCCGGCCCCTCCCCCCCCGCATCTGCCGGAATGTTTGGGCCAGGGGTGCATTTTTTCCTTCAGAGCATCCTTCTTTGGGGAGGTGTTGCGCAACCCCTGCAGGTGCTGGGGGGATCGTTTGCGATGCGGTGCCGGGCATGAAATCAAGACAAGTGCTGATCCCTGCACTGTGGCTCTAAGCAGAACTGATTCTCACTTGCTGGTCTCTTCTTTCCTGTTCAACCTCTAGTGGTCTCAAGTTCGCAGAGCTCAGCCACATGGCTGAGTGGCTGAAGCAATGCCCTGCTTTGGGACCAAATTATCAGCAGTCCCCCTCCATCACAAATAATCAGCTCACAAGATTATTTTTTGGGTCACACCCAGCAGTGCTCAGGACTTACTCCTGGCTTTGCACTTCTGGCCAGGATTGGGGAACCATATGGAATGCCAGGGATTGAACTCAGGTCAGTTGCATGCAAAGTGACTGTACTATAGCTCTGACCCTGCATGCAAAATTTTGTTTCAGCTTCCTGTATGCTGTTGATGTGTTTGTGGATGCAATGACCCAATACCAGTAGATTGTTTTTTGTTCGTTTGGTTTTGTTTTTCTGGCCATACCTCATGCTGCTCAGGTGTTATTCCTGGCTCTGCACTCAGGGATCACTCCTGGCATGGCTCACTCCTGGTATGGCTTGGGGGAGCATCCAGGGGCCAAAGAGATAGTTCAGGGGTTCTCAGGTCCTTGCACACTGTAGGTCCTGATTCAATTCCTGGCACCACATAAGGGTCTCCTGTACCACCAGCCCCCCACCCCCCCAGTACAGATCCAGGAACAGCCTGTAAACAGGCGTGGCCCTGAAAACAAAAATAAAATTTTTAAAAAGGGGCCTGAGTGATGGTACAGTAGGCCAAGTGTTTACTTTGCAAGGACCCAACTTGGATTTGATCCTCAGCACCCTATGATGGTCCCCTGAGTCCTGCCAGGAGTAAGCCCTGAGCATAGCTGAGGGTGGCCCAAAAACCAAAATAAATTCAAAGATAAAATAATCCGCCCAGGCTGAGGTGGGCGGAGGAGTGAGTAATGAAGAACCACGTGTTGTCAGTTGAGTGACGAGAGCAGGTTCATCCACAGCTTTTTTGCCTATCTTGCACATGTTAGAAAATGGCCTTAGCAACAAGTTTCTGTGCTTTTCTATCATGAAAAACATGTTTTTTTTAAACATATACGGGGACTGGTGATACAGTACAGTGGGCAAGGCACTCACGTTGCACGCAGTGGACCAGGGGTTCTAGCCCCAGAGCCTCATCTGGTCCCCTAAACCCTCCTTTTCAAAAAAAAAGCTTTATATATAGATCTCTGTGTTCCTGGGTCATAAAAACATGAACACAAATCCCAGCAGTTATTAGTTCTAAGCTGCCAGTTCTTAGTCCTAGGATGCTGTGTTATGAGGGGCCTCTGAACCTGAGACACCACTGAGAGCCACAGTGACATGCTCAGGGGCCTCTCTGCTGGAATTAGGGGAGATACTATTATGGTGGCACCAGGAAGAGAGGTGAAGGCAACCCAGAAGAGAGGGGAGAGATTGGAATCTAGGGGTCTGCTCTGCTCACCTTTCTCCAGCCTCACTCGAAGCTAATGACCAGATAGTCAGCCCAGATAGTTAATTTGTCAGTCCAGATAATTAATTTCCTTATTGTGCCTAAGTGTCATTTTGTTTCCTTTTTGGGCCTCATCTGGCAGTGCTCCAGGGTTATTCCTGGCTCTGCATTCAGGAATCATTCCTGGTGGGCTTGGGAAACCACATAGGATGCCAGGGATTGAACCTGGTCGGCTGCATGCAAGGCAAGCTCCCTTCTTGCTGTACTTGCTGTATTATCACTCTGACCTGCATTTCTTTTACTTATTTCTGGTTTGGGACCACATCTGGTGGTGCTCAGGGCTCTGTGTTCTGGGATTACACCATTTATTTTGGCTGTAAAGGCGGTGTGTGTGTGTGTGTGTGTGTGTGTGTGTGTGTGTGTGCACGCGCACGCACACGTGATTAGTTTGCACTCTTTTTTTTTGCTTTTTGGGTCACACCTGGCAATGCACAGAGGTTACTCCTGGCTCTGTATTCAGGAACCACTCCTGGCGGTGCTCAGGGGACCATATGGGATGCTGGGAATCGAACCCGGGTCAGCCATGTGCAAGGCAAATGCCCTACCCGCTATGCTATTGCTCCAGCCCCTAGTTTGCACTCTTTAAAAAATTTTAAAGTTCTAAAAGTTTAAAAGTGGCCCACGTAATTCTGATAGAAAATGATCTGAGATGGGCTGAAACTGGCTCAGAGCTGCATACACGAGGTTTTCTTAGGGAAGCCTGCTTTCACCCCAGGCAGCGCAGGGTCCTCCCAACCCTGCTGGCAGCAGTCCCTGAACACAGAGCCAAGACAATTCCCAAGCACTGGGCACGACCCCCCTCCCTAACACACAGCCCCCCATTCAGTAACAAAAATTTTTTCTGTAAGAACTTCTCCAGAAGCCCAAGGAAGCTGGCAGGTCACTGTCCGTGGTGCTGAACTGGGAGGGCCCGGTGCTCACCTCGGCTCACCCTACCCGCCCCTGCACTCACCCAGCCTCTTAAGCGAAGAGTAGCGGTTGAGTTCCGATTTCATAGCAGCCTCGTAGGATGGGGGCAGGTGGGAGAGGTTGTGGAAGGACCTCGAGCACGACAGTGTGGAGTAGTGCAAGGAGGGGCTTGGTGGAGGTGCCGCCCGCCAGTCTGGAGGGGGTCACAGTTGGTTAGTGTGGCCCTCCTCCCTCAGATTCTGGGTCCTAGACCTCAAGTGCCTAGTTCTCCCTCAGACCCAAGGATCTAGACCCCCCAAAGACTCCTCCCTCAGGCCCTGGAGTTAAGACCCACCCCTTCCTCCCTCAGACCTGCATTCTCCAGCACCTGGGTAGGAGACTGACCAGTGCCTGTGCATCTAGTGAGGAGGAGACCCCTGGACCCCTGGACTGGCATGAGCACAGGGCTCCCCCTTGACCCCAGGGCAGCTGTTCCCCTGCCCCCCACCCCGTGTCCCGAGAGGCTGTCCATACCCAGTGTGGCAGCATGGTGCTTGGGGCTATTGACATTCAGGTGCAGATAGTTGTGCAGATTATCTGGGGGGAGACCAAGAAGGGGATTGAGGTCAGAGCTGAAGCTGCAGGGGTGCTGTGGCAGGAGCCTGCTCCCCAATCCTGCTCCCTGGTCCAGCACACCTGCGTACACCCTGATAGGAGCCCCTGCCACAACCTTTGTCCATACTCAGTACTCTGACATCTGCCTGGCCCTTTCCCCACCAAGGGACTTTACTCTGCCTCCAGGCCTTTCTTCCCGTTTTTCCTGAAGTCCTACTTATTCCTCAGAACCCTCAAATGGCTCTTACCTTCTAAATGCCATTCAAACCCTTCCAGATTGACCCACAAAGCTATCTGGCCCCCACCTGACAAGTGCACCCACAGTTTACCAGGTGAACACATCCACAGTTGTGTTCTCAGGCATATCTGGGGGTAGATGGGTCTGAACTGCAGTTTCTCAGTGCAGGGGCTGAGAATGTCTCTAGAGATCTGCAAGGCATTCCAGGTGCCAACCCAAGGGGACCCCCCCCCCGAGCCCCTCCAGGGAGGCAGGGTCTGGTCTGTGTTGGGGTGGGGCCAGAGTCAGGCTCACCGAGATTAGAGGGTTTCACGGTGTTGTAGAGGCTCTTGGGCGTCCGAGGGGGCATGCTGTCAGGGCCCCCAATCCCTGGGGTTAGGGAACTGCTCCGGGTGCGGTCCGGGCGGCTCCCAGGTCCCGCCTGATGTCTCAGAATGTCCACCAGTGCCCTAGGGGGATAGTGGGATGGTCAGTGGGCAGGGGTGGGACTGGTGAGAGAGCCTCTGTCCCTCCCTATTCCCATCTTTGGGGATTTTGTCAGCTGCCCCTGGCCTCTGGCCATGCCCTCTCATGGCTGACCATATCCATCGCTCCCATCCTTCTCCAAGACCCTGGACCACACTGTGGGGTTCCTGTGTGCCCTCTGCTCTGTGTGGCTCTGGTGTGATCTCCCTAACCTCAGGTCTTTCTCCTATGGCACCAAGTATGCCCATTTTGCCCAGGGATGTGAACCCCAAACCTCAGAATCATCTCTGCCTCCACCTCAGTTTCCCTGTGTGCCCCTTTAAATTTTTTCCCTGTACGTGCGGGGTGCACACCTCATGGTGCTCAGAGCTCAGGGTCAGTCCTGGGGACATTTGTGGTGCCCGGAATCCCAGCTTGCATGTGAAGCTTGTGCTCAGCCCCTTCTGCTCTCTCTGGTCCACCTTTGGCAGCCTTGCATATCCCTCACACTGGACCACTCGTCGTGGGAGCTGCCTGCCCTGCCTCTCTCTTGGGCCAAGACAGGTCCCCTAACTGGCCTCTGCCCCATGCCTCTGAGCACCACACGCCCTCGGTTCCCTGACCTGGATGCCCATCCTCCCTCTCAGAGACCCCTGCGCAAGCTGACTTTTCCTGACCACGTCATGACAACTTTCACGAAGGCTGCCTGCTCTGCCCTGCCCTTATCACTATTTCAGACAGGCGTTGAGCACTGGTTGGTTTACAGGATTCACCACCTGGTAATGGACTGACCATGGGCCAGGACTGGACGTAAACTGATTCTGTTCATGCATCACAGTCCTAAGGGGTTGTCTGTCTCTGCAGATGAGCCCAAGAGGCGCAGAGAAGCTAGGCCACTTGCCCGGCTCCCACAGCCACCTGTTTTGTGCCGCAGAAAGTGCTCAGAAAATACTTGTTCAATGCACGAATAAGGACCTGAGCCTCAGGGACACTAGACTGCTGGGGTTTGGGACGGGAAAAAACTCTGGCTCCGCCTCCCGAAAACATGGCCCCGCCCCAAGCCAGCCCCCGCCCCACCCCGCCCCCACCGCTCCCGCCCACAGGCCCCAAACCACACCCAGGCCCAGCCGCAGGTCCCCAGGCTCCCTACCCTCGGTCTGCTGCGCTCACACACCTGGGCACGTTGATCTCCCTGTGCGCCCTGGGCGCACGGGACGCTTTGCTGAAGGCCACTTTGGCGCCGACGCCCACTGCCAGGGCGAAGCTGATGACCCCGCACACCACGTAGGCCGTGCTGCCCCCGGGGCCCTCGCCCCCCCGCCCCCCAGCTCCTCCCCCCCGGCCCCCTTCCAGCCACCCGGCCTGGCCGGGCCCGGGGCCCCCGCCCACACCACCGGCGCCCCCGGCGCCCCCGGCCAGCGGTGGCGGCGTGGTCGCCCAGCGCGGCGTGTCGTAGTTGGAGCAGGAGGCCTGCGCCAGGCGCATGTGACGGTGCTCGCAGCAGAAGCGGTAGTGGCACGTGCCGCAGCAGAAGCGGTAGGAGCCGGTGCTGCAGTTGAAGGTGGCGTCGTACTGGCCCATGACGTCGTAGTAGCCGTGGCACAGCTCGGCCGGCGGGGGCGCCCTGGCCGCCGCGCCCGCCCCGCCGCCGGCACCGGCCCTCGAGCCATTGGCGCCGCCGGCGCCCGCCGCGCCCCCGCCGCCCGTCAGCGCCCCGGTCAGGCGCCTCAGGTGCGCCAGCAGGGCGGGCAGCGGGCCGGCGGCCTCAGCGGTCGTGGCGTTGGCGGGGCGCGCCCCAGCCGGGGGGGCGGAGGCCAGGAGCAGCAGGGTCGCGAGGAGCAGGAGGGCCGGCATGGGGCGCGCAGGAGGCCGGCCAGGGCCGCCAGGCTGGGGAGAGCCGAGGCTGCAGGGCAGAGGGGAGTGGGATGCGGGGGGTGGGGGGGTGCGGCGGGATGAAGTGAAAGATGAGCCCAAAGTTGGGGTGCCCAGAGGGCAGGAGGCGGGAGAGCAGAGAGAATGTGGACATGGGAAGTGGTGACAATGCGCACACAGGGAGGGAATGACAGGGACCCGGTGTGGGGGCCGGGAGGGTGAAGTTGGGAGGGGGGGAGAGAGAGAGCGGAGTTGAGAAGTTCTTATGGGGGCCACACCCACTGGTGCTCAGGGGTCACTCCTGGCTCAGTGCTCAGGAGTGACCCTAGGTAGTGCTAGAGATGGAACCCAGGTCAGTCACATGCTCGGCCAGACCCTCCCCCCTGCACCGTGCTCTGACCCTGACACTCAGAATCTAAGTTTGCAGAAGAGCCTCAGGGAGGTTGACTTGGGCATGGCTGCCCCATCGTGTGATGTGGGTGTTACACAGTGGGGGTAGGGCTGGGTGCCAGGAGCAAGAGCTGACCCCGCCCCGCCCCAGGCAAGGTGCCCCCCCCAGAGCACTGGCTTAGCCAACCCTCCCCATGCTGATCAATCCTGTTCAGGCTGATACTCAAGTGCTGTGCCTCTGCGTCCGTCTGTCTCACACACACTCTACTCCAAGTCTGATCTGAAGGCTCTGTCCCTTGGTCCTCCATGTGCCACTCCTGAAGCTGGAGAGCCTCTTGCCCAGTTCCTTGTGCCTCAGTTTCCCTGTCTGTGGATGTGGACCTCCAGATGGTAGGTGTGTGACTTGCTGAGACCAGCTTCAGCTATGTCTATGACCAGGCAGGAAGTGTTTGCTGAGGCTGTTTCTGGCATGGGCTGCCTCTCCCCACCCCTCCAGCCCCATTCAGACTCAGGCCGCGAAGGGGGGACCCTGAAGGGATTGTCCCCGGAGGCCCCAATTTGCTTCTCTGTAAGATGGGGATCAGAGTGGAGTACCTAGGGCATCACTGGGTTCCCTCAGCACTCATCACTCTGCTGGACATGAAAGCACCAGTGCTGAACAAAACCACACTAGCCAGTCAGAACCACGTACACCCCTGGGCATGGCGGGGCACTCCTCTGCCATTCCCCTGCCACTAAGGAAGTGGGGTGGGCAACCCCCTGCCCCCGCCCTGGTCTCTTTGTGGGGTTGATTTTCCAGCGGGGGCCAGAGCGAGTCCACAGGCATGGACTTGGGACACAGATTGGGAAATGATACTGGGCTGCCCTTGCCTGGCTCCCCAGCCCCCCAAAGATGGACGCTTGGGGCAACAGAAGGGCATGGCAGAGTGGAAGAGTGTTACAGCGCAGAAGAATCTCTGAACCAAGCAGCTCTCTGCAGAGATACCTCTGGACTTTAAGCCATGCTGACTTCACCAGGGTAACCCAGACGGGCAGGCATCATCTCTCTACCTGCCCCCTAAAAACCCTGGCAGCTGCCATTTTCCAGAACCCAATGAGAAGTGCAGGTATGTGGGTTTAGTGACTAGTGATGGCAAACTCCAGGTCTCAAGGGATTGGGGATGGGACGGTCCTTCTCATCCCCCCCCCAATAATGGGACCCTAGAGGTCACACCTACAACTGCCTCAGGCTACTACTTAAGCTCCTTAACTGGCTACTGTCTGGAGACACAAAAAAATCTCCATCTCTGAACCAAGCAGCTCACTGCAGCGATTTCTCCAGATCCTAATTATCTAAAATTTTAGAATTCCAGGAGCATGCGGCCACTCTCCCAGCCCCACAACATATTATGCTATTCATAACAAACAATACAAAAGAGAGTATGGGGGAGATTGTCTGCCATAGAGGCAGGGGGAGGGGTGGGATGGGGGAATACTGGGGACTTTGGTGGTGAAAGATGTGTACTGGTGGTAGGTGATCGATCATTGTATGACTGAAACGCAAACAAGAAAAGTTTTGTAACTGTATCTCATGGTGATTTAAAAATAATAATAATAAAATAAAATTAACATTCTGCAGGGCTGGAGCAATAGCACAGTGGGTAGGGCGTTTGCCTTGCACGCGGCCCACCTGGGTTCGATTCCCGGCACCCCATATGGTCCCCTGAGCACTGCCAGGGGTAATTCCTGAGTGCAGAGCCATGAATAACCCCTGTGCATCATCAGGTGTGACCCAAAAAGCAAAAATAAAAATAAATAAAATTAACATTCTGAATAAAAAAAAGTAGTATGGAGTTCATCACAATTCAATCAGCTTAATCAATAGCTGAATAAATAACAGTATTCCTACATTTAAAAAAAAGAGTATTACAGTGACTGGGCGCTGGTGCAAGGAGTCTCAAGAGCTGTCCCGTTCCTTTGTGGGTGCCACAGAGAAGAGCCATGCAGCTAGGGCTGGGCCAGGGCCAAGGTGCTGACCCTCCCATCGCAGAGAGCATTTTCTTCCTCCTGCCTGCACCTCAGTTCCTTCTTCTTTCCAGTTGGGCCCTGTCCCTGAACTCCTGGCTCCTGGGTGGGGGTCAGAGTGGGACTGGGCCCACTTTCCCACAGAACCAAAGACGTGGGTTCATACAAACTGCCTAGGCCCCTCAGGAACCATGGTCTGAGCCCCACAGCCTTACATGCATGTGATCACAGGTTCAAATCCTTGGGCCCCATATGCACAGTGGAAGTGCTGCCTGTGGTCTTCAGCACTGCAGGTGATTTCTGGCTGGCCCACACCCCCCAGGCACCCCAATTGAGAAAAATTAGTGGGTGCAAGGGCCAACACATGCAGATGTGGTGAGCACTGCAGCAAGTCCACCCCTTGAGCACCCCACCATGGACAGGTGCCTCAGCTGAGAGTGTGAACCCTCCATGGAAAGGTGGGTGAGAGCTGGAGTCCCTTGAGGAGAGTGCAACCTGCACAAGGTCCTGGGTTCCCTCCCCAACATCACATGCACTCAAACACTCATATAACACACATTCAAACACAATCATACACATAGATACACACTGACATACACCCCCCCACACACAAATACTCAGACACACACACATGGACTCACACATACACACATACTGATAGGCACACTCACTGACACAGAGACACACACACTGACAGTCATGCACAGACATACACACACACACACTCACGCACGCACACGAACTCACACACAGAAGTTCATTCAAATGGTTGATTTGGGACTCAAAGCATAGGAATCTGAGCTTGGTCTGAACAGCCAGGTTTGGAACCTGCACTGCATGGGGCCCAGAGCACTGGCCTAAAGCACTGCCGAGGAGTGTGGCCCCCAAACCAAACCAAACCAAACGGGCCATTATTTTAGACAACCTGTATTTTACCTCAAAGGAAAGAAACCCCAAAGCCCCCCAGGGCCAGGAGCAGTGGGGCTGCAGTGTGCTCAGGCCCCGCCCCACCAGGCATCCCCCTTCCTGTCTCCAAAGCTGATCTGCCCTTCCCTTTGCCCAGAAGCCCCTTCGTGAAGGCCTGGCCTCCTGCTCTCTCCTTTCAGGTGCCCACACTTGCCCATTTAGCAAAGCCCTGTCGGTTCACAGCAGCACCGGGGCTGGGACTGCGGTAGTGAGGCGCATGCTTGGCACGCCTGCTCCCTTATTGGCCCTGCCTGCAGCCACACCCGACCCCTTTCCATTGTCACCTTACTCGTGCACTAGCCAAACCCAATGGACTCTCAACTGCCCAAAGGTGGACTGGAGTCTGTGACAGGAGTCCCCATTGTATGCGCATGCGCCTGACACACAGTAAGCATGTTGGATCTGTGCATACCGCCGGGAGGGTGTGCTTCCTAACCCTGACACACAACATGATGTTCCTGATGACATGTGCTCCAAGAGGCCTGAGGCTTTCCTGCACCTTGGGGCACCTGTGCCTATGACCATGGATGCCTCTGTGCCATACAGGACATTAGGGACAGGCCAGCAGAGGCACCTGTGCATGACCAAGTGCTGAGGCTGTCAGTGAGGACTCGGGAAGAGTCAGGCAGGCTGGGCACTGCCCAGGGAGGGGGGCCTGGGACCGCTCAGCTCTCCCCTCTGAGGTATGTTTGCTGGTGGGGCTACTTTGGGTATGGGAAGAGGCCCCCTTTTCAAACTCACACCCGGAGACAGCTGCCTGCCCTCAGCAGATATGGGGTTGGGGGCACCCTTATCTTGTTGGTGTCCAGTCGGCAGGCCAGTGCAGTCCCAGCACACAAGCTGTCACGCGGCTGAGTCCCACAGCCTCCTGCAACTGCGCACAAGTGGAGGATGTGACTTTGGTGAATCCAGACATGAGGATGGGGGCCTTCTGCCCTCACCCACAAGGCACAGGACATGGGACATTGCTGTCCCAGCGGGCAGAGTCCTCAGCGTCGCCCTTGGCCACTCAAAGCCCCACACATTTCCCCAAGGACCGAACCCGCCACAGCCCCAAGCCCGGGGGTGTCTGAGCAGGCCTGTGACAGGTGACATGTAACACCCCCACAGGCACACCCCCAGACACAGGCAACCCCACCCATCCCACTCTCCCACAAAAGCACTTTCCTCCATACAGCTGGGAGCGGCTGCATGACGCTCAGGGTCAGTGCTATGTTCCCTCCGCATATACACACTGGGGCCCACCCACGACGACACAAAACTTGCAGAGGGGCCAGATGGGAGCAGCTGTCTAGGAGCTGTCCCCACCTGTCCCAGCCCTTGAGCACCCCCTCTCCAGCCTGCTCCTCTGTGGCCACCCCCACTTCCTCCTTCCCTCTCCAGCTGTCCAGACGCAGGTGGAGTGGGAGTCTAGGGGGGCTTGGGTACTGCAAAGAGAGGGGGCCAGAGACCCAGAGAGGGAGACAAGGAACCTAAGATAAGGGGATAAAGACAGAGAGAGAGGGATAGAGATGGGGGACAGAGACTTCAAAAGAGGGAGGTCAGGGAGGGAGGGAACAGACACCCTAAGAGAGGGGGGGAACAGGGACCCAGGAGAGAGGGGGACAGAGTCCCAGAGACATGGACAGAGACCAAGAGGGGAACAGACCCAGAGAGTGGGGGAGAAGCAGAGCCCCAGAGAGAGGAACAGAAACCAAGAGAGAGGGGGACAGATTCAGAGGAGGGACAGTGACCCAGAGAGGGGGACAGAGACCCAGAGAGAGGGAGACAGACCCAGAGAGAGGAGCAGAGACCCTGACAGAAGGGAACAGAGCCAAAGAGGGGGTAACAGAACCAAAGGGGGTGGCAGAGACCCAGAGAGGAGGACAGGGACCTCGAGAAGGGAGAGATGGAGTGAAGGTGCGGAGAAAGTAGAGACCGGAAGCACCAGGCCTGGTCCCTATCCAAGGTGCTGGGCTGAAGGGTCCGCAGCTGTGGGTGTGCTGGGTGACGGGGAGCCGGCAGCAAGGCGGGGGTTGGAGGGGGTGGAGGAGGCTGGGAACAGCTCCCGGCAGGCGGGGCACGGACCGCGCCGTTGCAGGGAGCTGCGGTGATAAGAGGGTCTGCAGAAGGGTCCGAGGCGCGCTAAGCCCATCGCAGGAGGCCGCGCCCGACGGCCGCCCGACGTGCCGGGCCAGGGGCAAAGGACCCGCACCACCCTCACCGCGCCCCCACCCCGCCGTCGGCCGCGCAGCCCTGAGCCTCTCCTTACGTCTCGCCTCCTCGCTGGCCCTGTCTCGGGGTCCCGGCTCTCTGGGGGCGCCTCCCTCTCGGCCCGCGCTGCCTGCCCCCGCCCCACCTCTCCCGCTCTCCGCCTCTCTCCCCCGCCTCGCTGCCCGGGGTCCTCCCCTCTGGACCTCCTCCGACCCCCGATCCTCTAACGGACCCCGCCCGCGGTCCAGGTTGGAGGGGTGCGGTGTGGGGGGGGCGCTGCGGCGGGAGCTGTGTGTTCCCAGCGCAAAATAGACTCCTGTTGCCATGGCGACGCGAGCTCGGCCTCCGAGACGCCTTGCTGAAGGCTGCGGGTGAGGAGGGGGGACACCTGGATCCGGAAGGCGGGGGCCGGGGGCGCCGACGCCCGGTCCCCGGGGCTCCTGGAAGGTGGGGCGAGGTGGTGCTGGGCGCCCTGATGCCTGGGACCCTGGACGGGCCTCCTGGGAGACCACGGGGCTGGGGGACTCCAATTCCCTAGCGGAGCCAGGCAGGCGGGATGCTGGGGCACTTGAAGACTCAGAAGCTGCTTCTCAGGCCCCCCAGGCTGGGGGCGGGTGGGTGCAAGGACTGCGAATCTCGAGGGCTACGGGCCTGACTGGGGGCCCCTAGTCCTGGGGGCTGCAGAATTCCGACAAGCCCCATGTGGATGCCCGGGCTCCTGCGTCTTTAGGGGGGCAGGGACCCCTCGGAAGCCGCTGTCCGTCCTTCCCATCCATTCATCCGCATGCCAGTCTCCTCCCTCCCGGTCTCCTGGTCCCCTTGCCTCAGTCTCCCCCTCCGCATCGGGGTGCGGTGGTGCTCACCTCACTTTCCGGACGCGGGAGCCCTGGGGTGCCGGGGGCGGCGGCGTGGGGGGCGGCCGAGCGCGTGTCTGCCCGCCGGGCCGGCGGGGCGTGTGCGCGCGCGCTGTGCCGTGTAGAGCAGCCCGCACGCAGCTCGTCTCTGAGCAGAGGTCGCCGCGGCCGCCCCGCGCCTCTGCCTCGCTCCCGCGGGGTGCCCGGAAGACACACCTCCTCCTCCCCACCGCCCTCCTTCCCGCACCTCACAGTCGCCCCCGGGATACCCCCCAACCCAAGAATGGTAGGGCCCGCCAGGACATTAATGTTTATTCTGTGAGTGAGGGTCCCAGCGCCCCGGCCCGGCCCTCCCCCGCCCTCCCCACCGCGTGCGGCGACCCGGAGCTCAGCCCGCCCCCAGCACGCGCAGCCAATCGCCATCCAGCTTCCAAGAATCTAATTTGCATTTCCGGGAGACACGGCCCAATGGGAAGGCGGAACTCCACCCCCCTCCCGAGGGGCGGCACTCCCGGCGGACTGCACCACTCTGGGGATCCGAGGATGGGGGAGCGCCGGGGTCCAGGGGCGCCTCCGCCTCGCAGGCAGGCCCTCAGCAGTTCAGCGGAAGAGGGGATTCTGATGCTGGAAGAGGCCCAGCAGTCCGCTGTCCGGGCTGGGCTCCTTGATCAACTTCTGGATCTGTAGAGGAAGGGGCGGATACCTGAAAATCAGGACGCGTTAAAGGGTCTGATGCCAGTGACAAGGCTCCATTTTCCTTTTCCCTGCCCTCTCAGCAACAACTGGCCAAAGTGGCCAGTTAGTTCCTCTTTTGAAAACTTCCCCTATGGTGCACTCAAAGGTGATGGGTGAGGTTAACACCCCATCACCTGCCACCCTTGTGTCCCCCCTTGCTGGCTGACCCCTGAGGAATCCAAGTCAGCCCTGGGGAGCCTCCTAAGGTGGGCTCACCTCCCCAGTTCAGCCCCCACCTGGCCCCTCAATGCCCCTGGATTCTCTGCCTGCCTCTGAGACACTACCACCGGAAACCTGCATCCCTCTCATCTGCCTTTTCCCAGAGACCCCAGGGCATCCCTACAAACCATCACATCTGGTCTTAACCCCTCATCACTCCAGAGTGCACTGGCACACACCCCAAATCTATGAGAAGAGTTAGCTGTCCCTAAATAAGCAAGTTCCGTCCCACCTGTGGCCTTGGCCCAGGCTCACTGTACCAACTGCACACCCCCAGACCATTTGCAGCGGGGACTGGAACCCAGGCTGCTCTGCTATTATGTCACCTCCACCCCCTCCACAGAGCTGCCAGAGGAGGGGGGCTGTGATTCAGGGCTATTCCCATTATCCAGAGGAAGCTGGGGGTCCCTGCTGGTTGGCCATTGGGTGTCCCCTTTGCATGGAGGGATGGGCCAAGGAACTGCAGACAAGTGGTGACAGACAAGTGCCTGAGTTCAAATCCCTACTGGCCCATATATGCAAAAGTGACTGAGGCAGCGTCTGTTGCTTGTGCTTGACAGCCCTGGTGACTGTGATCCCGTGCCACACTCAAACAATACGGACAAGATCCAGGGGTACAGACATAGCACAGTGGGCAGGGTGCTTGGCTTGCATGCATGTGGCCATCTCGGGTTCCACTTCCAGTACCCTATATGGTCCCCCAGGGATCTCCACCAGGAGTGATCTCTGAGCAGAGACAGGAGTCAGCCCAGAGCAGCACTGGTGTGGCCCTGCAACCCAAACCATAATCAATATTATGAGACCTCTGCACCAGACCCCCACCAGGCCCCCAGCCTTTCTCAGCCTTCTCCACCCTGGTATGGAGGAGGTGGTGGTGGATGCTGACAAGGAGTCAGCAACTTCAGGGGAGGCGATGGGCAGGGCTGGTACCTCCTTGAAGTGGGGGTGGGAGGAATCCCCCACAAGCTGCAGGATGAGCCCCTCGCTGGTGGAGAGGAAGGCCCCGCTCTGGCGCATCCGGGACATGGCCACCAGTCGGTCCACCTGGCTGTGGGGGTGGCGTGGGGCGGTTAGTGGAGGGACACCCTGGTTCTGGGCAGGGCGCCCCTCAGGAGCCCCCTCACCTGCGCGAGGAGCAAGCATCCACCACGACGTGCACCTGCAACTCCCTCTCCAGGAGGTCCAGGGCGGTGTTCTGGGGACAGAGTGGTGCACTCACAAGGAGACCCAGGCAGGATGGGGTCCCTGTCTAGGGGGCTGGGCGTGGGACCCATGGGGGCCTCACCAGGATGCAGGCCTGTGTCTCAATGCCACAGAGGATGACTGAGCGCAGCTGGGGCCGGGAGTCCAGCTCCTGCTGCACTGCAGGCACCATACTGAAGCAGGTCTTAGGCACAGCCTTTAGGCCCTCAGCCCCGAGCTCGGGGACTGTAGGGCCCAAGCCCTGTGGGTACTGCTCCGTCAGCACAGCAGGCACCTCCAGCAGTCGTGCCACCTGCAGGGGTAGGGAGAGAGAGGCCTGAGCCTGAGAGGGTCTGGGGCCCAGACCCCTGCATCTGAGGGAGGAAGCTACTGAAGTGAGTGCTGGGTGTGAAGGTGGAGGGGCTATGGAACTGACTCTGGTCTGAGAGAGAAAGGCCTGGGAGAAGTCTAGGTCTGAGCAGGGGAGATGCTGGGAACCTGGGCTTGAAGGAGGAGTCATAGGGACTGGACCCTGGTCTGAGGGAAGAGGCTGGAGGACTGGGCCCCATCTGATGGAGGAGGCTGGACCTTGAGCATGCGGGCAGCCACCGAGACAATCTGGGGGAAGTAGGCAACACCACGGAATTTCTCTTGCATGTCACACAGGAAGAGGATTGTGGATTCTGGATGGATTCGGCCCAGGCCGGGTCTCACAGCTGCCATGTCCTGCAGGGTAGGGAGAGCAGTGAGGTGAACAGGCTCAGGCTGGATCCTACTCATGGAGCTGGGGCCCTAGGCTGTCCCAGGACCCTTGTTTGCCCACTTCCTCCTGCACAGACAGGGTAGTGTGGCGGCATTTCCACCCCTTCCTAGCTCCATTCTGTGCCCTGTAGGCTGCAGCTCCGATACCCATGAGCGCAGTGCAGAGACTGAGGCCCAGAGAAGGAAGCCAACCCTGCACCCTCCTAGCTGTAGCAGGGCCCGGGGAAGCTCCCTGTGCATCCCTGACCCCTAAACAGGAAGTTGGGTGCAAGTTACGGGTGACTGAGTCTCCGCACACTCTCTAGGCTTCCTCCAAAGATCAGGGTCCAGAGGTGTGCGTCAATGTAGAACACATGTCTGAAAACAGTCATAGAGTCCGGGGGACTTGGGGCAATGGAGTGTGTAAGTCTGGCATGTGTGGGGTGAGGCCCCTGGGTTTCACCTCTCAGAAACCCAAAAACCCAAGCCAAAAGAACCCTTCCTCAACAGAGGTCATAAGCAAAAGATGGCCACTGGCATACTGGGAGCTGGGGTCCACTGGAGCCACGGGTGGGTGCAGGCATGCGGCGAAGGTGGGAGGGCTCCGGCAGATGATGGGGGGAATCCCAAACCGATGCAGAATCCTAATCTCAGCTACACCCCCACTTCCAGGAGGGGGAGTGGAAATGGTGGAGGGCTGGGTCAGGTGCCCGTCCTTGGGCTCCAGGTAGGGAGGTGACAGTGTCACCTCCAGAGGCCAGATCACATTTCTCATGCTTCTGGCTCTGCACCCTCTGACCCTAGTTCCACTGGAACACCTGGTGGGTCAAGGTCTGGTCACAGGAGACAAGGCCTTGGTGGCAGGTGAAGCGAGCAGGGCAAGCCTGGAGCTGTGAGCGGCAGCTGGGAGCAAGCAGCACAGTGCCAACGGGGACAAAGTGTTCTGCCCTGTCCCTCTTCCTTTCTGGCACCCAGAGGGAACCAGCCCTGCAAGGTTGTGGAGCCGGCCTGGGACAGAGTGAAGGACTCTGGTCTTTATCTCATTGACAGCTGGGTTCCCTCCTGGGGCAAGTGAGGACCCAGGTGGGCAGAGTGACGGGGTGAAGTGGGTCACGTGTGATGTGACTCAGATGTTGACACCCAAACATGGGCTCATTTGGGCTGTTTTGAGATTTCCTCTGCCCAACACCCCCCACCCCCAAGCCTATATGCTGCACTTCTATCAAACACTTCCACTGGGGTCACTGCTAATTAGAGGAAAGGTCGGTCCCCTTCAATAGTGTGTGTGATGAGGAAGCAGGGCTGGGTAAGACGGTGGGGGCGAATCCCAGAGACTGAGTGAAGGGCTCCAGTTTTGAGGAGATAAAACAACCTGCGAATGAACGTGAAAGCAACAGAGATTCTGGGCTGGAGACTGGAGGCGTGGCGGGCAAGAGAGGGTCCAGGAAGCAGCCCGGGGAGGGTGGTGTCCGGTGGCCTCCGGGACCCGGAGCAGGGACTTTCTGGCGCTGTAATCCCCAGGTGCAGACTCACTTTCCTCCCGAGGAAGTGAAGGTCAAGCCCGCTCCCTGCTGGCAATAGAGGTCCGCGAGGGCGCGGACCCGGGGGCCGGGTGACAAGTCGCCTGGGCAGTGCCCTGGCTGGGGACGTGCTGCAGGAGGTGCGGGCCCAGCTGCACAAGTTGTGCCCCCCCGCAGTCTCGGGGCCGTGGTCTCGGCCGGGAGGCGCCAGGTCGGATCCCGCCACGCCCCGGGCCCGGCGTCCTGCCGGACACTCACCTCGTTCCGCCTGGACTCACGTTGCTCTCTCCCGGCTGAGCCGAGCCCGAAGCACTGTTAGCCCGGTTCGGCCGGCCCGCCCGCCCCCAGGCAGCGCCGACGAACCGGCGCTCACCAGTTTCGGCCCCGCCCACAGTCCAGCGAATCCGCGAGCGCGACTTCTTCGCTCCCCCCGCGGGCGGCGAGAGCGACCAATAGGAAGCGGCGGCAGGGATGAGTGGCGGGCGCCGGGCCCTGCGCGTGCGGGGTGCGAGCGCGCTTGCTCCAGGGTGCAGGTGAGTCGAACGTGGGCCGGGAGACGAGAATCTGAGAGCAAGGCAGTGGTGAAGGGGCGTGTCCAGGCCGTGCCGGGCTTGGGCTTCACCCAACCTCCGCGCTAGCCCCGCACCTAGGGCAGCCACTTCCCTCCTGTCAGCCACCGGCCCCGCGCCATCCAAGTCCACCAGGTGGCCCTTTGATTTTCCTCTCAGCACCACCCCCATCCCCACCACCCCCGCCTTCATTGCGCTTCTGGAAGTACCCGCGCCCCGTCCTCCCCACCAACAATGTGAGCGCAGGCGGGCCGAACTCTGATCTGGTTTATTCACCGCGAACCCTCAGCGGCTGGATCCCAGCTCCGAAGGTGCTGGTCCTCCTTGGGGGGAAATGTGGGGCCAGACCTCAGGGCCCAGAGCAGGGAACTGGAGCCCCGGCATGGGGTAAAGGTGTCGGGGCTTGGGGTGGGCCTCGGGCTTCTTTTTATTTTTCCAGCGGCTGCTTTGAGGGGATGGGGACAGACAGCTCCTAGGGAGATCTCTGGTTGTCCAGCAGCGCAGCCCAGCTTGCCATGTCATGGGGAGCAAGTCTCCCAGCAAGTGTTCGGGAGTCCCTGAGAATCGCAGGTGCAGGACTCACCCCACCCACACCCCCAGGCACAGCCCCGCACTAAGAACTCTTCCCCTCTTCCCAGGTGCCCTGGGGCAGGAACTCGGACCTGCCCCAGGTCTGGCTGTTCCAGTGCAGGGCGGGAGGGGTCTGAGGACATCCAGGGGCTTTGCAAGGTGAGGGTGATGTCCTCAAAGAGCTCCAGGGTGGCTGTGGCATCCAGGGCAGCAAGACTCAGGCCGGGGCCCTCTGGATCCTCCTCCAGGGGGGCCACAGCACAAGCCACCCCAAGGAAGAGAGACGGCTGTGGTGGTGGCGGCGGCGGTGGTCTGCAGGTGGGCACCTCCTGGGACAGGATGGACCTGGCCAGGTGCTGGGTGGCAGCCTCAATCCTGGCAAACTGCCTGCGGAGAGACTGGGAATTAGCTGGGCCTCCCAAGGCCTCTCTCCTGTCTACCTCTGTCTTGGGCCTGCCCCGACCCTGCTAGCCTGTCTGTCCTACCTGGTCCTTTTTCTCCAGGCTCATAATTCGGGTTTTCTTCCTGATTTTCATTTTTGGTTTGTGAGCCATACCCTATTATGCTCAAGGCTACTCCAGGCCTCAGTGCTCAGGGATACTCCTGGCAGTGCTTAGGAGACCTTGCAGCTGGGAATTGAGCCATGTCCCTCCTTGTGAGGCACTTTCCTTAACCCCTGCACTCCCTCCAGCCAATGGGTCATACACTTTATTTTTAGTTGATTTATTTTTTGGATGTTGAGTCACACCTGGCATTGCTCTGGAGTTACTCCTGGCTCTGCATTCAGGAATCACTCCTGGCAGTGCTCATATGGGATGCCAGAGATCAATCTGGGGTTGTCTGCATGCAAGGCAAATGCTATGCCCGCTGTACTATTGCTCCGGCCCCTGAATCATATACTTTAAAGTGGTTAGTACAGGGCTGAAGTAATAGTACAGCAGGGAAGGCATTTGCCTTCGCATGCAGACAACCCCGAATTGATCTCTGGCATCCCATATGAGCACTGCCAGGAGTAATTACTGAGTGCAGAACCAGAAGTAAGCCCTGAGCATTTCTGGGTGTGGGCACCCCACCCCCCAAACAAAAACCTCATATCTGTCTGCCTGGTGGCCAGATATTGGACCTGCCCCAGGCTTGGCTGTTCCAATGCACGCCCGGGACCTGCACATCCCTGTGATCACTCAGGGCGCGGGGCAGCCACCCCTGGGACCACTCGGGATTTGCTGCTTTTTGCAACTTCTTGCCCAAATGCATTTGCTTGATGGGGGATGTGGGCAGGAAGCCAGAGGGAAGATGGGGAGCCAGTGGGGCTGGGGCTGCTGGGGCTAGCTGGAGTCAGCACAGCCAGCACAGTGGAGATGTCTGGGAGGCGAGACAAAGGGGCCTCCTCCTGCCCTGCTCTCAGATCCCCGTCATGCTCACCCTCACCCCCACAGCACACTTCTCAGCCTCTTGCAAGTTTCTAGACCTGCGCTATGCCCACTGGTTATCTTGGGGGACCCGCCTCTGGGTGTGCAGTGCTGGTACATTGCCAGATGGCCGGGGCTTGGCATCTGTCGCCCTTCTCTCTCTCTCTCTCTCTCTCTCTCTCTCTCTCTCTCTCTCTCTCTTTTCTTTTCGGCCACATTCTGCAGTGCTCAGGGGTTACACCTGGCTCTGCACTCAGTAATCACTACTGGCAGTGCTCAAGGGATTGTCTGGGGTGCCCATGTTGAACCCATGTCAGCGCATGTGAGGCATATGCCCTCCCCAAGCACTGTCACTCCAATCCTTGTCTCCTCTCTTTGATCTCTCCTGTGATTGTGCTTTCCCCGTGGGGGCCCCCACAGCCCCCCAATCCTTGCATTGGCACTTTTGCATGTGAAGCCCCTTCAGTCCCCACCTCTGTACCCTTACACCCCCCAATCTGTTCACACCTCCCCTCTCAGGGAGAGCTTCTCAAAATGTAATGGCACCCCAACATCAGAAAATCCCCGGTGAGGAGCAGAAGTCACACTCGTGGTCAGAACACGGGGACAGGGGTGCCACCATCTGTGCCAGTCATACTCTGTTGAAGGGCGAGTCATTAGGGTTGGCACTAGCACCGAGAGTGCGGTATGTGCCGCTGACCCGCAATCTGGTGCCTCTGCAAGCTCGCACCCGCCGACTGACTACACCAAACTCGCCCTCATGGCATGGGCGTCCCCGGGCCAGCACCTCTGCAGCCCCTCACCTGCAGATCTGGTTGTGCAGGAAGCGCCGATGGTTGAGCCTCCTCTTGGGGGGCCGGGATTTTCGTGGCTGCAGCACGCGGAGCACGCGGGCAGCTGCCCCACTCACGAAGGTGCACAGCTCGCGGGGGCTGGGCTCTGGGACTCCAGGGGCTGCCGGGAACCCTGGGTGCATGGCTGTAGTGCTCTGGAGCCGCCGAGATGTTTCTGGGAGCCCTGAGGGGCAGCCAAGTCTAGGTGGAGGGAGGGGAGCAGAGGCCACCTTTTGGGGCTGGGACAGGAGGGTGCTGCAGGAGGAGGTGTAGGGCCAGGCTGGTCCCCTGCTGAGGATCCGCACACTGAGGGTGGCCTGATATAGGAAGGGGGTGGGAACCAGGGGCTTTCTGTGCCCCCCTCCTGCCTAATTAGCAGATTGTTGGGTCTGGGAGATGGGGCACGGGCCCTGGTGTGGGGTGCAGAGAAAAGCGCCTGGAGATAGCCAATTAGGACACAAAGGCCAATTAGGGAAGCGAGGCTGAGGCTGAAGTCAACTGCAGCGATTAGCCTGGAGAGCCAGTAATTGGAGGGGCCGGAGCAGCGCCCCCACCGCCCACTTGCTTCCAGACTGCTGTGCTCTGCCCAGTGAGTGTCTGGAGGAAACAGAGGCTCAGAGACGTGTTGACCAGCCTCCGGGAGGATTGAATAGGCGTGTTGCCCTGACGCTCTGAGTCCTGTGCTCTAGCAGTGGCGGGGGAAGCCAAGGACACAGCTGGGCTCAGGGTAGCTTAGGTGGGAGACAGGCGAAGAAGGGGGACTGGGCATGGTGGCAGCAAGTGGAGATGGTACATGCGGTGTCAGTGGCCCCTGCTGGGTCCTGCCCTTCTCCCCTTTTTTCCTGCTGTTTCCAGACTGTTTCCAGCTCCTCTGGGTTCCGTGGCTGTCCCAGCCTCCCCCCACCTGCTTCATGGAGGTTGTGCATGTCACCCAGGTTGGGTGCCTCCCTCTGTTTCTGTCTTGGCCTTGGCCAGCCATGGCCATGTTTGTGTGTATGAATGCATGTGTGCCTGTCTGTGCATCTGCATGTACGTGTGTGCACATGTGTGCATAAGCATGCACATAAGTGCATGTTTGTATGTGTGTGGGTATGACTGCATATATATGCATACATGCATAGATGTGTAAAAGTGTGTCTGTGTGTGATCAGGTGTGCATATATGCATATTTGTGTATATAATTGTGTGTGTGTGTGGTGTGGGGCATGGCTCAGAAGATTACCAGCCGGACAGAGTCCAGAGTCACTCGGCTGAGGGCAGAGACACAGCAGGAGGTCAGGGCTTTGGCCCAGAAGACAGGGACCCCTGCAGCATGGCTGGGCCTGACTATGTCCTCACAGCTCCTGGACCCAGGCCGGGTCACCCCGCGTACACTCCAGCCCCTTCCATGCAGGCTCTGGCCGGCGGCTGCTCCACCAGGGGGCGCCCGCGTTTCGGGCTACAGCCCCAGAGGGACGCCGGCACGGAAATCTGGGCTCCCCTCCCTAACCTGGGCTCCCCTCCCCCACCTAAAACAGGCAGAGCGCCCACACCCGCACAGGGACGCGCACGTGGGCAGGTTAGGAAGCATTCACGGGCCTCCCCCCATAGCCGCCCTCACAGTGCAGGGGGCTGGGGTAGGCTCTGAGCATCCACCCAAACCGCGCCCCGCGCTGGGGAAGTTCTGCGCGGCCCTTGAGGCCGGCTGGGAGAGGGACGCTGCTCCTGAAGGGACGGTGACGATGGTCCCGCCGCCTGAATGGAAGAGATGGCAGCTAGGATCATCCCAGCAGAGGGTGCAGGGGGCAAAGGGCTGGGGCAGAAGCCAGCTCTGGAGTCAGACACAGGGCTTGGGAGGACACGGAATGCCGCGCCCCCGCGGGTGAAGGCAGAAGTGATGCTGGGACCTCTGCACTTGGCTCCAGACTGCTTTTGCGGCCACCTGTCCTTGGGGTACAGGGACCCAACTTCAATCCGCTCCCATCTGAGGATTGAAGGAGGTCCAGAGGGCTAGTCCACCAGTCCCCTTACCCACTCCAGGACCTCCCTAAATTGTCAGTGTCACCTAGGTCCCAAGCAGAACTCAGAGAGGCAGCCCTGCCGGACTTCTCCTGAAGAGATACGTCAGAGTCGTGTGTTCACTGAGACGAAGCTTTGCAGTTTTCCCCTGACTGTGGGGATCGCCCCAGCTGGGACATACTCTCTAGACCAACGTGGGGTGCTTTCCCACAGCATCAGAAGGACACCCCGGCCTCAGTGGCCATGCCCCGCCACTCTAGGGCAGGAGGCAGTTCTCAGGGCCAGCCAGGGTGCTTCTCTGGGGCCTGGCCTGGCCATGGACCCACTGAGTCAGGCCTTCCTAGTTTGTTTGCTTACATCTGCAGAACCCAGAGTGACCATAGTCTCCTGGGCCAATGGCTCAGCTCCACATGTCTGGATTATCCACATGGGTCATCTGATTAGAACAGGCCCACCCAGGAAATCTAGTTCTTCAGGATTCTCCATAGAAGCAGAAGTGATGGGTAATATTGGGTTTTGTGGGGTAAGGAGGTTGGACTACACTCAACAGTGCTCTGGGGCTCCTCTTGGCTCAGTGCCTGGGATGGAGCCAGGGTCAGCTGCATGCAGGACTAAAGCCCTTATGCCTGTGCTGTCTCTGTACTGTCTCTCCAAGATGGATGTCTGCTTTGGTGCTTCCCACAGGGCGATACTGGGGGCGGGGGGCACGGAACAAAGGGGGTGGCACTCTCCGCTTGTTCATGCAGAGAAGACAGATTTCCGGGAGTGCTCAGTGAGTATTTCTTCCAGAAAGGGACTGTGGGCTGAATAGTTTCCCCCTCTGCTCTGTCATGTGTTACATAATCAACTTCTGTCCTCTATACAATGTACCCTCTGGTGACAGAATCTGCTTCTATGTAATCTCTGCTCATTTTTGTTTTTTGGGGGTCACTCCTGGCAGTGCTCAGGGCTTGAGTGCACTCAGGAATCACTCCTGGAGGGGCCCAGGGAACTAGATAAATGCCCAGGATTGAATTCAGCCATGGGCAAGGCAAGTGCCTGAAGCCTGCTTCATTGCTCTGGCTCCGTCTTTTTCTCTGCCATCCATCGTCTCTCTCCACAGGCCCCCCAAGACAGTTACATTGACATCTGGATTATTTCAAGCTGAGGGCAACTAACCCTCTTTGTTTCTGACTTGGGGAGGCCCCAGGGGTGGTGATGGGAGGAAGAAGAGCCATAATCGAGGATGAGGCTCCTACTGCGCCTGCCCTTCCCCACCTTCCTGGGCCTCTGCACAAAGCCCTTTCCTGTCCCTGACTGCCGAGAAGGGGACACCAGGCCTGTCGTGAAGATTTGAGGCTTTGTCTGCAGAGAGCTTTCAGGGAAGCACATGCACGCAGAATTCTGCCTCCTATCTGGGCCTTCCTCTCCTTCCCTGGAAGGCTCGACCTGTCCTAGTCCTTGGTTCAGGACCAACACACTCATTTTGTTTTGTTTCACTTTGGTGTTTGGTTTAGGCTGTGTTCTGGGCTTTCTCTGGGCTCTGTGCCAGGAATTGCTTCCGGTGGAGCTCTGTGGACTATGTGGGTGCTCGGGATAGAGCTCAGGTCAGGGCTCTTCCCTGCCCTCCTCTCAGTGTGCCCCGCAAGCCCAGCCCTCCTGCACCTTCCCCTTCCTGGGCCCTCTAGACTGAGATGCTTGTCAGGTGCCTTGGCTTCCAGGATCTGTGCATCAGAGATGAGTCTTGACCAAAGCTCTGGGGAGGTAACACGGCAGCCAAGGGACACAGAAGCAACCACTGTTTCCTTTTGGTGACTTTGAACCAGGCACTGGGAAACCTTGACTGAACTTACCCAACCCCTGCACACTGGCCTCATCCTTCAGAGAAGAGGTATCACCCCACAGAATTACAGAGGAAGCAGGCCATTTGGGAGGGAGGTGGCATTTACTTATCCATCCTTGTGGATTTCAAATGGGTCTGTCTTCCCCACACAGATGGGGAATTGTGAATGGTCCACTTCCTCCAGGAAGTCTGCTCTGGTTTCCCTCACTAATCAGGAAGGGCAGATAGCATTGGGATGGGATCAATGGAGAAGAACACCAAGTTCAGGAGGGGGAGGACTAATGTTTACTGCATCGTAGCTTCCTAGGAAGGGATGGGTGGGTCTTGACCACCCACTCCACCCTCCCCCCACTAAAAAAATTAACCATCTGGTTAATAAGAGCTGCTGAACTCATATAGGGTGCTTGGCTCCCTTCAAATACTCCTGGGCTGGGTTGGTGTCAATCAGAAAGAAGGCCTGTGCCCAGAGGCTGTGCACCCACACATTTGCAGTCCTGGTGCCTGGGCTAGCTGTCTCCAGTGCTGGGTGCAGGACCCAAGCTCCCTTACTTTCTCTCAAAGCACAAGGCACAGCAGGGTCATTTGTGGCTCACTGGTTCCCTTGCAGCTCCATATCTCTGACACCAGTCACTGAGGCAGGATTGGAGTGGACTGGGGGTCCAGGCACACTGATAGCAAGCGTCTCTGATGGCTGTCATCATAGCTTTCTATTTTGGCTCCTGCACCCCCAGCTTACTGGTCACATGAGAAGCCCAGAATACGCTGGAAAGGATGCACAGGAAACCTAGAGCCCACGGAGACCTGTGCTTGGCACCAGAGCTGAGTTCCCTTGCCCACCCATGTGGTCGTTACTATCAGTGCTGTAACCGCCCCCTCCTCAAACCCTTTGCTTGCTTTCTGACTTCTAAGGGACCAGAAGCTGGGGAAATGGACGTGCAGACTCCTCCTTACCCATCTTGCTCCTAGTGCTTGGAGGGCGGGGAGCGGGTGACAGAGCTCCAGATGCTCTGGGGGAGTCTTTCACCATCACAGGGACCCCAGTGATCGGCCTCAGAGGAATGGTGCAGTGGTACCTATTCCGCATCTATACTCTCAGCCAGTGTGGGCTTCTCCGCCATCAGCAGATGTTGGGTCACGTGGAGGTCTTTGGGATGCTCTGGAAGAAAAGCCTTTTTTTTTTTTTTTTTTTTTTTTTTTTTACCGAGAGTGTCTCGCCCGCACGGCAGAGCTCCCCGTGATGTATTCGATATGCCAAACACAGTAACAACAAAGTCTCCAATGGAGACGTTACTGGGCCCGCTCGAGCAAATCAATGAACAACGGGAGGACAGTGACAGTGACAATGTAGGTGTATTGCTATTTATTCAGCCACTGATTAGGCTGATTGAATTGGGCATGAACTCCACCTTACTTTTTTTTTCCTTTTTATAAATTTATTTTTGTCCAAAGTTTGGACAAACTGGCAGGCTACCGAACGTAGCCTGCCCACACGGCAGAGTCTGGCAAACTCCCCGTGGTGTAACCAATATGCCAAATACTAGTAACAATGATGGGTCTCATTCTCCTAAAGAGCCTGAATATAATCTCAGGGCTAGAATGAAGGAGACGTTACTGGGGCCTGCTCGAGGCAATCGACGAATAACAGAATCGTCGTGATTCGTGATTCATGATAAATTTATTTAATCACCGTGAAAGTAGTTACAGAGCTTTTGGGTCTAAGTCTCGGTCATACAATGATGAAACATCCATCGCTTCACCAGTGCCCATTCTCCACCACCAAAAAAAAACCCCAATATAACCCCCATCTCACATCTTCCCCCTACCTGTGGGGCAGATGACTTCCACATTACTCTCTCTCTACTTTGATCACAATCAATATTTCAACACCAGACCCACCATTATTATTTGGGATTTTACCCCAACACTCAGATCTGCCGAAAAGGCAACCATAGACAAATTTGTGTGTGTCTTTTTTTTTTTTGGTCACACCCGGCAATGTACAGGGGTTACTTCTGGCTCATGCACTCAGGAATTACTCCTGACAGTGCTCAGGGGACCATATGGGATGCTGGGAATCGAACCCAGGTCGGCTGCGTGCAAGGCAAACAGCCTAACCGCTGTGTTATCACTCCAGCCCCAACAATGTCTTCTATTGCTGATTATGAATAACATATGTCACACGGCCACAGTCGTGGCCACACGATTTTGGAATTCTGAAATTTTAACAATTAAATCTGGAGGGATTTCTGCCAAAACCTGCTGGGTTCTGAGATTTGTTCCTGAGTCTCTGGGATTATGGCCGTTAAGCAGCTTGATCAGGAGCCAGAGAGGCCGTTCGTGGGTAGTGACCCGGGGTCTCATTGGGGCAGGGAGGAAAGGGCCGGTTCCACCACCGAGCCGCCAAGAGGGAGCAGGTGGAGGGACAGCACCCTTTCCCCCCAGGGGTGGCCCAGCGCTGGTAACCTACCACAGGGACCAGACGCATTTCTTCCAAAAGCCGCTGGGTTCCAAGACCTGTCTCTGAGTCTCTGGGATCATGGCTGTTAAGCAGCTCAATCAGGAACCAGAGAGGACTTGCCTCCAATTATATAGCTGAGCCAGAGGTGGTTTGTGGGTGTGTCTCCCACATACCTAACTTTTGGCCTTTTACTTTCTTGGTAAACTTGGCCCCAAGTTGTTGGGGTCTGGCCAAAGGCACAGAAGCAGTTTTGGGGTATCTAGAAGTCTGAAGGCACCATCAAGCTGCTGATGCACTCGCCTCACAGGCAGATTCACCTGCTGACGGTACCATACCCCCAAGAACAGCCCTTTAGCCAAGCTCCTTTTCCATCCTTCTCTGTTCTTCCTCAGCTGTCCATTCCAGGTCCCCATGGGGACCAGGGTTCCAACAACCATATGCAGGGATGCACAGTGGACACCCAAGAAGCCTGAGCATGTGGGAAGTGGGATGGTAGCACTGCATGCCTCAGATTCGCCAAGGCGGGAATGGGCATCCTCTGGCCTGGACTGGGGTGACCAGACCTCCTGGTGGGCAGACTGTACTGGGAACCAACACTGGAGACGGTTAGGTCGCGCAGGAGAAGCAATCGGTGCTGACAAAGAGGACTGGGCAGGTTGTTTTATAGAACACCACACCTGCTTGCCTGTCTGCAAGGGTCCAAAGACTACAACGCCCAGTATGCCCCGCGCGACCGGGATCAGCGAGTGTGGCGGCCAACGGGAAGCGTCGAGGGCGGGGACTCGGCGCACGTGGCGTCGTGACGTGTTACGGCGACGTCGGGGTTTGTGTGCGCGAGAGGCTGCCGGTAAAGGTTGGGTGCCGCGCGCCGGGGGCCGTGGGGAGGGGAGCGCGCCCCCGCCCCCCGCCCGGCCCCCACTCCCGCCCCGCAGCTGCCGGGCCCCGCCTTCCCGTCGGCCCCCGCGGGAGGCCCTGGGTTTCCCGTGCTCGCTCCCCGGGTCCGGGCCGCAGGTGAGACCGGAGGGTGGGGGAGGGGGAGGGACCGGAGGGCGGGGACGTTGGGAAAACGGCGAGCGCGGAACCGGAAGGGGTGCCTTAAAGGGAAGGTCACTACTGCTCCGCCGATTTCTGTCCGCTTGGCCGGCTCCTCCCTCTTAAGGGGCCAGAGCCTGGTTTTTCGAGGGGCGGGGCAGGTTGCGTTTCCCGGGACCTGCCCGCGTGCCCGCCCCGCTGCTAGTTTCCTAAGGCTGATGACCGAGTCTCGACAGTGGAGGGGAAGCTCCCGAGACCTGGTAGCCAGAAGGCAGCCTCTAGTTTAAGCTCGGCCCCTAGTTTAAGGTGGAGAGGGACATGCAGTGAGACCCTCTTAAAGGGAAGGGCGGCCTGAGGATGGGGTGTGGTCGGCCTTTGGAAAGGGGACGGTGTCCTTTCTGGGATGCGAGGGGTCCGGGCTCTTATCCCACATTCCAGGCACGTGTGGTCCCGCGCTGTACGTAGTCTCTTAAAAGGACTTACTTGCGTTTTAAAAGGGACGCTCACGTTTTAAAGGGAAATTTTGCTGCTATTCTGAAGGGGGGTTCGGCTTTGCCTATTCAGAACGCTTCTGCGGAGTGCGCCCACTGGGCCAGGCTTTCTTTCCGGGAGCAGGGCTGCAACAGTGAACCGGTGCCCTGGGCACGTAGTGGGCGGGGATGCCAGCGTTGCTGCTGAACACCCGCTGGTATCCGGACAGCCCCCTGCAAAGTGACTCGGGACCCCAAGTCACCCCGGTACTGAGGGTGGGAAGCCGGGTTGTCCGAGCAGGCTAGAAGGTGGTCAGTTCTGCGGAGGGAGAAAGGCAGAGATGCAGGGTGGGGATTGAGGCCACTGGAGGTAGGAGGGGGAAGATTTGGAGGGGAAGGGGGAGCTAGGGGGTCCTGGCGGGGAAGGGAGGGGCCGCAGGTTGTCGAAAGTCTGGCACTCCCCCTTGCCCCGCCCCAGTTGTCCTTCCTATGGAAGGAGCTGGAGAGCCTTCAGCAGGTTTCACTAGGGTGGGAGGAAAGGGTCAGGACCCTATCCCACTGCGGAGCAGGCCGAATTGGCCCTGAGGCCCTGATGGTCTTCCAGTTGGGAATGTTGGTGTTGGAAAGGGCGTGGCTGACTGGGTGATCTCGGGCAGGGCAGAGGCAGAGAGGCTGCCTGAGGCTTCTGACCCTAGGATGCTTCAAGTTCCTTGGTGAGGTGGAGGTGATCGCTGGCAAGGTTGGGGGCAGAAACTCTGGACTTGGGCTTTGCACATGTCCAGGGGGTTTAGGGCCCAGGAGCAGAGACTAGGCACAGGCCTCTGGCCTCAGGTGTGGACCTGTGCTCAAGGAGGTTCCAGGGCTCCCCTGCACCCCACACTGAGAAGGGATACCAAGTGAGTAGAAAACAGCCAGTCCCGTGGGGCTGAGGTTTCAGGAGGGCCCATCTAGGGGCAGGCACGCAGATGAAGCTGTGCTGTCACCCCTTTCCAGAGGAGAACGACACCCTTTTCCTGGCCTGGTTGCTGAGTGTGCCCCAGGGGCATACTGTAGTGGACAGGTCAGCCTGGCCTGATCGGAACCTGCTGGGCCACGAATGTGGAACCGCATGCCTGTTCTTAGCCACGCCCCTAAATTACATGCAGGAACTGAACGTGTGGTTCCTCGCCTGCCCTCCCGCTGCTGAAAGAGGCACCTCTTCAAAGGAAGGCTGAGGTTCAGCACTTCCACTCAAACTGAAGCCAGGATCCACGTGGTAGATCGGGGAAGTTTGGGTTGGGGTACCAAGCGGGTGACAGCCCCAGGCCACCTTCTCATCTGAAAGCTGCCAGCCTGAGAGACTGCATGCTGCCCCAGCTGGCTAGAGTGTTTTACACCCCAAGTCTGGCATCCAGGGCCTCTACAGACCCTCAGCTACTGGAGCAATAGGCAGGGGGGCGGGGCCTGCAGGGCGGGGCCTAGTTAAAGGGCCAGCAGGTGGGCTGGAGTGGGGCTGGCCCGCCCCCTGACTCGAACTCAAACCCCAGCACCCCCCTCCCCCTGCAGGTGTGATGGTTGGCTCCCACGCGGACATGGTTCCCGCCTCCACTGCGGATGGGGCTGGGGAGAAGCCTGGCCCCACGGCTCCTACTGCCCAGTACGAGTGCGGAGAGTGTGGCAAGTCTTTCCGGTGGTCGTCCCGCCTCCTGCACCACCAGCGCACACACACGGGCGAGCGACCGTACAAATGCCCCGACTGCCCCAAGGCTTTCAAGGGCTCCTCAGCCCTGCTGTACCACCAGCGGGGCCACACGGGAGAGCGGCCCTACCAGTGCCCTGACTGCCCCAAGGCGTTCAAGCGCTCGTCCCTCCTGCAGATCCACCGAAGCGTGCACACTGGCCTTCGAGCCTTCACCTGCGGCCAGTGCGGTCTGGCCTTCAAGTGGTCCTCGCACTACCAGTACCACCTGCGGCAGCACACGGGCGAGCGGCCTTACCCGTGCCCGGACTGCCCCAAGGCCTTCAAGAACTCGTCCAGCCTGCGGCGCCACAGGCACGTGCACACGGGCGAGCGGCCCTATGCCTGCGGCGTGTGCGGGAAGAGCTTCACCCAGAGCACCAACCTGCGGCAGCACCAGCGCGTGCACACGGGCGAGCGGCCCTTCCGCTGCCCGCTGTGCCCCAAGACCTTCACGCACTCCTCCAACCTGCTACTGCACCAGCGCACGCACGGTGCCACCCCTGCCCCCGCTGCTGTCCCCTCCGCTCCCACACTCCCGCAGCCCAGCGAGCCAGGTGCAGATTCCGTGGGCGCCTTCGTGCCGCAGCCCCACAGCCCGCCCGCACCGCCACCAGCGCCCCCGCCCGTGGTACCTGAGCTCTTCCTGGCAGCAGCCGAGACCACGGTGGAGCTGGTGTACCGCTGTGAGGGCTGCGAGCTGGGCTTCGGCAGTGAGGATCTGCTTCTGGAGCACCAGCCCTGCCCTGGACCGGAGCCGGTGCCCGTGCCCACCCAGCTGCCCGCTTTGTCCCCACCCACGCCTGCTCCCGCCCCCGCCGCCCCGGGCTTCGCCTGCCTCCCCTGTGGAAAATCCTTCCGGACAGTGGCCGGACTCTCCCGCCACCAGCATAGTCATGGTGCTGCCAGCGGGCAGGCATTCCGCTGCGGCAGCTGTGACGGCGCCTTCCCGCAGCTGGCCAGCCTCCTGGCGCACCAGCAGTGTCACGTGGAGGAGGCAGCGGCTGGGCGCCCACCTCCCCAGGCCGAGGCTGCTGAGGTCACCTGCCCCCAGGAGCCCCTGGCGCCCGCTGCGCCCAGTGCCCCCGCCCCGACGCCGCCCACCACTGAGCGGCCCTACCAGTGCACTGAATGTGGCAAAGCCTTCAAGGGCTCCTCAGGGCTGCGTTACCACCTGAGAGACCACACAGGCGAGCGGCCCTACCAGTGTGGCGAGTGCGGCAAGGCCTTCAAGCGCTCGTCCCTGCTTGCCATCCACCAGCGTGTGCACACCGGCCTGCGCGCCTTCGCCTGCAGCCAGTGTGGCCTCACCTTCAAGTGGTCGTCCCACTACCAGTACCACCTGCGGCTGCACTCTGGCGAGCGGCCCTATGCCTGCAGCGAGTGTGGGAAGGCCTTTCGCAACACGTCGTGCCTGCGGCGCCACCGGCACGTGCACACGGGCGAGCGGCCACACTCGTGTGGCGTGTGTGGCAAGAGCTTCGCACAGACATCCAACCTGCGGCAGCACCAGCGCGTCCACACAGGCGAGCGGCCCTTCCGCTGCCCGCTGTGCCCCAAGACCTTCACGCACTCCTCCAACCTGTTGCTGCACCAGCGCACGCACTCAGCCGAGCGCCCCTTCACCTGCCCCATATGCGGCCGCAGCTTTGTCATGGCAGCTTACCTGCAGCGGCACCTGCGGACACACGCGCCGGTGGGCACCCCAGCCGTCAGCGGCTCCCCGACCCCAGCCCTGCTGGCTGCGGCTCCTGCTCCAGCCGCCACCCAGGACGTGCACATCCTCCCGCACCTGCAGGCCACTCTCTCCCTGGAGGTGGCAGGGGGTGCGGCCCAGGCACCACCTGCAGGTGCCGCGGCCCCCAATTCTCAGACGTTTCTTCTGGTACAAACGGCCCAGGGCCTCCAGCTTATCCCCAGTAGCGTCCAGCCCCCTGCCCCCCCACCCCCGCCCCTCCCATCCAAACTCATCCTACTGCCCTCCAGCCCCGGTGGAGGGGGCAGCCATTCTGGGCAGGGCCCGAGGACCGTGGGGAAGGCAGGCCAGGGCGCTGGAGTGGTCTGGCTGCCTGGGCCTGGAGGGTTGGGTATGCAGGGTGGGGGTAACTCTGGCACCTTCGGGGCTGGGCCAAGCCTCATTGTTCTGCAGAATGTGGGGTGTGGGGAGGCGGGGCCCCAAGAAGTGAGTGGGGTCCAGCTACAGCCCCTCCGGCCCACCCCGGAAGTGACCACAGTCCAGCTGCAGCCTGCCCCAGAGGTGACCACAGTCCAGCTGCAGCCTGCCCCAGAGGTGACCACAGTCCAGCTGCAGCCAGTGGCAGGCCAGCTCTCTAACCCCGGGGGAGCTGTTGCCACTGAGGCCCCCAACCTGCTGGTGGTTCAGAGTGGGGCGACTGAGGAGTTGCTGGCAGGTGCAGGCCCCGGGGAGGCAGGTGATGCAGAGGCTGGTGCAGGCGTGGTGCAGGATGTGCTCTTTGAGACGCTGCAGACTGATGATGGCCTTCAGAGCGTTCTGGTGCTGAGTGGGGCCGATGGCGAGCAGACCCAGCTCTGTGTGCAGGAGGTGGAGACCCTCTCCTCCGGGCTGGTTGAGCCGCCCGCCCCCAGCCCTCAGGGACAGAAACTGCTCATCATCCGCAGTGCGGGGACCACGGAGCTGCTGGACAGTGGTGGCGTTGGGGGAGGCACAACCACCCTGCAGCTCCTGGCCCCACCACCACCAGCCCCCGCGGCTGCTGCCACACCTGTGGGCATCCCTGCTGCCTCCGTTCCGCAGATGGTGCATGTGGTCCCAGCTGGAGCTGCGCCCGGGGCCATCACCCCACAGGGGCTCCCCTCGATCCAGATCGTCCAGACAGTGCCCACTGTGCAGCTCGTGCACACATTTTGAGTGGGATCCCCAGAAACTTGCCAGGGAGCTGGGCTTGCTAATAAAGACCAGGACCCTTCTGTGCTTGTTTTTTTTCCTTGGCGGGGACCAGGGGACGGGGCAGGGTCTGGGCTGGTCAGGAGTCTTCTCCCTGGGTGCCTCGAGACCCTTCCCATTCGCGAGGCGCAGTGCAGCATCCGTGAGGCGGTTGCGGCTGCTCACTACCCGGGAGAGGCGTTGGCAGTCTGGAGAAGTGGCCGGACCGTGGGAGCGCCTGATCTGAAAGGCTGAGCCAGGACGGGTTCGGCGTGGGGGTCGGGGGTCCCCAGCGGAGGAATGTGGCGCAGGAGCCCGGGATGCAGCTGACAACGCCTGTGGCCACTGTTGAGTCGATGCGCAGGCGTCACCGGCCCCTCGGCGCCGCGCAGGTCACATAGCAACGGCAGGAGGGGGCGGGACCGGCAGGGTGGGGACTGTCCTCCGCCTAGCCCCCCCCCCCGCAGCGCCCCCTCAATTGCTCTTTCCAGCCCCCGCGGACGCTTAGCAACAGTCGCTAAGGCCGAAGACTGGCACCGCCCCCCGCGCGCGAACACGTCACTTCCGCCGGCGACCCCTTCCCGACCCTGCTTCTCCCCCACCCCCCACAACCTTGTCGAAGGATCGGGGCGGCCCGGAGCGGTGCTTGCAGGTCCCTGCTCCCACGACGCGAGACAGAGCCGCTGGGCACGGGGTGGGCGGGCCCTGCCAGGCACGGGCAATTTTGCTGGACACGGGTCCCCTCCGCCAGGCAGCCCCAAATCTGGGAGGACGGCCAGGTGGAGGCGTCCACAGCGCATCCAGGGCTGATCGTCGCATGCCTGGGGGGAGAGGGCACCCCCGGGTGCAGGGGGTAGCAGGTCCGCCTCGGGCCTCCCGCAGGCGCCTGGTCCGGGCAATGCTGCGGGGATGCATGGGGGCCCAGCCGCCCCCGCCCCCCCACACGCTCTAGGCCGACCTGCTTCTTTCCACCAGGTGCACGCGGGAGCCTGGGGGCTGCCATGGCCCCCAGCCACCTGTCGGTGCGGGAGATGCGGGAGGACGAGAAGCCGCTGGTGCTGGAGATGTTAAAGGTGAGGCAGGACCAGCCCCGCGGTGGGGCGCGCGCAGCCCCCGCCCCCCCACACCCGCTTCCCTCCCGGGCTGCGCCTCTTGCGGACGCTGGGGAAGGAGCTTCCCGGAGGGAGGCCGGGGTGAGGGTGGTCCAGGCCCGGCACGCCCCCTGCCCCCTCGGGCCCGAGTCGGGTGCTTAGCTGGTGGCCGCGGGGACGCGTTTCCCACTTGCAGCGCGATGACAGCCGCTGCGCCCGGCCCAGGGGAGGGGGCCCTCCCCGCCCCTTTTCTCACCACGTGCGGGGTGCCGCCCCCTCACTGTCCTCCTGCCCGCAGGCCGGCGTGAAGGACACCGAGAACCGCGTGGCCCTGCACGCCCTGACGCGGCCGCCCGCGCTGCTGCTCCTGGCGGCGGCCAGCAGCGGCCTCCGCTTCGTGCTGGCCTCCTTCGCGCTGGCCCTCCTGTTGCCCGTCTTTCTCGCCGTGGCCGCCCTGAAGCTCGGCCTGCGGGCACGGTGGGGCTCGCTGCCCCCGCCCGGCGGCCTGGGGGGCCCCTGGGTGGCCGTGCGGGGCTCGGGCGACGTGTGCGGCGTCCTGGCCCTGGCCCCGGGCACCCACGCCGGGGACGGGGCCCGCGTCACCCGCCTCTCGGTTTCCCGCTGGCACCGGCGCCGCGGGGTGGGCCGGAGGCTGTTGGCCTTCGCCGAGTGCCGCGCGCGGGCCTGGGCCGGGGGCATGGGGGAGCCCCGCGCACGGCTGGTGGTCCCCGTGGCCGTGGCCGCGTGGGGCGTGGCGGGCATGCTGGAGGGCTGCGGCTACCAGGCGGATGGGGGCTGGGGCTGCATGGGCTACACGCTGGTGAGGGAGTTCAGCAAGGACCTGTGAGCGAGGGCCACTGTCCTCCACTGCCCCAGGCCCAGGCCCCAGGGAACCGCGGTGGGGGCGGGGGGGGGGGGGTAGAGGTGACCCGAACTTCCTCTCCTCGCCCCCCTACTTGCAGCTGGGGGGTGGCCCAGATGGGGACAGTCCCTCCTGTGGGATAGTTCTGGCATGAGCCTGGAGGGGCTGGGAGGGGGCCTACGGCTGTGGGGTGGGGTGGGGGGGACGTCAAGGTAAGCTGTGGGCAGCTGGCTGCATCTGCTTCCTTTGTTAATAAAGCTTGGAGCCGCGGAGGCGCTGTCTTGGCCGGATGTCTCCCTGTCTGTGTCTGATCCCAGGACGGGGTGGTGCGGGGTGCTGCATGGGGGAGAGGCACCATGAGCTCACAGCGGCCCACTCGGAGCCAGCCCTCTGACTCACATGCTCCCCATTACCAAATTCTTTCCGCCTCACAGCTGCCTGTGTGTGGAGCAAGTGTGCGTGTGTGTGTGCATGTGTGTGTGCCTTCCCCCATCTTGACCCCTGGCCCCCAGCTCCCGGGCACCCACCCCATTCTCCCCCAGGGCTCAGGAGGGAGGGACACGTTCAGCTTTCCCTGCAGGACGCCCTTCCAGGGAGCCTCACATGCTGGACAGCGGGCTAGGGGCCACTCGGGCCAGGTCCCCACCCCAGAGCTGCCTCGAGGGTCCAGAGGGGATCTGTCCCCACCCCGTGCTGGGTTGTGCTCCCAGGCCTCTACCCCTGTGCAGTGGTGAGTCCAGCCAGCTGTGTGGGTGATCACACTTGGCCTGCCCCCGCCCCCAGGCCGCGGCCAGCCCCCTCACGCCCCCTCCTGTCCCCGCTCTGGGCCCGGCTGGCTCCACTCTGCTCCTGGCAGGGCGGCCGGCCCTGCTGCTCCTCCCCAGCCCTGGCGCCTGCGGCGGGCCGCCTCCCCCTTCCTGTCGCTGCCCCCTTCCACCCTGTCCTCTGCCCCCCGACCGACTGCAAACATGAAGGTCTTAGCCTGCCTCCTCGGTGAGTGGCCCTTGGCCCCAAGGGCCTCCCTCAGCCCTGGCTTCATCACTTTGGGACTCAGACTTCCGGCCGCCTGAGATGCCGGACATTCCTCCTCTCCTTTGAACCCCAGAGTCCCGGGGCCCAGCTCTGCATGCCTGGCCCTCCTGCTCGGGCCCAGGATCACTTCCCTGCTCCCCACCCTGACCCTGCCTGGCCCGGCCCCGAGCTCAGGGGCCTCTGCAGGCTCGGGCTTCAGTCTGTTCAGACCTGGGCCCTGGGTTCTGCTGTCCGGGAGGGTGGATTCTTGGCCAAGGCTGGGAGTGGTGCATGCACATCTGGGGGTGCTCAGATGGACCCTCACTGCCCACCCCCCCACCCTCCTTCCAGCAGCCCTGATGGGGATCCAAGCTGTCGGTAAGTGGCCCCCCACACCACATCCCACCGCACCCGCAGCCGAGCTGCACTGCGTCTCTTGGCAGTGGCGCAGGAAGGGGCATACCTCACCAGGAGTTGGGGCCCCCGGGCCCCCCTCACGCTTCCCCACCCCCCCCAGAACGGCTGCGCCTGGCTGACGGCCCCCACAGCTGTGCAGGGCGGCTGGAGGTGAGACATGGTGGTCACTGGGGGACCGTGTGTGACGATGGCTGGGACCTGCGGGACGCAGCGGTGGCCTGTCGGGCACTGGGGTGTGGGGGGGCGCTGGCCGCCCCGGGGGGCGCCTTCTTTGGGGAGGGCACGGGTCCCGTGTGGCTCAGCGAGCTGGACTGCCGCGGCGGCGAGGCGGGGCTGGGCCTGTGCGCACACCGCGGCTGGAAGGCACACGTCTGCTCACACGAGGAGGACGCCGGCGCGGTCTGTGCAGGTGAGGGCTGGGCGTGGGGGACGGTGGGGATGGGCCAGTCCCTTCCCAACACTACAGAGGATTCCCTGACACAGCTGGGTGTGGCCCAGAACAAAAACCAAACTGAGTCCTAAGTCTCGTGACCCTGTGGGCAGGCACCCCTAGACCCTGACACCCTCTGGGTTGGCCCCCCGGCCCGCCATTGCTCACACCCTCCTATAGGTCAGCGTGTGGCCGACATGGGGGATGGCGATCAGTCAGCCTCGCCCCTTGATGCAGACCCCCTGCTGGTGCTGTCTGGGGCCCTGAGTCCTGACTCGGAGGAGCCCCCCCAGAGGTCACAACCTGCTGGGATCCACGGTGAGCCCCCCAGCCACCCCTATGAAGGGGCACAGAATCCCCCCGCTCAGCTTCCTGCCCAGGATTCAGCAGCTCAGTCTCCCCCACCCACTCCCCCAGCTCCTCACCAGGCTGGGACCCCCCAGAACAGCGCCCGGAAGAAAAGTCCACGTCCACCCAAGCAGGTCAAGTCCACACGCGCCCCCGTGCTGAGTGCAGGGGCTCCCCGGCAGGGTGAGTCAGAGGGCCGCAGGGTGGGGTGGATGCCTCCTGCCAGGACAGCCCAGCCTGCAGCCCATGCCCCACCCGGATCCTGGGACTGCCCCACAGGGATGTCAGGCATCTGGCCTCAGTTTCCCCTGTGGGCACACTTGCGGTCACATGTGCCCATTCTGATGGCCCCTCACTGTTCTCCTGGTGTGACCCCCCACCCCCCAGAGCGGCTGCGCTTGGTGTCGGGCCCCCATGGCTGCGCTGGGCGGCTGGAGGTGAGACATGCTGGGCGCTGGGGGACCGTATGTGACGACAGCTGGGACCTGCAGGACGCGGCCGTGGCCTGCCGGGAACTGGGCTGCGGCGAGGCACTGGCCGCCCCCGGAGAAGCCAGGTTTGGGACCGGCGCAGGGCCAGTGTGGATGGATGATGTGGGATGCAGAGGCAGTGAGCTGGCCCTGCGGGACTGTCCCCGGAAGCCCTGGGGCCGCAGCAACTGTGACCACAGCGAGGACGCAGGGCTGGTGTGCAGCGGTATGTGCTGGCCTGGCTTCCCGCCCACTCTGCACAGGCCTAAAGGGGGCCCCGGTGGGGGGAGGGATGCACCTCATGTGGCAGTATCATCCGCCCCACTGGACCCTGGGGTCTCTCCCGGCAGGTCTGCGGACAGGCTCCGAGGGCTGGAGGCTGGACTTTGCCACATCACAGGCACCTCTGCATGGCAGCCCTGTGTCCCCCGTGGGGAAGCAGGCAGGCGCCCCTCACTGGCCCTGTGGAACCGCAGCTGTCTGGGGAGGTGGCCTGGCCCCTGCCAGTCTGAGTTCACTCCGTTATGTCCTCTTGGCAGGGGGGACCCCCATGCATGGGGCTGTGCCCCAACCTGAAGTTCTCAGGGGCATCACAGCGAGCTTGTGGCTTGTCTGGGCGTCCAGTGGGGGAACCTAAGTCTGTTCTGGCCCCTAGTGCGATGGGGGATCAGTCTGGGGTTGGGGGTTGGGGGCCAGTCCTAGTTGGCCGCTGCAGTGACCTCCGCACTCTCCCCACATAGGTCCAGCCCCACGGCTGCGCCTGGCTGATGGCCCCCACGGCTGTGCCGGGCGGCTGGAGGTGTGGCATGCAGGGGTCTGGGGGACCGTGTGTGATGACGGCTGGGACCTGCGGGATGCGGCGGTGGCCTGCCGGGCGCTGGGTTGTGGCAGGGCGCTAGCCGCCCCTGGGGGCGCCTTCTTCGGGGAGGGCCCGGGGCCCATCCTCCTGGACAACGTGCGCTGCCGAGGCAATGAGACAGCTTTGAGCTTCTGCCCTGCTCGGCCCTGGGGCCAGCACGACTGTCACCACCGAGAGGACGCGGGGGCCGTGTGTGATGGTGAGGGGCGTGGGCGGGGGCTGGGCCCTGCCCTGAGCCCTCAAAGCTTCTTCTCTGTGTGAGTCCTGCTCACTGCCCCAGGGCTGCCCCTTTTGGACGTGCCACCCCCAGCCCCTGCCAGCAACAGCAATGGCTCCACACCCAGGGGGGCACCACGGCCAGAGTCCTCCATGCTCCCCGCTGCGAGCCAAGCCCCCAGGACAAGGACTGCAGACGTGTCACCCCCTCCAGCACCCCCCACTGCCTCCCACGAGTCCATGCCGGAAGCTGGTGAGCGTCTTCTGCTCCCCCCACAGTTCTGCTTGCTCTTGTCCCCCTGACACAGTCTCCTGGGGGAGTTCTGCCAGTGGAGATGGGGGCAGGGCACAACCCTCCTGTTTAGGAGGGGTCATGCTTGGTGTCTTTCTAGATCATTCCTTCTCTACAGTGTCTTAAAGGCCACGTCAACCTTGACTGTGGTCTTATTTTCCGAATTTGGGTGGGGGTTGGGCCATACCTGGCAGTGCTCAGGGGCCCTGTGGGGTCCCAGGCTCCAACAGGCCTTGGACCCCGCACTTCGCTTTTCCCAAGTGTGGTTGTGATCCCCAATAATACTGAACAATGTGTGTGTTGGGAGGACAGGGAGGACGCTGACTGCCCACCCCTACCAGGTATCCGCCCTGGGGTGAGCGCAGAGGATGGGAACTGCAGTTGGACCCCTTAGGGAAGATATGAGGCTTTGGTTCTGGCAATGCCTAAGTTTTGGTAACCCTGGGAGAGAGTCCACAATGCCAAAACTTTAGAAACATGTATCAGAAAGCAGGGTTGACCGGCGGAGGCGGGAAAGGCAGGGCAGAGAGGGGCTTCCTTTCTTCCTGGGGGTCTCTGCCCCTTTCAGGGAGTGGAGGACAATAGTCAGGTGGTGAAACAGCTGTGCTTCTGGGCAGGGCTGCTCTGCTGGCTCCTGCAGGATTCCTGTCTGCCTGGCTGAGTCTTCCCCCTCCCCCCCCATGGGCCCCTGCCCACTTGGCCGGTGGGACCGTCTGGTCCTGGCTCAGCAGCGGAATGGAAACTCCAGAATTCATGGAGGCGGCTTGTCCCGAGCCCACATTCTTTCATGTTTACATCGTGGAGCAGAGACCGCAGTGGTCTGGCGGGGCTGGGGGTGTGGCACCCACTCCCCTGCTGGTGGCGCCCCCACCCCCAGTTCCAAGGGCGCCAAGCACCTGTGCGGGGTGTGGGTGTGGCACCCCCTCCTTCTGGAGCACTGTTTGGGACTCACTCCCAAGCCCCTGCCTCGCCACCCACCTGCTGTGCGCGTTTGTGCACCCGGATCTTTGGGACCCCATTTTTATTATTTCGGGACCTTTCACTGCAAAAGAACTTTCTGGATCATGTGGCGGGAAAGGCAGGGAACAGAGGGGCGTCTTCTCTTTTGGGGGGTCCCGCCCCTTTCCCTGAGCTCCTGCAGAGTGCTCTGGAGGAGGGGGTGGTGCATCCCCACCCACACAGCATCTCCACCCCCTACTGCTCACTCCCACCATGACCCCCACAGCAGGCACACCCCCAACCCCCCTCCTCCACCCCTCCGCCCGCACAGGGTCTCGGAGCAGAGGTAGGGAAGGGGCAGGGATGCCATAGGAAGCCCCAAGCTAATGTTCCCTGGGCTAAGTCCTTGACTCTGTGCCCTGTGCAGGGTCCCCCCGGCTGCGCCTGGTGGCAGGGCCCAGCAGGTGCTCGGGGCGGCTGGAGGTGTGGCACGGCGGGCGCTGGGGGACCGTGTGTGATGACGCCTGGGACCTGCGGGACGCGGCTGTGGCCTGCCGGGAGCTGGGCTGCGGGGCAGCACAGCCACAGGACCCTGCCATGGGCCGCTTCGGGTGGGGCTCTGGCCCCATCTGGCTGGACGATGTGGACTGTGTGGGGACTGAAGCATCGCTCTCTGACTGCCCCGCCGCCCCCTGGGGGAAGCACAACTGTGCTCACAACGAGGATGTCGAAGTGACCTGCACAGGTAAGGACGTCTGGAGGGCTCTGTGGAGGAGCCGGTGGGGCTGGCATTCATGCTCCCACTGCTCAGTCACTGCAGGTTTCTGCACACGTGGCTGCATGCCACCACTGGGAACTGCAGGTCAGTGCAGCCTGTGCCCGTTTTATAGATGAGGATGCCAAGGCACAGAAGTTAAATAACTCCCCCAAGGCCGCACAGCAACTAAAGGGCAGGTAGTTTGGATTCTTCCTCCACATTCCTCTTCCTAAGGCAAGGACCTCTCACTCTTAAAGGGGGATTTTGTTTCCCCTGTGATGGAAGGAAGTGAAGAAAAATGGAGGCACAAAATGTGACACTTTTGCTGAAAATGCACAGACTGTCAGAGGCTGAGCTGCTGGTCTGGCCTTAGGGGAGGGACGCACCCACCCACGTGAAGGTCAAGCTCAGGCTTCACGACTTCCCAAAGGGCTCAGAAAATCAGGATCATGCTCGGTTTGTGGCAGTGAAGGGACAGCTCAGTAGGGGGACTGGCCAGGTCCCTGCACCCCACCAGCTGTGTGCTGCAACTGTCAGCTTGTGACTAGCTCACTGGGGTAGCCCAAGGAGGGATACTTTGGTGTTTTGTTTTGTTATGTTTTTGGGTTTTGAGGTCACACCTTGTGATGCTCCTGACTCTGCACTCAGGAATCACTCCTGGCTGTCCTTAGGGGCCCATATGGGATACTGGGGATTGAACCCGGGTCAGCCAAGTGCAGGCAAACATGACACCTTGATGAGACCAGATATTGCAGGGTGCAGAGGCTGGGCTGCACCAGACACACAGGAAGCTGATAGCCTCTCTGGGGCACCTCTGCTGGGTCTAGGCAGGCCCCAACCTCCCCTCCGGGCCTTTGTGGAGATCCATAGAAAGGTCTGGGGTAGCCCTCTGGGGTGTCACCCTGTCTGGAGAGCTTGACAGGGTGGGGGGAGCAGGGGGTAAGGGAGGACGTGCAGGGGGGATGCACTGATTGTAAGTGCCCACTCTGCTCCCCTGCCCTGCCCTCTCCCCACCCAGGGACCTCTGGTCTTGACACCCTCTCAGACCCCTTAAGCTGGAGCTGGAACCCGGACGCCTGGCTCCCAGTGGAGCTGGTAACCAAGCACCCTGTCAGGCTGGCCACCAGTGTCTCCATGGAGAAGCCCACCAGCCCCATCCTAGGGAAGATGCCCAAGAGCACCAGGAAGTGGGCAAGAAAAGGCGCCAAGTGGCCGACCACGAAAGCCCCCCAAGGCCGCCTGGAACTGACCTCCCAGGCCACCGTTTCCCCCACCGAGGCTCTCTCCAGGCTGCCTTCACACCCCGCTGCAGCACAGACTCCCAGGGACCTCACCACTCAAGACCCCCAAGACATGACCTTGGGAGGCACCACACAGCACAGCCCCCTGACCTCCGTGGGGGCACCTCCACCATCCTCCAAAGATCTTTCCTCCACTGGAAGCCCGGTGGAAGACTCAGGTGTGCACAGGGCTTCCAGAGGGCTGACGGGGGAGCGGGCCTCCTGGCAGCCCCCTGACCTCACACCTCTCAGCAGGGCTGTTCAGGATCCGTCTGGCCGATGGGCCCAACCGCTGCGCCGGGCGGCTGGAGGTGAGGCGCGCGGGCCGCTGGGGGACCGTGTGTGACGACGGCTGGGACCTGCGGGATGCGACGGTGGTCTGCCGGGAGTTGGGCTGCGGCCGGGTGCGGCCCCGTGTGGGCAAGACCCACTATGGCCCTGGCACAGGCCCCATCTGGCTGGACGACGTGGGCTGCAGGGGCGCTGAGGACTCGCTGAGCCACTGCCTGGCAAGCCCCTGGGGCCAGCACAACTGTGACCATGAAGAGGATGTGGGGCTCACCTGCACAGGTGCGGCCCAGGGAGAGGGGAGGCGAGCCCCGGGGGGCGGGGCCAGAGGACCCTGGCTCTCCTGGGCCTGGTGGGGAGGAGCTGGCATAGGGGGGTCCTGCCTGTGGGCGGTGTGGGTGGGGCCCTGGAAGGAATTCCCAGCACTGGTAGGGACTCTGAGGCCAGAGATGTGCAGCCCTGCCCTGATGTCTTCTAAGGCCAAACAGACGCTGACGACTATCCTCCCTGGACCTGGGACCCCACCTCGGGGGAGGACCTGGCCAAGGGGAGCACCAACATTGGGCTGTCCAGCAACACACTCCACTGGGGCAGCACCTCCCCTGCAACAAGGCACCTTCCGAGTACAGGTGAGCAGCTCGTAGGGAGGACTTTTAGAATTCCAGAAGCTTCCTGCTAAGCAATATCTGCTGCTTGGGGGTTTGCATCTCCATCTCTTTTCCTGGGCTCAGGAGACCCTACAAACAGCCCCTCTGTGCTCCACATCTCCCCCTCCCCAGAGGGATCAGACCAGTGCAGCAAACCTGAGTCCTCGCCCTTCAACAAGCTTCACAAGCCCACCCTGGCAGGAGACCCGCCCTGTCAGGACCTGGGAATCCCACCTGCCCCCTTGGCTGGATGGTGTCTGACTCACAGTGGGGCTCTCGGGCCCGGAACAGGAGGCAGGCCGAGCCCCCGCTCACCCCCTGCCTATGGCTTCCCTCTCCTTTCCTCTCAAGCCATGCTCGCTCTGACGTGCCTCAGCCCCTGTGATGTCATTGCCAGAGGCTCTCGGTCTCTGCTGAACCCTCAAATCCCCATGCACGTGTGTGCTGCCTGCATGCATGGGCGTGTGCATGTGTATGTACATCGGCTGTGTGTGTGTGTGTCTGTGTTTTTCTACATGTCTGTATGCATGTGTCTGTGCATCTGTCGGTCTGGGCCAGTGTGTCTGAGTACACTTGTTAACTGTTTCTACATCCATGTATGTGTATTGTTAGCTGTTTCTACATGGAAGTATGTGTATCTGTGTTGGCACGCATATATGTATGTGGATCCATGTGTCTATGTGTGCATGTTTGTGTGTATGTTTCTCTGTGTGCACACATATACGTGCACACCTCTATAACTGTGTGTATATGTGCATTTATATGTTTGTGAGCATCTGTATGTGTATACATGTGTGTGTGCATCTGTGTGTGTGCATGTCTGTGGGTGTGTGTTGTCTGTGGGCACATATTGGTATCTGTGCTGTGTATTTATGTCTTTATGCGCATCTGTGAGTACATGTACTTGTGTCTGTGTGTGAGTCTGCATCCCAGCACAGGTCCACCCAGCTGGGTTCCCAGGCTCAATGGGTCCCACCCGTCTCTTGTTTCCAGCATCCATGGAAATCTGTTTTCCCCTGTGCCCTTTTCTGGAGCTGTCCCCTCCCTCCGCGGGGTCACCCCTGCATCCTCTCCTCCGCTCCCCCTCGGAGCACTATCTCTCTCCTCCTCTCTGTCCTCACTGCTCAGGGCTGCCTCCCCTGGAGTCACCAGTCTAGCCTGCCCCTCCCCTCTTGTGTCCCGAGCTGTGCCCTGCTGTTGCTTCCTGCATTTCTCTGTGGGTGCTGTTCCAGATGGCTCCATGCGTTCCCACTTCCTGGCCTCCTGGTCCTTTCCCGCCTTTTCCTGAACTCAGTGCGCACGCGGGCTGGCGACTGTCGTGACATGACGTCATGGGCACACTGAGCCTCCTGATTGGCCACCGGGGTGAGGCGGTTGGGCGCACTCTGGGAGTGGGAGCCGAAATGTGGGGTGCAGGGGTTCGAGTTGTGATTGCACAGCGGGACGCTGGGTTGTACGGCTGGAGAGGTGGGGGCGCCGGGGTTGGGGTAGCCACCGCAGCAGGGCACAGGGGAGGAAGCACAAACCCTGCTGACTGGACGTCCGGAACAGGATAGAGACCTGTAGGGGCGCGAGCAGCGGGCTGCAAGGACGAGAAATGGGGGGCGCCTCCTGACCCCGCAAGCAAGGGACCTTGAAAACTGACTGCACTCTGACTTCCGTTTCTCCTCTGAAAACAAAAAACGGGGGGGGGCACGGGGGCAGGAATGTAGCTCCTCAGTCAAGTGCGTATCTCGTGGCGTGGGGCCCTGGGTTCAATCTCCAGCATGAGAAAAAAAGAAAAGACAAGAAAATTAAAACCAACCAACCAAAACAAACGAAGACATAAAAAATAAGACCCAGGAGGCTGGAGAGATAGCACAGCGGGTAGGGCGTTTGCCTTGCACGTGGCCAACCCTGGTTCGATTCCCAGCATCCCATATGGTCCCCTGAGCACCATCAGGAGTGACTCCTGAGTGCAGAGCCAGGAGTAACCCCTGTGCATCGCCAGGTGTGACCCAAAAAGCAAAATAATAATAATAATAATAAAAAACAAAATAAGACCCAGGGCCAGAGCAATAATACAGCTGGTTAGGTGTATTATCCCGGTTTTCCAAACTCTGCGGGTCACAGGGGGAGTCTTTGAACTGGATCTTCCAGGGCAGGTGGACCCGCCCCAGACTCAGCCTATTATTGCTCCTTCACAACTTTCCTGGAAAAGTTCTCACTGGCTTGAGTTAGGCTTTGGGGCATTCGGACCTGGGGTAATGTCATCCAGTAGGTCAGCAGGGCATGGAGTGAGGAGTTGTGGTGACTCCAGGGCTGGCCGCAGAGCTCACGGGAGTGACCATAACAAACACACCCCGTATCTCGGGACAAGGCCTTCAGCCTGGTGCCGTGAGCAGAGTGGGAATGTGAGGCGGCGCATTCCAGGGGTGGAGGCACACACAGGGCAGATGAGGTGCTGGAGGCTGGTGTCCCGACGTCCGGAGTGCAGGAAGGCCAGAAGGGATGCGACTGTGAGAGATGCTAGAGGTGCTCAGCATCCACACTGCTCTCGCGAGTTTGCCAATGTGGAACACAACAGATTCTTCCCCTTCCCCAGCACACAGAGGGGTGTGCAGAGCCCCACACCAAGCATGTGTGCCAAGGGTCCTCGGTTGGTGCCCTGGGGAATTGTTATGGGGAGGGGATGTAAAGGTGGGGGCAAAAAGCACAAAATGGAGTCGGGGACATGGAGAAGTGGGGAGGGAGCCCACCTTGCACACAGCCAACGTGGTTCCATCCCCAGCACCCCAAGTGGTTTCCCAAGCCCTACCATGGGTGATCCCTGAGTGAGCACCACTGGGTGTGGCCCCAAAACAGAGGGAGCAGGGACAGAACTTGCCTTTTGGGATGGAGAGTGTGACTGTCCTTCATCATAGGCTGGTTGGTGCCCATTTCTGTTTGGGAAGCTGAGAGGCCCCCCACCCCACATCTGCCTCCCAAGGTGCCGCACTCAGGAAAACTGGAGTGATGTTCCAAGTGGAGGTCGGGGTGATGGTTCCCATGGATATTGGGGTAATGGTCCAGGTGGAGGTCAGGGTGATGGTCCCCACAGTTGTTGGGGTAATGACCCAGGTGGAGGTCGGGGTGATGGTTCCCACAGATATTGGGGTAATAGCCCAGGTGGAGGTTGGGGTGAGGGTCCACATAGATGTGGGGGTAATGGCCCAGGTGAAGGTCCAGGTGAGGGTCCCACAGATGTTGGGGTAATGGCCCAGGTGGAGGTCGGGGTGATGATTCCCATGGATATTGGGATGATGCAAGAGCAAATGCTCAGAATCAAGGGAAGAGGGCTTAGATCTTCCTGTCCCTGCAGATGGTGAGGAAGACTCTGAGCCTTCCTGGATGTGGGACACGCCCTCAAGTGGGACATTGGCTCAGGGAACCCCAACAGCAAGCCCATCACGAGCTACTTCTGCCATCAGCACCACTAGCAGCCCTGACCGCCATGCTCCAGCTCCAAGGGCCCGCGGGGACCAAGGTGAGACGGTGGGGCGGGGTGCTCAGGTGAGATGGGGTCCCAAACTGACACGGGGGGCTCAGGTGAGATGGGGTCCCAAACTGACCCGGAGAGACTGGGTGACACAGGAAGGAACTGGTGACATAGGGAGGACCAGGTGACCTGGGGAGATCCAGATGACATGGGAGTGACCCGGGTGACACAGGGGGGACCAGTGACACAGGGAGGACCAGGTAACACCCGGAGACCCAGTGACACAGGGAAAACCAGGTGACATGGGAGACCCAGGTGACACAGGAGACCCCGGTGAGACGACCCATGTGACATGGGAAGACCCAGGTGAGATAACCCAGATGACATGGGGCCGGTTCAGATGAAACAAGCAGCAGGATCGAGGTCATTAATACATGGGTGGGTGGAGAGGTGACCTTGCAAAGCCCCGCCCAGTATCACCCCTACGCCCCCAACAGAAATCCACCCTTAAACAAGGAGTTAAAATCTACCCGGAACTCCCGTGGGGAGCTGCTGGTGCTTTCTGGGGGCATTTGGGACTGTGAGGAATGAGAGGAAGCAGAGAAGGTCCCCACACCATGCACCCCTGAGAGCTGGGCCCTCCCACAGGACCAGCCTGTCCTGGGCAGCCGGGAGGTCAGATCACCTGTCCTCCCTCAAGTCACTGGCCACAGGCCACGGACCACATGAGGCAGGAAGGTCTGAGCCTCTGGTCAGGAGTTGGGTGTGGGACTGGGATGGGAGTGGTAGGGAGCGCAGCCGCAAGCCTGGGTGCAGTTGGTCCCTGAGAGCTCAGCCAGAAGTGCTGACTGGTCCATCCTCTGCCCTGCGGACACCACCAGGGGCTGGGAGGTTTCATTAGACGTGGACAACCATGAGGGGTCAGAGCACAGTACAGCTGGCCTTGCACGTGGCTGACCCAGGTTCAGTCTCTGGCACCCTGCAGAATTCCCGAGCCCTGTCAGGAGTGACTCCTGAACACAGAGCAAGGAGTCAGCACTGCAGGGGGAGCCCCCCAGACAGAACCAAGCAGCAGTGAGGCACCGTGTGGAGATGATTCTGCGGGGGTCCTTTACTTACATTGTCTTCAGTTACCCCCTGCGCAGGGCAGGGGCACTAACTGTGCAGGAAAGACTCCCCAGAAGCTAGTCAGATTTAAGGCCCCCAAGAGGACAGCGGGGAAGGCCAGGTTTGATCCCCGGCATTCCAGGGGTCCCGGTGTACCACCAGCAGTGATCCCTGAGTGAAGCTCAGAGCAGCCCCTCCAAACCCAAAACAGAACCAAACAAGAGTCAGGTTTCTGGAAAGGCGAGCACTGAGTTCCTCTGAGGGGCCGGGGCAAGGGGTGTCCCACAGCCTGGACTCTGGGGTCCCTGTGTCACCTGTAAAGAGGGGGTCGACATTCAGAAAGAATGTGGAGCTTCCATGCAGTTCTCAAAGTCCAGGGGACCCCCAAACATCCCACAATCAAGATAAATCTTATCTTAGGAGGGTTGCTCCCAGCTCTGGACTCAGGGACCCCTCTGTGGGCTCTCTGAGGAACTGGCTCTGTGCTCAGGACAGTGAGGCCCTCCTGGGCTATACCACAGTACTTTTGTTTGTGTTTTGGTTTATAGGCCACACTGGCAGTGCACAGGGATCACTCCTGGAGGGGCTCGGGCAACCCCTAACCCCTGTTCTGTTGTCTGGCTCCAGACAGATAATACTTTTTTTTCTTTCGTGGTTTGGGCCATACACAGAGGTACACAAGGTTTTCTCCTGGTTCTGGGTTCAGGGATCACTCTTGCGTGGGTTTTTTGCACTAACTTTGTTTAAAAATATGATGTAGGAGATAATACAGCTAATAGGGTGCTTGCCTTGCATGAGACTGACATGGGTTCAATCCTCGGCTCCCATGGTCACCCAAGGAGGAATCACCACAGGAGGAATTCCTGAGTGTAGCACAGGACTAACCCCTGAGCATTGCTGGGTGTGACCCTCCCCCAAAAAAAACCCTCAAAAGTATGATGTAATGGCCAAAGAGATTGCTCGCCGGGTTGGAGCACAATCTTTGCACACTGGTGCCCAAACTGAACTCCCACATCCCTGAACCTGAGAACAACCCTGAACACCGGTGGGTGTGACCACCAAACAAAAAATAGTGTCTTAAGGTTTTATGTAAATTGCAAGATTACCCTTCCAAATTCTGGAGCACAGTGGGTAGGGCGTTTGCCTTGCACACGGCCGACCTGGGTTCGATTCCTCCGCCCCTCTTGGAGAGCCCGGTAAGCTACCGAGAGTATCCCACCCGCACGGCAGAGCCTGGCAAGCTCCCCCGTGGCGTATTCCATATGCCAAAAACAGTAACAAGTCTCACAATGGAGACGTCACTGGTGCCTGATGGAGCAAACTGATGAACAATGGGAGGACAGTGCTACAGTGCTACCCTTCCAAACTGCCGAGGACCCCATGCAGCCGCTAGTCCCGGCGCCCACCTTGCACCCCCTTCCTCTTCGTCCCTTGCATCCCTCCTGCACCCCTTCTCGTTCCACAACCCCCCTCCATCGCTGCCTTCTCGCCCATGTCTCCGACCTTTTCCATTGCCTCCACACCCCCCCCTACCCCACCCCCCGCCATCGTTGCGCGTCCTGGCGACCCTCAGCCCCCTTCAAGTGCGGATACCGCGCGCCGCGGACGCCAGGGGGCGCCTGGACACGCGGCGGCGGCGGGAGGGCTGGCGCCAGGCGGGGCGAAGTCGCCGGCAGCCGTGACGTCACGGAAAGGCCGGCTCGCCGTTGGCTGCTCTGCGTTGGAGGCGGGGTCGGCTGACAGCCTGTCTCCCGCAGGTGCCGCGGGCATCGGCCAGCGGAAGCTGGAGCGTCGCACGCTGCGCCCCGCAGCGCATGGGGCCGCGACCCCCACCGCCTCTCCAGCCCCCGCCACCGGGTCCGCATCCCCCGGGCCCTCGTCGACCCCTCGCACACCGCCGCGGCGCAGTGCCAAGGCAACGTCTAACAGAGGGCTGGCCCTGCCCGCCGTGTCCAGGGAACTGGCCTCTGACCCCTCTATGCCCATGACTGTGCCCGGCAGCACCCCTACGTCGGCACTGAGCCCAGAACCGCCGGCCACTCAGCACCCCACCACGCGTCCAGAATCTTCCAGATCCTCAGACGTTCCCACCAGCCTCCAGCCCATCACACCTCCTTCCCCAGTCACAGTCCTTAATCCTACTACGACCCCTCACCCCCCCACCAGCACCCCAGAGGCCCCCACTATGACCCCTCACCTGCCCACTGAGGCTCCATACGCCCCCACCACAGCCTCCGCCACCACAATCTCTCACCCCCCTGTCACCACCTCTCACACTCCCCCCACGACCCCTCACCCTCCCACCACAACTCCTCAGTCCCCCACCATGACCCCTCACCCCACCACCACCACTCCTCACTTTGCTGTGAACCCTGATCCCACAGCAACAGCCACGCTCACTCCCCAGTCCCCCATCCCTGCCTCAGGAACAGAATTTCCCACTCCAGCACCTACTGTCCAGGCCAAAGGGCTCCCAGGCCTGGCCTCCGTGCCGCCCTCGCACCCCTCCACACCCACTCCGTGGAGCCCCAGCTCTGTGAATGCCTCTGCTTCAGCCCCGGGAACGGACGCTCCTGTCGCGGAGGGGCCCAGAAGCCCCAGCCTCGCCCCTCGGCCAACCTGGACCCCCCACTCAGCCGCTGGCTCTCAGGAGACACCTGGCCACGGCTCCTCCACGGGCCCGCCTAGGCAGCCTCCTCCCCGCCACCCCCTCAAGTCCCCCCCTGAGCAGAACACTGCCCCCACCGGCCCATGCGTGACCCCGACACCGCCTCTGCGCGTGATGGCCTGCGAGCCAGCAGCCCTGGTGGAGCTGGTGGCAGCCGTGAGGGAGGTGGGGGGGCCAGCTCCAGAGGTTGACAGGGGCCCTGGAGCGAGACCAGCAGGAGCGCCAGGCCCTCAGCCGGGGCCTCAGCCAGCTGTTGGAGGCTACCCAGGGACTGGCGCAGCTGGGAGAGGCCGTGCGGGAACTGGGCAGGGGCACCTGGCATGCCAGCACATCTGCACTGTCCACAGCTGTCCCAGAGGAGGAGGAGGAGGAGCGGCCTCTGAGGGGGGACGTGTGAGGGAGCCCAGCCTCCCCACTGCTGCCCTGCCCCCCACAAGCCAAGTAACCAAATAAAGACGTGGATAGTGGATCCCTGAGCAAGTGGGACCACAGGACTCATCTGGATCAGTGACTGTCACTGCTCTCTGAGGTGCAGGGTGGCCAAGGAGATAACTGGTGGTCAGGACTGAGATGACTGTCAGTGGTGGAAGGAGGGGATGGGAACGGAGACAGTGCTGATGGCGGTGATGCTGGGGGTGATGGTGATGATGGTGATGGGAGAGATGGTGGAGGTTATTTGAGATAGAGGTGGTTGAGATGGAAGTGATGGTGGAGGTGATGATGGATGTGATAGTGAGAATAGTGATGGAGGTGATGAGGTGGAGGTGGTGGAAGTGATGATGAAGGTGATGGTGATGATGGAGATGGAATTGATAGAGATGACAGAGATAGCAATGGGGATGATGAAGATGGAGGTGATAGAAATGATGGAGATGGTGGTGGTGGAGGTGATGTGATAGAGATTATAGAGATGGGGGTAATGATGGCAGTGACAGTGATGGAGGTGATGGTGGAGATGATAGGGATGATGGTGATGAAAATGTGATGAGGATAATGGCACTGATGGTGATGGGATTGTCCTGCTTGTGAGAACCACAAGGACAATGACGCAGCAGTGATGAGCCCCACCAGGCAGCAATGCATCTTCCAAGAGGTCTGTGCTCCCACCTCTGGGTGCACAGACTGCAGCGTTCTTTGGAACAAACACATGCACAAGAACAGTGCTGACCAGTCATATGGTCTCCTGAGGCACTAAGTGCAGTGACATCCTTCCTGCTTTGCAGCCACACTGGCTAGTGGCTGTGACCAGGCCAGTGCAGAGGGCCTGGGTCTGAGTCCTGTGGACCTGAACAGACCTCCAGCTGTACAGGAGGCCTGGGGGGCAGCAGTCTTTCCTCCTGATGCCTGACTGCAGTGATCAGGAACCTCCTGTGACTGATTAGGGGTGTTTCCCACCCTGATCATGAGCAACACCTCCTGAGCTTAAATAACTCCTGCCTCACTCATTACTGAGCTCAGATGGCTGTGCCCAGTGCTTAGCACAGCCGTTGCAGGGAAGACAGGGCCAGGTTCAGAGAGGGTAAGCCTCCTATCAGAGGCCACATAGCAGAAGCAGAGCTGAGTGCTGGAACCATGGGGCACCAGTTTTCACACCTTTCCCTTGGCCCAGAGCTCAGACTTGAAATTCCACAACAGCCCCCTTTGAGGGGTTTGATAGCGTCTCCTTTCTCTGTAGCTGTTAACTTGGGGGCTGGCTTGAAAGATTTCCCAGATGCTCTATATTTCCAGTGGCCCCTGCGGGAAGTCAGTGCTCCCTCCCCTCCCACACCAGAGTCTGGCTCAGTGGGTCTGGACGGTCATGCAGCCTGCAAAGGCCATCAGGGTCCAGTTACTTGCTGGGGGGAAGTGGCAGGGTCCTGTGTGGGCCATGCCCCCGCCAATAGGCCCGGGAGTACAGTGGGAATTCACTGTCCTGTTCCCAGTAAGCCCCGAGACTGAAATAACTGCTGACAGCGGCTGGGCAGGACTCTGGGGCTCGGAGGACAGTGCCCCAACTTGGACGCAGCGGCCTCCTTTCTTCCCAGAGGCATGGGAGACCCCATTGCTAGCCTCCCGACCACTCTGCCAGCCAGGTGGGGTCAGTCTGTCCTTGGGCCTGAAGCCCCCACCCACTCCTGCCACTGTCCGCCAGCATTGAAGAAGCTAGAGCTTAATGGCCTGGTCACTCTATCCCGCCTGGCCAGGCAGCTAAGCCCCAACATCTGGCCCTGGGCACGAGGCCAGGATGGGCAATTACCCCACCCAGACTCCACCCTCGGGACAGCTGAGCTCTGCCTGAGCCTGCCAAGCCCCAGAAAACCCATGACAGGTGCTACAGGGCCCCAGTAAGCCCCGCGGGGGCAGGAAAAAAACAAAACTTAACATCTGCTAGGGTTATAGACATGTGTGTACACGGGCATGTGCTCACACAGGCACACACACATGCACATGCACACAGGCATGTGCTCACGCATGCACATACACATATACACACTACACACAGGCATGTGCTCACATAGGCACACACACATGCACACAGGCATGTGCTCACGTAGGCATGCACACACATACATATACATACTCACACAGACATGTGCTCACGCAAGCACACACATGCAACACTCACAAACATGCACATGGGCATGTGCTCATGTACACATGTACACGTACATACATGCACACAAACATTTGCTCAGGCATGTATGCATACTCACAGGCATGTGATCATGTAGACACACACGTATGCACACACATATGCCTATAAGCACATAACTGCCAGCAAAGGTGGGGAAGCCAGGACCTCAGTTCACAAGAGTCAGTGGGACTGAGCGGGGTGCTGGAGTGCTCCCCACCTCCCTGCACCTCCCTGGTCAGGGGCCACAGGCCAGGTAGAGATGTAATATTTTGGGGAGATCTGGGGCTAGCAAATCGGCACTGTGAGTAGGTACTCACGAGCTGGAAAATGAGCCCCACTCAGGCCAAGCTGGATTCCAGGAAGCAGGGGTGCAGCTGAGGGAGGGTGGGAGACAGGGAAGGGGGAGAGATGGGGGCATGAGGGAGAGAGAGGGAGAGATGTGGGGGAGGGGACGGGCAGAGACAGGAAATGAGACCTGGAAAGGGGGGAGAGGGGGAAAGAGGGGAGCAAGGAGAGAGGGAGAAAGATAGAGGGACAGGGGGAGAGGGAGGGGAAAGGGGGAGAGAGGGAGGGGAAAGGGAGAAAGAGGAAGGGGGGAAGAGACCTCGGTCCTGCGCCATCAGTCCGTTTTCTTCGCAGTTGCGCTGGTGTTCAGGTACCTGTGGTGCTGGGGATGGACCCTGCGGTTCTCAGGCCAGGTATGAGGACCAACCCCTGAATTACACCTCTGTCCCAGCTTTTGTTTTGTTTGCTTCAGGGTCATGCCCAGGGGGAGTCAGGCCACCATGCTTGCAGAACATGCGGTAGCCCGTCCCCCTGCCTCCCAAAGCCTCTTGGCCATTTTACATTGGACACCAACACCTTTTTTTTCTTTCTTTTTTAAGTAATAGCTTTTATTTGGAAATTTTGAGGAACGGGGGAGGGTGAAATGGGGAGAGAGGAAGAGAAAGAGGGAGAGAGAGAGAGAGAGAGAGAGGGAAAGAGAGAGAGAGAGAGGGAAGGAAGGCCGCTTCTCCAGAGTGAGAGCCGCAGTGTACATCCCAGAGTTAAGGTATGAGAGTGCTGGGGTACCTGGGCCTGAGGGTCAGTGCTGGGGGTACCCCATAACCCTATGGTGCTGGGGCCCTACAGAACACACCTGGCAATGCCTAGGGGACTGTGGTGTCTGGCGGAGCCCCTGACCCAGCCCCTCACTCACTCTCACTCCTCCCCAGTCAGCAGGGGCCAGTGCACTCTCATGCCCTATCTGAATTGGGAAGTGTTGGGAGTGGAACAGCTCTTAGTCAGCCTGATTAGGAGAGTCCTTGACACCTGTTAATCCACAGCTGCTACCACCAATTAGCACCCTCCAGGCCTCCCCTCCCTCCACCAGCTTTTGGGGACACATTCTTGGCCGGTGGCCCATGGGCAGTGGCTGGGACTATTTCAGATCCATGGATGAAGTGGCAGGAGATACTGTACCCCCTGTACCTTACCCTCCCTAGCAATACCCACTCCAGAAAGCTCACCTGGGTTGGCCAGCACCCCACTACACCCCCTTTTCCGATAAAATCCCCTCCCCCAGAGATGCTCCTGGAACCCCCAGGACAGAGCCTAGTTTGGAATTCTACAGCTCTGAAGGTCACTGTACACTAGGATTGCCCCCAGCCTCCACCATGGAGGCCACAGCAGGGGGAACTGGTGGGGTGCAGGACAAGGACAGTGACACCCGATCAGCCCCGAGTTGTAGCTTTGCTCTGGGCGGGTGGCCAAGAAGGACACAAAGAGGAAGAGAAAGTGTCTGCCATGGGCAGCACAGCCCGAGTGATCCTGCACGCTGCCCATGGACACGTACCAAGCTCTCTGGACACACACATGGATCTGGTGTCCACTCAGGTTAGCCATGCCAGAGGGGGGACACAGGACACCCTACTACAGAACACATAGACCCAAAGCCTACATGTGTACTCACACACACATGCTCACACACACATATGCTCATATGCACCATCACACGCATGCACATGTGCACACATTCTCACACATACTCTCACATGCACATACATGCACATGCACATATGCATACTCACACATGTTCACACACATGCACACACATTCACATGTGCTCTAGCCCCTGCTGCCATCCAAGCCTCAGGCTCTGCCAGCATGCTCTGTGTACATCCCAAATAGGACTGGCTGAGCCCACTTGCTCCCTGGCAGTCTGACACATACACCCAGGCAGCCTGGGATATCCCCCCCATCTCCCTCCCCCGACCTTCGGCCCGTCCCAGAGCAGAGGACACAGCACACAGCACTGGCCAGCTGGACTTTATTGTAGAGCTGAGGCGGGAGAGGAGAGCACTCCCCTCCTCACCTCTCTAAGAAAGGGGCCGGGGCATTGCAGCACGGGAGGGCTCCAGCAACAGGAGTGGACAGGCCTACTCTGGCCAGAGCACGTGGGTCGGCAGGCAGGACTGGCAGAGGGAGGGATGGAGGGCTTGGGGGCCGGGGCTCACTCTCCCATCTCCTCCGCTCCCTCCTGCTGCTTCCAGGGTTGGCCCAGGTAGGCCCTCACACAGCTCACGGGGCTCCTGCTGCGGGGCTGGGGGTCCAGCAGCTCCCACAGCAGGGCGTCGGCGGCCGGCGTCAAGCCACCCCAGGGCTGTGGCCGGTCCTCAGGCAGGCCCGAGGCGCGCCACACCACGAAGTCCTCGAAGAAAGGGTCGGCGGTGGGCAGCGGCTGGTCCCAGGGGAAGTAGCCGGTGAGCAGGCAGAAGAGCAGCACACCCAGCGCCCAGGCGTCCAGTGCCGGCTGGATGGGCAGCCCCTCGGGCAGCGGCGGCGGCTCGCATAGCTCGGGAGCCGTGTAGGGGATGGGCGGCCCGGTCAGGCGCAGCAGCGTCCCCCGGGGCCGCGTGTGGCCGAAGTCCGTGAGCTTGACCCGCCGGCAGCGCGCGTCGCACACCAGCACATTCTCGGGCTTCAGGTCTCGGTACACCAGGCCGCGCGCGTGCACGTGCTCCAGCGCCGATGCCAGCTGCACCGCGCAGCGCTGCGCCGCGCCCGGGGGCAGCCCCACCTGCGGGCACAGCGGTCAGCACCCGCCCGGAGCCCAAGACGCCCCAGCGGGCACGCGACGCAGCGCGGGGCAGGGAGGCGGAGGCGCCCACCGACCTTGGGCTCGATGAAGGCGATGAGGTCCCCGTGGAGGACGGGCTCGCACAGGAAGCTGTAGGAGCCCACAGACTCGATGGCGATGCCGTAGGCCGTGACGATGGCGGCGTGCGCGCCCAGACACAGGCCCACGCAGAACTCGTGCAGGAAACTGCGCAGGGTGGTGGAGGGCTTGGGCAGCTGCTTCAGGGCCAGGGAAGTGCCTGGGGGCACAGGGGGCAGTGGCAGGGTCAGGCCCACAGCTCCCTCTGCGCCCCCCCCCCCCCAAGTGCCTTGCACCAGTCATGGGGTTGGCCACACCCTGCAGTCTTTAGTTTGTGACCCACACCTGGCAGTGCTCAGGCTCGCTCCCGACTCTGTGCTCGGGGCTGACTCCTAGCTCTGTGTTTGGGGCTGACTCTTGACTCTGTGGTCAGGGCTGACTCCCGATTCTGTGGTCAGGGCTCACTCCCAGCTTTGTGCTCAGGGATCGCTCCTGGCTCTGTGCTTGGGGCTCATTCCTGGCTCTGTGCTCCAGGCTCACTCCTGGTTCTGTGTTCAGGGTGACGCCTGGCTCTGTGCTTGGGGATCACTCCTGGCTGACTTCAGGGACCCTACTTGGTGTTGAGAATTGAACCGGGGTCAGTGTGTGTAAGGCAAGCATCTTAGCCTCTGCACTATCTCTGTGACTCAGCAGACTCTCCCCCTTCACTTTTTCTGGGAGTCCTCCCATGTAGTGCTCACATTCCCAAGCAGCCCTCCTCATTATACTTAGGACACCATGCTGCCATGAGAGACCTCCAGAGCCACGGCAGCAATGCTCTGGGGACTATGGGGTTTGGGTCATCAGTACCAGGCGGGGTACACCCCTAAGTGCTCTGCCTCAGCCTCGATGAGCAGCTGGAGAGGTGGAATTGTGCTCAGAACCTGGGACCATGTGTGGCTCAATTCGAGCAGCCCTCACCCCCAAACCCTAGCATGGCCTTAGTGATCCCCTTTGCGCCCGAGCCCACCCTCCACCTGCCCCTCGTGCTCCTTGGTCTTTTCTCCTGAATTCTGTCATCCCAGGGAGGAGCTGGCAGGTGTGTGGGTGCAGGATGGTGTCACAGGGTGGGGGACCGCACATGGGCCCACAACTGCCTTCTGAGTGTCAGCCCACCGAAGCTCAGGTCCCTCCTGGCCACCAGGTGTGGGCAAGTGAGATCACATGGAGGGGACTGTGACCAGCAGGAGTCAGTCAGCAGGGCATGTGCTCAGAGCTGGGTCTCAGGCTGGAGGGAGGTGCCGAGGGTCAGTGAGGGGACCCAGCTGGGCAGGGGGCCGGGGTACAGGCACTGGTCGCACCCTGTACCTTTCTGGCGGTGTGTGACCAGCAGCACTTGGCCGTAACGGCCCTGGCCCAGGGGCCGCACGGGCTGGTACAGCTCCTCCACCTCAGCCCGCACCAGCGTCTGCGCACTCAGCGCCATCATGTCCTCCAGCGCCAGTGCTGCCTCCTGGCCCTGCCGCAGCTCCTCACGGGTCAGGCCGCCCAGGTCCTCGTCCGCCGTCTCTGCCTCCTCCGCCTCGACCTGCTCCTCTTCCAGCCGCGTGCCCGGCATCCCTGCAAAGGTGGGGAGTGGACATGGTGCCCTCCAGAGGGGCGGGGGTCCAGGCTAGGTAGAGGGAGGAAGGCTGGGGTCTCACTGACAAGAATCACTGTGACTCAGTCTCCCCTCACTGGAGACATCTGAGAAGCCAGTGCCCATCACTGGTGTGGGCTCAGGTCAAGTCCACGGCCACAGATGTCCCTCACCCCCACCTTGACTTCTCTGCACCACCCCGCGTCCCCAGGGTGAAAGATGAACCAGATAACTCGAGACACCCCAACCTTGTATCCAAAGCAAACACTCGAGTGGGGTGGGTGAGGGCTCATCTGAGAGCAGGCAGGCTCTCTGCCCCTGTGCTCGGGACGCCTGGGGCCTGAGCGTGAGCAGGGACTTACCGGTGAGCCCTTGGGACATCTGGACTCTGATTTCAGCACTGCTGTCAGACGCCAGAGCCTCCTCCCTCAGACCTGGGATTTCAGCCCCTCCTCCTCAGACCCAGGTGTCCAATCCAGCTCTTCCTCCCTCAGATCCAGGGGTCTGGTCTCTAGACCTCTCCCTTAGACCCAGGGGTCGGCCCCCCAGTCTCGGGCCTGGCCCACGGCCCACACTTCCCAAAGTGTGCACACTCCCAGACCAGAACCCGTCTCTGGCCCTCCCCTCGACCCTCTGCAGCCCCCAGGTGCAGGCCCACCCCTTGCACGCCCAGCCACCTGTCTGGTTCCCTTCTCAGGTGCTCCTCAGGTCAATAACCCCCGCTTCTGCGGAGCGCAGTGACCTCCACACCTCTCCTCTTGCAGGCTGGCCTGGCCCTCCGCTGTCCGCTGTGGTTAGTGACCGGTCCTGGGGCGCAGGCCAGCAGCGCTGTCCAGGAGTAAGACCCGCCCCAGCCTGGGGGTCGTAGCCCCGCCCCGCCTCCTCAGGACGCGAGCACAGCGCCATCGCGCGGTGACTTCCAGAAGTGTGGCCATTTATTTGTTGCCCTGCAGGTGGACTCCTGGGGCTGGGAACTCAGCAGGGAGTGGAATCCCTGAGGGGCGAGGTCACCCCTGTGGCTTCCCCATCTGGCCTCCCGTTGCCCTCTATTGACCACTGGTAGATCAGACATAAGAGTTTGGTTGGGGGTGGCCAGGGACTCTGGGGGCAGTTGGGACAGGGAGGGGGAGGGGGGAAGAGCGTCCAGGGGTTAGGGGAGGGGAAGCAGGTGTCCAACGGCCAGCACAGGGAGGCGGCGAAGGCCACCAGGAGGAGCTTCCTTTCTTAGTCTGCGGAGTTCGGCGTTCTGGACCCTTAATCTGTGGGGGGAGAGCTGGGGTCTGTACCCCTGGTCTGAAGGAGGAGGTTGGACGCACCTAGCCTGCAGGATTACAACAAAGGCACTAAATGAGCTCAGTTGGTGTGTTCAATCACTTTATTCCAGAATGATTCTTTGCTGCCTGGGGGTCAGGTAACCTGGCCCGGTAGGGCAGCACCTCACCCAGTCCAGAGGGCATTTGTCCAAGCTTGGAGGATGCTCTCAGCCCGCCCTCCTATGCCCCTCACTAATGCTCCCCAGGCCTGTGTCGCCCTCAGGCCAGGCACCAGGCTGCAATCCATGAAGACACAGGAAGGACAGATACTGCCCCAGACACAGTGTGGGAGGTAAGACCCAGCCTGCCCCTGCCCAGGGGCTCCCAGAATCTGCCTGGCAGGGAACAGGCACCCCCGGCGGGGAGGGGAGCGCAGAGCTGAGGAAGGGGCTCCAGGGATGAGCACTGATGTATAGATGGGTGTCACAAGTCACCTGTGTACATGCACGATTGTGAGGTGTGCATGGGGTGTGGGCTATTAGTGCTTGTGTGCATGTGAATGTACATGTTGGGTTTGTGTGTGCATACATGCATATGGGACTGCATGTGTGCATGTATGTGGATACGCATGCCTGCATGTGTGTACTGGGCTTGTGTACCTGTGTTTGAATGTATGGGTGCACATGTGGGTGTGCATGTGCCTCTGTGGGGGGGTTATGTGCCTCTGTGTGTGGGTGTGGGTGTGCCCATCTGTGTGTGTCCTTGTGTACACGTGTCTGTATATGCCTGTGTGCACGCATGTGGGTGTGCAAATAATTGCACGTGCAGGTGGCAGTGATCAGAGACCGGCCAGGAATGTTGGTGCTGCGGGGGCCCACAGAGGTGAGGAAGGCTTCCCTGGGCTGAGCCCAGAGCCACACCGGGTCCCTGAGTGCTGCGCACTCCCCCCCAGGTCTGAGAGGGGCTGGAGGAATCGGGGCTGGGGCTGGCTGCAGGGATTCAGAGCCCAGGCAGTCTGGGGGGACAGTGTACTGTTCTGTCCCCCAGAGTCGGGCCTCTCCTCTGTCAGCTCAGGGTGTGTCTATGTCTGTCCCCACCCTCCTCTCACCCTCATCCTCCTCATCCCCATCTGTCCACTCCTCCAAGCTCGAGCCCCCCTCCTCCCCCACTTCCTCCCCATCCCCCACAGAGTCCCCGGTCCCTGCTCTGTCCCTCTCCAGCCCCCAGTCATCCCCCAGGAACTCCAGGACCAACAGTGGAGGGCTCCTCGTCTCAGGGTCCAGGTCCAGGAGCCCCCGGAGCAAAGCCAGGGCTGCAGGTGAGAACTGGTCCCAAGGGGGCGGGGGCTGAGGAGGCTGAGGCCGGGCAGTCACCCACCCAGCAAAGGCTTCAAATTCGGGGTCAGGGGCCAGCGCCACATCCCAGGGGAAGCTGGCAGTGGCGGTGCAGAACAGGAGCACCCCCAGGCCCCAGGAGTCCACAGCAGGCCGCAGGGGTAGGGTGGCGGTGGGGAGCAGGAGGCAGAGCTCTGGGGGCGCAGAGGGCAGGGGCCTGGGGGGCGCGAGGGCCGGGCTGCCCTCGGGCCGGGTGAGGCCCAGGTCCCCCAGGGCCACCCGGCTGCAGACCCGGTCGAAGACCAGCACGTTGTCTGGCTTGACATCAGCATGAACCAGGCCCCGGCCGTGCAGGAAGTCCAGGGCCGCGGCCAGTTGCGCCGCCACCCGCTTCAGCAACTGCTCCGGAAGGCCCTGGGTCAAGGAGAGAGGCTGGGTCAAGGCCACAGTCAGGGGCTTCCTTCCCTCTTTACTTGGGGTTTAAGGATCCAGGGTCCCCGACTCCATTGCCGGCACTGCAGAGGACGCCCCCGTCACTGCCAGGAGTGACCCCTGGGACTAGAGCCGGGAATATTCACTGAGAAATGCCAGGTATGGTCCAGCACAAAACAAAAAGAGTCCAAATCCCCCACATTAAGGTAACTTCAAATGTCCCTGCCAAATTCTCCAGATCATGTGATTGTCGTCTGGTCATCTGCCCTTTCGGGCTGCTCATGTCTGCACTGGAGCCCCAAATGGGACCAGGAGCTCTTTTAGCCCCATTAAACTGTCTCCTATGCCCAGTGCGCAAATCTACTTCTGTGTTTCTCCAAATCACAACCCTCATAGCAGTCTCAGTCCTTAATAATCTGAATCCCCCCTCTATACCGACTCCCATTCTAAATTCCTGCGGGTCACTTTGTCAGTGGAGCGGTGGGTATCTCCCAGCTCAACCCACAGCAGCAACTGCCCAGTTGACAGCAGAGCAGTGGCCAGCAGCTCCCCAGAAAGGAGTCTCCAGTCCATAGCACCCTCCACCAGGCTAGCGACCAGTTACCTTTTCCTTCCTTCCTTCCTTCCTTCCTTCCTTCCTTCCTTCCTTCCTCCCTTCCACCCACCCTTCCATCTTTCCAGCTTTTCTTCTGCTTCTCCCTGAGTTGATGTTCCTCTGAAGCCTTCCCTCAGGATCACTTGCCCTGATCCTTGGTCCTCCTAAAGTCAGTCCTGACCTGGCCTCCTGTGAATGGGGCACATCCTTAAATGCTTAGGCAACCGAGGCTGGACTCCAAGCCTGTGCTCCCGTCCCACGAGTCCCTCAGACCCCTCTCTCCAGTAGGCCCCATAATTGCCACCCAGAACTGGATCCACAGCCAAGGGGTGTCAGCAGTGGCCAGCTCTGTCCTGTGTCCCTACTGCCAGCTGCCCTCCCTTGTCCTGGCCCCCACCCTGCCCAACACCGACTCAGCCTCCCTCTGTCTCCCACACCTTCCCTGCAGGATCTCAAGTACTCGCAGCCCCACCCCAAACCCTGTGGGGCCTATGCTCAGGTGTCTCTGTCTAGAGCAGTTGCAGCTGCTCTGAGGATGAGGAGCAGGCCACAGGCTGCAGCTGTGTGGGGCACGGACGTGCTGTCGGGGTGAGGCTGGCGGGAGAGTGGGCCTCACCCCTTCCTGGAGCATGCTGCTGAGGTCCCCACAGGGCGCATACTCCTGGGCAAAGGCAAAGTACTGGGGTGTCTGCAGAGGCCCCGCCAGTGTCTGCAGCAGGCCAGGGTGTGAGGAGACACAGCGGCCCACGCAGAACTCCCTCAGGAAGGTGCTCCTGGGCACCGTGTCCCGCCGCAGGAGCTTCAGGGCCACGGCAGGACCTGTGGGGAGAAAAGAGTGGGTGGCAGGCAGTGAGACCTACAGCCCTGCTCTGCCCCCCCCCCCCAGCCCCATACCCGCTGCCACCCCCTCTGAGCGCATCACCTCTGCTCCAGTCACTCCCTGAGCCCTTATCACTGAGACATTGCAGATCCCGCCCCCCCCGTCACTCCCCAACCCCGCTTGGGGCTGCCCGGCCACTGCCTGGCCATTTCTCCTGGGAGGTTGCAGTGGGTCCCCTGACACCCGTCCTGCTGTGCCTTTGGTGAGGTGTGTGACCCTGCAGGGCCCTTTGGGCCTCTTGAGTCCCAATTCTTGGCTTGCCCAAAGTGAGGGACTTGGTGTCTGGGCTCTGCTCCAAACTGTGCTACCACCTTGCTGTGTGCCCTCAGGCACGCTGCTCATCCCTCTGGGTGAGCTGCTTCCCAGAGAACACTGCTCTGAGGCCTCAGTCCCAAACCCTCCCGGCCTGCTCTGTGTCTCTGTGGCCCTGGTGGGCCGGGACTCACCCCCGGGGTGAGGCCGGGCCAGGAGCACGCGACCGTAGGAGCCGGAGCCGAGCTTTCGGATGAGGCGGTACTGGGCCCGCAGGCTCCTCAGGGGGGTCACTCGAGGGGCCGTCAGCTCCACCAGCCGCTGCAGGGCTGTGGCCGTGTCCTCCTGCAGGAAGGGACGGGGGTGAGTCTGGAGCCACAGGAGCAGCCAAGGTTGGGGGGCGCAGGTCACGGTCCTGAGAGACTGACTCATGGTGACTCACGGTCCTCGCCATCTGATTCTGTCCTGGCTGGCTGGGGGACTGACTCTGGCCATGGGGCTGGGGCTTCCCCGGAGAGGGGCTTCTCCTGTGGGCACCGCTGCTCCCGGCCCGGGTCTCTCCCCCTCCCGCCCCCTCACCTCGGGCTCCCCATCCTCAGGCTGCGGCTCCCTGAGCTCCATAGCCTGCTCCGGGGCGTGGCACACTCTGGGGTTCCGTGAGAGGGGCCCTTCGGAGCTGGGCCAGGCCTGCGTCCTCTCGGGGCCCCTTGTGTGAGGCTGAGCTTCCCTGCCCCTAGTCTGCACTTGGTTGCTGCCCGCAGGCTCTGGCAAAGGCCTGTGGGAATGCCCCTCGCTCCCCGGCTATCTCTCTATCTCTCTTGGTTTCTTTCTCTGTCTCTCTCTCTCTGTCTCTCTGTGTCTCTCTGGATCCCTATTTCTCTATCTCTGTGTCTCTGTTCCTGTTTCTGTGTCTCTGTGTCTCTCTCTCCCTATGTCTCTCTGTTTCTGTCTCTCTCTGTCCCTGTTTCTCTGCCTCTGTGTCTCTCTGTTCCTGTTTCTCTCTCTCTTTCTCTGGTGTCTCTTTGTGTGTCTCTCTCTGTCTCTGTGCCTCTCTATCCCTGTTTCTTTCTTTCTCTGTGTGTCTCTCTGTCTCTGAGTCTCTCTGTCCCTGTTTCTCTGTATCTGTTCCTGTTTCTCCCTCTCTCTGACTCTGTGTCTCTCTCTTCCTCTCTGTCTCTGTGTCTCTGTCTTGATCTGTCTCTCTTCCTCCTCCCACCGTCTGCCCTCAGTGGCTCGCTCCCCGGTTTCTCTCTTGTCCCAGCTTTATTCACGTCTCCCTTGAAGAGCCCTTTGTCCCTCCTCCCTTTCTCTGGACATGGGACAGGGGGGTGTGTGCAGCCACACGGAGACATCGTGTCACCCCACACTCCTCCCTCACCCCCTCTGACACGCTGTCCCCCGCCCTCCCCCTTCCAAACTTAGACCAGCTGGACTCTGGGCTCTGGTCCCAGAACAAAGGGGACAAAACATATTGTGAACCCCCAAGGGCTAGGCCCAAGAGCGGGGCGAGGACGGGCTCCACTCACACCTCACCTGGGATGGGGCCCTGGCCTTGGATTCTGCCTCCTCTAGGAACTGGGGTCAGGGAGGGGGACTCCCATCTGGCTGCTCAACACCAGGGCCCAACCCCTAGCCTCCTCCGTCAGTCCCAGGGGCCCAGTTCCCAGCCTCCTCCTTCAGACCCAGCGGTTTAGTTCCCAGCCTCCTCCCTCAGACTCAGGGGCTTAGTTCCCAGCCTCCTCCCTCAGACCAGGGCCCCGTCCCCAGTCTCCTCCACACTCAGATCTGGGACCTAACGCTACCTTCCTCAGATCCAAGTGTCTAGCCCCCAGCCTCCTCCCTCAGATCCAAGAGTCCAGGACCCTGACCCCTCCTCCCTCAGACCCCGAAGGCCAGTCCCCAGCCTCCTCCATCCTTACATTCAGGGCTTCAGTCTCCAGCCTCCTCCTTCAGACCCATGGGTCCAGCCTCCAGACTCCCTCACCCATAGACCCAGGGGTCCTGTCCCCAAGCTCCTCCCTCACGTCCCACCTCAGGCTCACAGATTTAGAATCCCAGTCACCTCCCTCAGATCCAGGGTCAGGCACCAGCCTCCTCCCTCAGACTGGGAGTGTTGGAGCTGAGTTCTAGAGAACAGGAGAAGGAGCAGGCTACCTGGGCGCCTGACACCGAATTCTCCCTGACACCGGGAAAGGGAGATTCGCCCCCAGTTTGCAGAGCAGGAAACTGAGGCTCCGGGGGCCCATCCGCTCCCCCAAGGTCGGCAGGAGGAGAGGCTGCGGCAGCCAGCGGTGACTCACCCGTTTCCACTACTACTACGGCCACTGCTATTAATAAAGACGCAGCAGCACTTCGCGCCCTGGAAGCGCCCGCCGGCCGGCCTGTGCCAAGCCGCGCACCGCAGAGGAAGGATAAGCCTTCCGGGTTCAGGCTGAGCCTGGACCTCCAGCACCGCTGGTCACCGTGAGGGGTGGGGGCCAGTCTGTACCCCTTTTGGAGTGCAACAGTACAGGTCTGGTGTTTGCCTTAAAACGCTTAAGCAATGCCTGACTTGGGGTTGGGGGAAATGGGGTGCCAGACGGCTGGAAGATCGCATGGGGCCCTCTCGCTGGTCTAGCTCAGTTTGCACGAGGATGATTCAGGGCATCCCAGCTGACAGCGGGACTCACTGCGGCCCCGCACCCCTGAGCGGTATAGGGAAACCGCCACACACTCACGGCTCTTGGGACCCGGTTCAGGCGCACCAACAGCTCCTCAAGCGCCCCAGGCGCCCTCTCGGCTGCTAGGGTCAGGAACTTTCTCGGGTGTTCTTGGCCCATTGAGAAAGTAAACTCAGAGCACTCAGGGCTGTTTATTCCTGGCCCCTGGGCGCTGGCCCGCGCTGGTGGCTGTTTATTCCTGGCTCACTAGGCACAGGCCCTGGCTCTGCTTTTTTTTTTTTTTAATTCATTCAAGATGATGATGGCCTCCTGCCGAGCCATGGCAAAACCTGGCTGGGGCCCCAGGCTCTGGGGGGGAAACTGAGACCTGGAGAAGGAGAGACGCTAGCCAGCCAGGCTGGCCGTTCCCCAGGTTCTAGGACTCAAGGCTGCCAGGCCTGGGGGTTCCCGTGGGCTGGTGAGTGTGTTTCTGTCGTGTGTGGTGTGGAGTCAGTGTGCGTGTGTGAGTGTGTGGTGCAGGGTTCTGTGTGCACGTGTTCGTGTGCGTGCATGGGTGCGGGCAAGTGCAGGGCCAGAGCAGCTGTTTTGCTGGAGTCGAAAGGTCAGGCCACAGAGTGGACCACCTGGGTCCCCAAGGGAGGGGCTGAGAGGGGACACCCCCTCCCCCGCAGACCGATGATCCGGGGAGCTTTGCACCTCCCCATTTAGCAACGCCACTCTGCGGGGTCACCCGGAGTGACCTCGAGTGGCAGGTGTGTTTGTGGGGGAGCCACAGGCGGCGCCAGGGACCTGTGCTGTGTGCCAGGCTCTCAGGGCTTCGCCTCAGGACCCTCTCCACCAGTGTACTGCTTCTGCCGTGCCTCAGTTTCCTCTGAGAAAGGGAGTCAGGGAGTCCAGTGCAGGTGAAACACATGTCACCCAGGAGTCTCCCCACCTGTCCTCAGCCCCCTGCGTAGGGCCCCCTGCGTAGAGCGTGGTGCCGGTAGTTTCTCACCTACTGACAGGCGCCATGCCTGGAGCTGCAGTTGTGTTTGTTTGGGGCCACCCACACTCAGCAGGGCTCAGGGCTGACTTCTGGCTCTGTGCCCAGGGATCACTCTTGGTTGTAGAATAACAATTGATTTGTCCTTTCTCCCTTGCCACAGAGAGCTTGGGTTTGTCGGGTTATACCCATCACAGTGCTCCCGAGTCACTCCCATTCCTTTGTTTATCTGTAACCACTTCTCTATGCTCTCTTTCCCAACTAGTTAATCAGCTTTTTTTCTAATCAGAATCTGTTAATTTGTAAGGTCAGATCCTTCTAGGATACTGAACTTGTATTGTAAATTAATATTGCCTTTCTCCTCTCCTTATGTCTTTTGAATAGTTTACTTGAATGCAATGTCCTTTTTGTATAGCTACAGGAAGACAGTTAATGTTATGCTTTGTAATTTAGGATTTAATTGGCTTTGAATATCATTCATTCCCGGGCATTTGCTTTCTCAACTTAAACCTCAGTTGCTCTCACTTCCTAGTGCTCCCAAAAGCAGGGTCCCAACGAGGGACTGGATGGGACCAGGGCAAGCGGTAAGCTATGTGCTACCCTGGCATCGAGATAGGCCAGGCCAAAGTGCCACGATTCTTAACTATAAGAGTTTGATCATAGACAAATGCTGTCATGATCCAAAAGTAACAACGAGACTAGGAACCTGCTAGGGTTAGGAAAGACTATCTGGACTGAGCACTGTATTCTGAGATGGAGATGCCCTAGGAGAGCAATTCTATAAGCTTAAAGTATTTCTTACTGTGTCCATACAAAATGATTTATATTATGTATGCTTATATGTTTGTTGGACAAGGAGAGGAGAAACACACCCAGGGGATTCCGTTCTAGGGTGGGTCAATCTGCTAAATGAGAATCTGCCCTAGAAGTGGCTTTCTGTCAAAGAACTCTACCCCTATTGATTGTGACCATACCTATACATAATTGTTACCCCAATCTATTGGGACTGGACTGAGCTGTCAGGGTGAGCTTATGTAGACTTGCACCACACAACGGGCAGGAACATAGGGACTCATGATAACGGGTGAGATTTCTTGTGTGTCCTGACAAGTTTGAATGAGGCTGAACATTTTTCTCCTTTAAACTGCCTTCAGTAAATAATTTCAGTATATTGTAAGAAGCAGTTTTCCTTTTCTCACAGAAACCTGGCTGGTCTTTGACATGCAGATCTCAGGTGCTAGCCAGGTCTGATCTTTGGGATGTAGATTTCAGGCTCTAGCCAGACTAGTCTTTGGGATGCAAAGCCAAGTGCTTGTAGCCCAAGAAAGGTTTTAGTTTTGGGTTTGTATCTTCTTTCCAGAGGCCAATATTACTGGCCTGCAGATGCAAAGAAACAATGTATGGTTTTCAGCCTCAATGTTCTTTCTGTAACTCCTTTTGATGATGTCACTGCATTGCGCCCTTTAGATGATCAACAAAAGGAGATTTTCAGGGCTTTCTACCAGGGTGACAGGTCTGAGAGAACCTGGGCCCTCCATGTCATAAGTTTCTTTCGCGTTCCTTGTCTCAGCACCTCCGACTGAACTAACACCAACCCCTCTTGCTGGGGGATATAATGAGACTGTAAAAATGGGCTGGGGGAGGCAGAGGAGAGACAGGAGTGAATGGAGAGAGGATTGGAATAAACTGCAACTAAGACCAACCAGCCTGGCCCTCCTTTCCTTCCTTTGCCTGCCCATCACCATCGACCTCCCTGGAGTGGGGGAAACAGCCTGAGATTACTGAACGCAGGCGGCGGGAGAGATAGACCGCTGCTGTCTTTTTGTGTTTACACACCTGATGGTGCTGGGGGACCCTGTGGGGTGCTGGGGACCAAATCTTGTCAGCCACATATAAAACAAGCACTTTACTATCTTTCTGACCCCCAGATCTTCAATTTTTAGCTTTTACATTTTCCCCATAAATTTCCCACACAAAATAGACAGAAAAAACAGAAAATCTAACCTACACTTCTTGGGGGCAGGGGATGTAGATCAGTGGTTAGGTTTGATGCACTGGGTCTTAAATCCCTAACACCCAAAAGAAAAACAATGAAAAATTAACTGAGACTGAAGAAAGTCCAGTGGTTAGGGCCCAGAGCTGAACTCCACCCGCAACCCCACCAGTGCCCTGAACATTGCCAGGAACCGAGGAGCCCTGAGAGCCACTGCTGTGGGTGGTGTCACTGTGTGGGGTTGGGAAGACCCCCCTCCTTGGCCATCATACACAACACCAGCCTGGTTGGCCGGACCACAGATAGGGCCTCACTAGTCTCCTGAGCACTAGCTTGAGAGATTAAAAAAAAAAAAACCCACACACACTCACACACAGACACACAAACAGATACACTAACACACCACACACACACACACACACACAAATTCACATACAGCCTGAGCTTAAAAGGAGCTTAAAAGTTGTGAAATGAGGGTCTGGAGAGAGCATAGTGGCCTTGAACACAATTGATCTGGGTTCAGTCCTTGGCATCCCATATGGTCCCCCGAGCACCAGCAGGAGAGACACCTAACCGCAGAGCCAGGAGTAACCCCTGAGCAT